TCAGCGCATTCCAGCACAAGGCCAGCTACGGCTACGGTCACTGAGCCTGCACGCGCTGGCTTTCAATAGCCACCTCAAAGAGCTTACAGCATCTGCAGCCACAAACCGCCACTCGTGGCACATGCTGTAAGTTGAATTCTGGCAATTGGATCACGAATTCGAAGGCTCCTGGCTGTCACAGTTCAATACGGCTGGAGCTATAAGGTGTAGGCTTCAAAACAGAGGCTTGGAGGAGTTTAGGCATGAGGTTTTATAGGAGCACTTGGAGTTTACGAACATAAGGCGTCAGCAAGTCGGCGTCACCACCCAATGCGGCTTCGCAGTTCGTCGTCACCACCCAATGCGGCGTCAGGAGACAACTCGGCGTCACGACTTATAATTCGGCGTCAGGGGACAATTCGGCGTCAGACACTGTGGCGTCACAATTCGGCGTCGCCTAAAGCAGTGCGGCTTCAGGAACTCGGATTCGGCGTCAGGTCGTTTGCCAGACATTCCCTCAGGCGGCCGCCTTTTATGTATATATACTTATGCGCAGAAGTACGAACGCACATATACATATATGCATGTACGTATATGCAAACATAATACAAATCAATAAATAAGTATATATAAATATACATGTATATATACATACATACATACATATGAATATAAATGAATGCTTACGCCCCCCCCATGATCCATTCTATGCTTGCTTTTGGTAAGCAGTGGATCATGGGAGGTGGGCAGCTTCGGATGCTGAAACACTGCCAGGCTCGAAAATCCCCAAAATTCCTGAAGCCTGAAGTGCGAAAACACTGGCAGGGATCAAAAATCCCCAAAATCCCCAAAATGTGAGAGACTATGGCCCCGCACTCCGCATAGTTGCCAGGATTTTGGGAATTTTGGGGATTTTTGATCCCTGCCAGTGTTTTCGCATTTCAGGCTTTACAAATTTTGGGGATTTTCGAGCCTGGCGGCATTTCGTCAACGTCGGATGCTAAAACACTGCCAGGCTCGAAAATCCCCAAAATTCCTGAAGCCTGAAGTGCGAAAACACTGGCAGGGATCAAAAATCCCCAAAATAGAGACTATGGCCCCGCACTCCGCATAGTTGCCAGGATTTTGGGAATTTTGGTGATTTTTGATACCTGCCAGTGTTTTCGCATTTCAGGCTTTACAAATTTTGGGGATTTTCGAGCCTGGCGGCATTTCGTCAACGTCGGATGCTAAAACATTGCCAGGCTCGAAAATCCCCAAAATTCCTGAAGCCTGAAGTGCGAAAACACTGGCAGGGATCAAAAATCCCCAAAATCCCCAAAATGTGAGAGACTATGGCCCCGCACTCCGCATAGTTGCCAGGATTTTGGGAATTTTGGGGATTTTTGATCCCTGCCAGTGTTTTCGCATTTCAGGCTTTACAAATTTTGGGGATTTTCGAGCCTGGCGGCATTTCGTCAACGTCGGATGCTAAAACATTGCCAGGCTCGAAAATCCCCAAAGTTTTGCAAAACTAAACACCCATGGCCCCATAGATGCCACGATTTTGGGAATTTTGGGGATTTTTGATCCCTGCCGATGTTTTCGAATTTCAGGCTTTACAAATTTTGGGGATTTTCGAGCCAGGCGGCATTTGCTAACCTTGGATGCTGTGCTCCTATTATGTCTTTGTTTGTCACGTGTATACACACGGCATATGCTTTGTTTTAATGCCATGTCAAGGTGCGGTATGTTCCACGACATATCCGTTGCAGTTCTCTCCCGAGTGAAAGTCATCGTTTGTGTCCCTCTTTTCCTCTTTTCCAGCATGATCCGCGACGGGGGTGACATATCCTTGCAAGATGCTCTCGATGCCACCAATTCTTTGAGATATTGTATCAAAGCACACCACACCCGACGACAATCTGTAAAGTAAAACATTTGCAGTAGATATACAACATATACTTTGACATGCCATGTACTGAGGACGCATGCACCAGACGCGCGGCACATGAGTTACGTGATAGTTTTGTGGAAGTATCGATATTAGGATGAGTACTGTTCTTAATAATATTAGTACTAGTGTTTGCTGTGATAGTATACATGTCAGTATTAGTAAACATAAATTAGTGTCAGTGCTCATGCTCGTTTTAGAGTTAGCGCTAGTGCCAGTGTCAATGTCAGTAATACAGCACCACTGCTAGTATCAGTGTCAGTCTTAATGTTGGGTTTAACCGCAGCTTATATTCGCAGAAGTGCTAGTATTAGTATCAATACTAGAACTAGTTTTGATATGTTAGAATATTGATAGTTTCGTACAGTAGCAGACTAGTATATCAATATATTATTAATGCATTCGAACAGTAACATATTTGTATACTTGTATACTTGTATATTTGATATGTTAGCACAACTGGTGCACGGGTACACTAGTATATTGGTGTATTAGTTTACTAGTATGTGTGCTATATTCATGTATTGTCTAGTCATATTTACAAGTATATCAGTATGTTGGCATATTAGCCTACTAATTTGTCATGTCGGTATACTTGCATGTTGCAGTAGTCGTATATTAGTATACTCGCATATTAGTATAGTATATTCATACATTAACGGGAAGTATATTATTACATTGGTATATGGGTATATGTTTATGCCAAAACATTAGTACATGAATGCACTAGTGTATATATCTGTATCTTAAGATAGTGGTATGTATTTTTATGTACATTAGTATATGCAGGTGTCTATTAGTAAAAAGATTAGCATTCATATCAATACGAATATACTATTGGTATTCGTAGGAGTTTTAATGTTGATATTAGAATTAAGACTATTCATAGTCGTATTAGCCATAATATAAGTGTTCATGCTGGGAATAGTACTGGCATTCATGAATATTCAACAGATTATCAATATCCGTATCAGTGTTGGTGATAGCATTATTGTTAACACCACAAGAGTTTATGTAGTCGTACTCGTAGGAGTATCAATACTATTGCAAATATTGATGTTAGTATAAATATTGTGATAAGTATTAGTAGTAGTATTAGCGTTAGTACTATAATATTATGAACACACTTGAAGTATGTGTCACGCTTTCCAGGCAATCAGGCAATGACCAGGAAGATTCGAAGCTGCCAGTTTGAGTATTGGCATCGGCACCAAAACATGGCGACAGTGACAGGCAACATGTTTGAAGTTTTTGCACAACCACCGGTGATGCCTTCTGAAACATGGAGTGCGAGGTTTTGGATGGAAGAGCGGAGCCCGAAAGTGAAATCAGAATCCGTTTCGGGTTTCGTGGGGATATAACATGTGAGAACAAATTACAACATGTAGAGCTAAGTAGATGCTAGGTGCAGAAAATACCGCAAATACCAATGATTTTGTATGTAGGTGAAGTCATGTAGAAATCGAAGCATGAGCAGCAGGAGGTAGAAAAAACCATGGTATGGATCATGGGGGGGGCGTGACCAAATGAATATATATATATATATATATATATATATATATATGTATGTATGTCTATGTATATATATGTATATATATATGTATATATCTATATGCATAGATGTATATATCTATATGCATATATGTATATATGTATATATGTATATATGTATATATGTATATATGTATATGTATCTGTATATGTATATGTATATGTATATGTATATGTATATGTATGTGTATGTGTATGTGTATATGTATATGTATATGCAGATGCAGATGCAGATGCAGATGGAGATGCAGATGTAGATGGAGATGGAGATGTAGATGTAGATGTATGTGTATATGTATATGTATATGTATATGTATATGTTGCCCTGGCTGTGCTGCCCGTGCGGTACCCTCCGGAGTCGTTGGTCGGGTTTGTCACACTGATGCCGTGGTTTCTCACATGCCCTCACGAATGGATGTGCTTGGTGGCCTCAACTCGTCGGGCTGCTGTCGCTCAGACAAATTCGGGTTCAGGCACAATTTTCGGCTTCAGGATGGGGGAAGGCCCAAGTTCAGCTTCGGCGAATCCATGTGTCCATTTGCCGCGTCAGGCACATGTTTCAGCCCCCTCAGCGAATTCGAGCGCCGAATTTCGGCGTCAGGCACATTTTCGGCTTCAGGTTGGGGGCCGACCGAATTTCAGCTTCAGCGAATTCGAGCGCCGAATTTCGACGTCAGGCACATTTTCGGCGTCAGGTTGCGGGCAGATTGAATTTAAGGTTCAACGAATTCGAGCGCCGAATTTCGGCGTCAGACACATTTTCGGCTTCAGACTGGCAGCAGCCCGAATTTAAGCTTCAGGGATTTCGAGCGCCGAATTTTGGCTTCAGGCACATTTTCGGCTTCAGAACACTCGATTGCCGGATCGAATATCGGCGCCGACTTCAGCCAGCACCGACCGAATTTAGGCGCCGAATTTCAGCTTCAGATTTTAAGCTTCAGGGGGGGGTACGAAACCGGGACCCACTTCCCCGGGTCCCTGCATATATACATACTTCAGAGGATGCTAAAATGTGAAGGGTTTGAAAGTCTTGCATGTGTGTGTATACATATATATACACACACATACTTCAGAGGACGCTAACATGTAAGTGGTTGAAAAATCTTACACAGTGAGCTTGCAAAAACTCAGGCCCCACAGCAATGTGCTCTCCACAGGAGGAGGTTTCTACACATACAGAAACCATATAAAAGTTCCAACATACATAACCATATACAGAATATATACATATATACTATACGTAAACATATTCAAGCACATATAGACATACATAAACATATAACAGCACGTACAAACATGTATAAACCTAAATAAACATGAATAAGTGTATACATATATATATATATATTTTATGCAGCTGCAAATTAATTAGCACTTATATAGAGCACCCCAGTCCGCAGAACCGGTGCGTGGGGCCGTAAACTGTGCTGGTAGAGGCTGTGGGCCCCGTTAGGGCCTTTTTGACGGCAGAAGCCATAAAGGCCCGGCCCTGTTGAGGACTGTTCCCCATGGGACAACCTTGTGCATCCGTTCCCAGGTCCACAGCGTTGTGGATGTCTACGAGAAGAATGTTGTTTTGAACATTGTAGGTACCTTTGAATGCAATCAGAAACACGACGACACTTTCATACGATTTGAGCATTCTTGTGTAGTTTCGGCTGCAACGGCATTATTAGGCCCATCATGGAACGAAGAAGCACACCGGGCAGCTTCCCAGGTAAAACAGAAGAAGTCACGAAGCTGCCCGACTGGCTGGGTGCTCCATATCTAGGAGTTGCTTGGAGAGTCTTCAGTTTGTGTTTGCACCACGGTGGATGCTCAGCTGGCCTGTTGCACATGCCCACTCACATCGTTTCCAGAGTTGCGAAGCAGTCTTTCCTAGTGGCTGAAGCTGCGGAAACATCTGTGAGCATACCCGCGCCAGACAAGCCACACAACCCACTGGCAAAGTAAAGTGAAGGGTACGATTTCAGCTTCGTCAAGTCGGAGAGGCATGGATTTAACCTGGAAGCAAGCACGCTTGTGCGAACAACAAATTGAATTCGATATTTACCGAGGATCAATCTGGACAGGCAACAAGTAGCAGTTAGAGACAACGCAGTACAGCATCAGTATCCCCGACTCCTGAACGTCAATCTACCGCTTCTGTTCTGTAGGGCTGTAGCCTGCGCGATTGTGTTGCCCAAGCAGGTTAGTCGGAGATTGGATCGGCAGCCGATGTTGGACTATGCCGGCTGCGTCCTGATCTCAGATCACCCCAGCAGCCGACGATGGGTACACCCGCTTGATGGTCCACTGCTCGAGCAAAAAGAATCCTGTAGCGAAGCCTAGCTGCTAGCTGTGTAACAGATTGCGTGATTCCCATCTTTCAAGACCCGTACTGTGCTCAGTTTTAAAGAACGTATCGTCCACCTTGTCCTGTCAGGTACTGAACAACTGGGAACGAATGGATCCAAATGGGCCCATCAAGCCGTCGAACGTGCGCTTACTCCGCCGCTTCACGGGCCTGATCGACGAGGACTCCGAACATGGTAGCAATCGGAAGAGACGAGACTTCCAACTTCTGTACAACGGCTGTTATTCGTCGAGCAGACCGCTCGACGCGAGTCCGACGTGAGCTGTAGCTGCTCCAATAGACAGGGTGCTGAAGGTGTCTTCCCTAGCAGTCGTCCACGTTGCATTTCGAGAATTGCCATAGCCAGAACATGTCAAAGAGAAAGAATCGTCTTCGGCTTGAGGAGTGGTTTTTCAAGACGCACATCATCATCGAATCGGAAGGCGGACATGTGGCTGGTGCCTTGAAATCGATTTCTGCAGCAATGCGCAACTCGCCACTGATTAGTTGTTGACTTCCGCCACTCGCTCTGCAAGACTACTTTCCAAATCCCTGGAGCGACCCCAATGAAGTATCTCTCAACCTTTGCCTCACATCCTGCAGGACCGTTTTACAAAAGAAGAGTTCTTGCATCCTTCAGGCAGAGACTGCAAGTTGTGGCTGTTGTGCTGTGCTGCGGCCGGACATGTGATGCAGCAGATGATCGGGCATCGGAGATGTCAGGTGAGTCGGTGAGTCCATAGAATAACGTCAGGGTCCCGCTTTCGAAAGACCTGACTCTGAGGTCCTTGTTACTGAGCGGCCAGTTGATTGGATTCCTTACCATGTACCCAGGACAGTTTTTGGACCTGGTGTTTCAGTCTTCTCCTCGCCCCTCCTCTGCTCTGGCTTTTGCAAAGGAGTAGCAAGTATTCCAATACCGAAGCAGTTGAAAGTGCAGGGATCGCAAGTTCACGGCGACAATTTCAAGATCTCAAGATGTTCCGCCACGTGCGACGCATGCATCATGCAACTTGGATCAGGGCGGCTGACCTGTCTTGGAGGCTTCATGCATATATGAACCCTAACTTTACAAAGGCCAATCCTTCAAGTCTAGGATATATTTTGGGCGGGAAAACGGACAACATTCAGCAATCTAGCCCCACACCGACTGAGGGTATGCCCGATTGGTCGATCGCTGATGGATGCATGAATCGATTGCTTGCTTGGCTGATTGATAATTGATTGCTTGCTTGCTTGCTTGCTTGATTGATTGATTGATTGATGAGCTGATTCGTTGATTCATCGAGTCATTCGTTGGTTCGTTGATGACATCCGGCGTCCCTTGACCCGCTGGTCTCGCTGATAAGATGACGGTAATCACTTGGTAGCTTGCCGTCAGCATGGTACTGCTGACAATCCGTAGTCATAGGCAACAACGATCTGCACAACTTGCTGCAAGAGCTGCACTTGCTGGAGGAGGCGCTGTGGAGGCCTTGGCACGCATCCATCCCTGTTCTGCCTCCTGCCCAGCCTACAGTGCAGGACACATTCTGCAGATTTTATCCCCGCGTCTCTCACGATCTCAATGGTAGTGACTGCTAGTGCCTGTGAATCTATACATATCGCTAGAGATCTCTGTCTCCTGCTACAGTCTTGCCGCGGCATCGACCTGCGACAGGCTGGCTTCCGTGTGCCTCCCCATCATGTTTGCGCGGTCGCCGCACGACCACAAGTTGCTGTGCGAGCCCTTCATGTTCTTTTTTCGGCTGCGTCCGTACATCACGTCAGTCGCTTTGCAGGCAACCAGCCGGCTGTTTGTGTGGATCATGTTGTAATCTTTTCCAAGACCTACAGGCACAGACCGCCACTCCCGTTGGAACCGCCTCGAGGACAGGTGAGACTTTAATGCAGCTCCATGGTACTAACCTGACTAGCCCTCATACTGAGTCTTATTCTAACCCGTAAAACCCTTACGAAGCCAGGAGAGGGAACTCGTCCGGACGAACCCGGTAAGGGAAGCAAAGTCCCAAGTCCAAGAAGATATAGGGTTTTGGGATTGTCCTGGTATTCCCGAATGACCATCTTAAGAGCGGAGAGTTCGTCCAGAACAAGTTGGACAGACGGGCCTGCCGCTGCCCTTTCTCTCAAGGTTTTAGTAGGGTGTTGGCTCGCACGAGGGCGACACCAGGAAAAGTGAGGTATTGGAGATATGGCGAATAAGACAGAAACGGAGGCTGGGAACACAATCGATTTTGTGAGGGTTCCTGTGCAAGTGATCAGCTTGACCGCAGTTGCAGATTGGAAGGGCTTCCGTCCCAGAGAGCCGTAAAGTAGCCACCATTTTCTGCATGCGAGAGATCTTACGAGAACGACAGTGGGATCGGGATATGTAACTCCTTTTTGGACTCGCTTGGCTCGAAAGCAGTCCGCATGCAGAAGTTGGGTGTGGAGATTGCCTGAGATTTGACAGTTCGTGCTCTCAAGTACATCGCGTTCATATGTGCATGTTCCATAACGTGACTGCACGGAGTCGGCCTCACCACCTCCTGTTGGCGTGCTCGCTGCAGCCGCTGGTGCAAGGAGTGGACACTGCCCGCCTGTGTGCCCCCCACACCGGAAGCATGCAAGAAAACCGAAGACCCTTAAGGACCCATCACCACAAACCGGAAGCACGGACGGGAGCCGAAAAGGACAAACCACGTAAGGACGGAGTGAGCCCGACCTGAGCAAGGCCGACATCGGAAAACCAACACCAAAGCCCACAACCCATACCGGAAGCCGAGAAGCAAAACGGTCGAACAATGAAAGGGTCAAGAACCCAATCAAACCCTAAACTGGGGGCTAGGAACCCTAAGAAGTGAACCCTACCCACCACCTTCAGCCCAGCGTGCGAGGGTTGAGAGCTGCTTATTTGGTGCAGTGCCAAGCCAAGGTCACGATGGAAATGTGCGGGCAGAGGTTTTCCTTGTCTGGCCCCTCTGGCGCTATGAGCACAATCCTTCCTGCAGTCGATGCATTGCTGGGGATTCGGAGCCTTTGTTGAATGCAGCCAAGCTAACCTCTCATGCGACGGCAGGTCAAAAATGCTGTATGCCTGTGAGATCATGACACGTGGGTTAGCCTGCTAAAGCCGGTAGTCCAGCATAGTATGTGAGAGATACAACAGTGAAAACAGTGAGCAACGTTGTTGTGTGTGATACGCGTCCGTTGGATTGCCACTTCGCTGAAATATCCGGCGTGTGGAATCGGGGAATGCAGGGCAGGCAGGTCTTACACCCGGATTTATTGTTGGCCTGGAAACTCTACGCATTGGGAAGTCCTTCTGCAGCCGGAAGCTCTGGCCCGCGGAATGCTGTTGTTGCCACCCACTACATTAATTCTACTCCCACATTATTGATTGTGATTGTTCTGTTCTACTTTGCATGTATTGCAGCAGTTGATTGGCGTGGCCTTCGCATTTTAAAATTGGGTCCGAACGCTCCAACTCGAGAACAACGATGACAATCGACGCGCAGCAATCACGAAAGACGTTGCACCCCAAGCTTGGGCATGCAGACAGGAAACAGAGTGCTTGAAAAACATTCTCGAGACTCACAGGTTCAAGAAACGGTGAAATCATTGGGAGCGTTGCAATGGATAGCCGATGGAATAGACCAGACATGTCTGCCTGAGACATGTATACATGCTGGTGATAAATTCGGCTTGACTTGTTGGCGAGGAACACATCTGCGGAACTTCGAGAGGCAGTCAAGACGTTCGAGGGCTATGTTCCGAAGGCACAATCGTTGTCGGCATTTGGAAGTTATTCCTTTTGCTCGCTGAAAAACTCCTAACAGCAAAGCCCAGCGACCAGAACCGGGACAACCTTCCCTGTCAACAACGACGACACTCGCCAGGAACACAGGCAGTTTCTTGATGGTCTTCGCAATGCACCCAGCAGTGTCCGCAGCTTCATCAAAGCCGGCAAAGCGACTCTGGAAGAGAGCATGTGGTATGCGCTGGCCGGGGCCTACAATGCTTGCACCTAGACCTCAGGCCTAGCGCTGAGCAGCATTGAGTCAGGTCGTTTTTTTCGAGCAGTGAGTCGAGAGAGCTCTTTTTGCATTCAGCTGAAGCTGAACTCAGGTATCTCGAGGGTCTTGGACTTCAGGTGGAGACATTGGAGCTTCGTTGAGCAGTTTATCATCCGACCCTCCACCGCGACTAGTCCGATGCTTCTTGAATGGAACAGACTTGAGCGTTGGGCTTTGCTTTGAAGAGAGGACCTTCGGAATCAAAACAGAATGCCTACAGTACAAGGCTCATGGATAGGGATGGGATGGTCAAACTCCAGTCGATGTCGTCAACCCCGAAGTATCCCGAGGTACAACACAGAGCCCAAACAGTGTGGTTTCGAAGCACGCACAAAGGTCGCAGCCCTCAACTTCTGAGGAACACATCCGTCTGCCCTATGGCAGTTTCGGCGGATTCTTCCGTTGAGAGTCCATCGAGCAGTCACAACCCTATGGTTGGAACAGGCGGAACCACGTTTGATTACTTGCAGCAGTGGCCCTGCTGCACAGGGTCAGTCCTAGATTGCCGTCCGCAGCTGCTACGCATCCATCCCTTGCCCGCAGTTCCTCCTGGTTTCTGATTCGTGATTTTGTCACGCAGCGCAAGCCAGCATGTCGAGAAGTTGCCCCTGCAATGATTACCAAGGCACATCTCAGATTCTCAGGTGGCCAGGATCACCCTCGGTCCGAAAGGACAAGATCGCGAAACTTTCTCGTGCGCGGTGTTTTCGATGCACTAGTTCACTTCTCGCTTACTAAAGGCCGGCATGGTCACAAGAACGAGAATTAGCTTGGAAAGTGTGGTGAAACTGTTAACGTTAAAGTTGGAAAAGGCTTGCTACAAGTGTGTGCATCAAATACCAGATGTGACGGGGGGTGCTGCGTTAATCGAGGTGCTTTGGCACAGCCGTGTGGGAACTTGGGTATATTTCCAGAACTGTTCAGATGCGGTGCAGGAGAGGCACACGTCCGGCAAGAAAGTGCGGAGGCGTCGATCTCCGCACCACATGCCAATCTGCCAGTGTTCGGCGATGCCCCTCGGATCCCCTTAAGGTGAGGTGTTGCAGACAATGCCGGTGCAACTTATGCCAGATTCGCAGGGCTTTCCTCAAGGTCGACAGGTCTCGTCAACAGGTGCAGCGAGTCCTGCTGTAAGTAATCTCCATGATAATCTCCATCAAGACTGCGAGAGCGGACATCTCGCATAATTCACACTGCCGGCCTCTGACCTTTGTTGCTCTTCAAGGTGACCAACGGCCACCTTTGGGATCCGACTGGTCCGAACGGCTTTGTGACTAATCGCTGCGGGAATCTGCCAGGATGGGGTCCAGGCTCGGTGGCGTCGGGGTGGGGGGGGGGGGTTGGGGTTTTCATTTCTGCCTTCGTCACCATGCCGACCTGAAGAAGATGGTTAGACATATGCTTTGACTTTGGAGATGTTAAACTCGGAAGAAGTTCTGTTTTCGGTGACCCGAATTGCCTCAAAGGGAGGGGTGCAAACCTAAGCCCAAGCCCAACCGAAGTTCGATCACTCCCCCAAACCCCCTAGCGGCATCCAGCGGCCCTAGCTTGCTGCCAGCACCATAGATAAGTGCTGCTACCTTTCCCACGCTAGCTTGCCACCATGATCAGGGCTGCTACGTTTTCATTTCTGGCTTGTTCTTGTTGATGTAGTACACCCCGGTGATCTCGCACGGTCGATGCTGGATCCTGCTTCTATGTCTGCGGGGCATTCCATGAAGTTGCATGAGTTTGACAATCGAGCGAACTGATAGTATCATCAGGTGTCAGTCACAAAATTCAATCCCCACGCCGATTGAGAAGGCAGGTCTTGGCACCAACACGGCCCGACCATCTGCAACTTTCGACCAATACAATTCTTTCAGCATCGACGATCCAGGGTTAGGAAAATTGGAGCGCTGAGGGTTTAGAGTCAGAATTTTTGCCTGGGCCTACAGGTTTCGCCGGTCCGCTCCCTGGTTGCTCCGCCCCTTGGCCTTGCCATGGAGCAGGGTGGGTTCAGGCAACACTTTGCTATTAGCTCTGCGCAGAAGCAGAGTGTCCTGTGCCGGTCGTTCAGGGTGAAACAGCAACTCAATGTTTTGACGGTCGCAGCCTCGATGTCACCAAGGCACTGATGGAGCTCGCGACCATTATCCCCAACCTCTGCTTCTCACATATTTACTCAGAGGAGCGGACCGTGGGGCTTCGTGCTTTTGGCAGGTGTTCTCCGAGCGTTTGAGTGCAGTTGCCGCGCAAGTTTCACCTCTAGACTCCATCGGAAAAGAACCGATCAATAGGTCCTGTGCGGGCGAAGGCCCCAACCTGGGTGCCTACCTCTCGAGCTCAGGACCCTGAGTCGCCGGCGATTGATCATCCCTTCGTGCTGAGGTGGGGAGGGCCCGCGGTATCCCGGGGTCAATACAAGCTGACAGCTCTTGCTGCCGGTAATCTCTTTCAGTGAACTCGCGACCTTCCAGGATCAGGCGTCAGTCGGCTGTGGGCAGCGTTTGTACTGGCCTCACTTTAGGTCACGCTTTCATTTGGCAGCCTTGCCTCGATCATTAGGCGACGAACAGTAGGAGGGCTCGATGCGAGAAGACCTTACCAAATAACAGGCACACACTGAGACGCACTGAAACCAAGTCTTTCTTCTCTCAGCTGCCAGAAAACCTGCACTGCGTCGAAGGTGCAACGCGAAGCGAGCGGAGCTCGAAGCCCTGGTGTCAAGAAGCGGCGGAGAGCCGGCCCCAGCTGCCTGGATTGCACTGCTGGAGACACTGAGACAGGATTTAGCGGTTTAGGGCTTTCAGAGAGTGCAGAGCCAAGAAGTTTGCACACTTTTCCTCTTTGGCATATCATTTTTCGAGTTTTTGCCTCGTTGAGTGATGTATGTGCTGTATGCATAAGCCTCTGTGCTGCTGCAGCAAACCCTTCCAATGGATCCTGCTCTTATTGCGGCGTCGCCGGGTGCGTTTATCGATCGCCCCGATGTTCCGTTGCAACGCGTGCGACCTCTTCGGCTAGTGCGTCATGGTCCATTCTCGAAATGAGCAGTTCTCTAAACTGGGGTCCTGTTTAGGATCCTTTTGCAGAAGGCGCCGTACTATTTCGGGGACCTGAAAAGGGACCCTAATGTAGAAAACTGCTCGCATTGCTCCCTCCGTGACGATTCCGGAAAGTGGCTTTGTGCTTCCTGACACGCAGGACAAAGTGCTCAAACGCAAGCTTTCTGTCGGCTCCGACAACGTATCATTCATGATTTCTGTACGTTGTGGGACGTGCACCTGCAACTGGAAGTTGGAACTGGTGACTCCGCAAATAGAGCAGTGAAGAGCACCAAAGGTCGCACGTCTTCGATTTGCTGATCTGGAGCACACCTGGATGCTGCTTTGCAACGTATCTTCGGCATACAAGGAACGCCCGGCGCATGAGCCACACATGGATGCCATGCTTCTAACTTAGTTCGACGCCCATCTCCCGGGACATATTGCCCATGCTTGAAGGTCTTGAGGCATCAGAGAAGCCTGCTGTCACAGGCGATTGAGATTCCAGGGAGCCTTCAGGAGATGAATGGCGAGAAGTGCCCTGTCACAGCAGCTTGGCTCAGAGAGGAGATCGTCACGGAGCTCACTGTCTGAGCGGCCCTTTTCCCGATGTTGCTCGTTGTGAGGCACGCTCTGGCACTTGCCCTGTCCAGCCGAAGCGAGCCAAGACGGAGGCCTGGAGAGTAAGTTAGAAAGTGTACCACTCATTGTGAACATCAGCGCCACCAGGGCATACAAGTTGAAACCAATACCCACAATTGGGTCACATCAAACAGGTTTCCTTGAAGGCTTTCGTGCTTTGGTGTGACAAGACCAGGACTGGCTGGAGAGCATCGTTCGACAAGTGGCATCAATTGTCGGTCGGCCATGGAACGGGACGCCTGAGTATGCCGAGCTCGTGCTCAATAACTGGTCTTTTGTCATTGTTTATGCATCGAAACTTAGTGTGTTCTTTGATTTGCGAAGATATAGTTGTCTTTGAAACCCGCTCTTGAAGCAGGTAGGACTGCTCCACCTTTCAGAGTGCCTGCGAATTGCGCCTATTTCCCGGATCCTGCGGTGACCGCATGCGGATGCCCAGCAACTGAGGTATGTTTCGCCGAACGATAATATGAGCCCGGATGAGGTGTTCGTCATCAATCGCCAGACCATCCAGCATGTTCATCCCGTTTGATGCTTGACTTGATAACATGCGAAAGTTGCAGCACCCGAAGGCAGTCCGTATTTTCTTGCTGCACTCCGCAGGCCTCGTTTGTCGTTAGCCACACTCCAAATCTATGCAGTTTCGTGGGATGGTGTGCTCAAGCACAGAGGAACCTGCACCGATGGTGCTGTTTTTGCCGCAAGGAAAAGCATGGAAAATCTGGAAGACCGAAGCTTTCCCGTGAGACAACAGCACCACACATCACGCTGTTTGGGCTAGCACGCACACTTCAGGTCGGTTTCTGGCGCTGCCCGACGAGGCCGTCGTGGAACATAGGTAGAGTCGGGAGTAGGTAGAGATAACTCTCGAACTTTAGCAGCGACTTCACGAGCATTGCCGGCGGGACATGAGCCGAAAGCAGGAGTGGCACCGGAAGCTGCACATCCTCCTAGAGGCCGAGGGCGGCCGTGCAGTGGCTGCAGCATACAGGCGCACGAAGGGGGGCTGCCGGAGATTAAGGGTGACATTCCCGGTCGCGAGCTGCATCGCAAGAAGCGCTCTGTACACACCCCAATTGAAGTAATTAATAAGTTAATGGTCGTTGATTGTTGATGGAGCGCATTAACGTACCGAAGAGGTCAGGGGCAGGGTCCCATGCATTGCAAAGCCACAGACCCTATCCGCGCGGGCGCGGACTCTTCTTGTGGATGCTTCCTGCTCGAAGAGGATGCTTTATCGTTTCTGTGAGTCCTGCACACTGAGACTCACAAGCATGTCAATCTCCCCATGAAGGACTGTACCAAGCATATACTGTATGCACGGGATTGCCGCAAGAGCAGGGACTTGTCCTTTTGTGATCGCACACGCTGTTTTGCATTCATTGCCCGCAAGGCAGATCGCACCCAATGCCAGGCAACCTTTGCAGCTGAACACAGGAAAGTCGGAGAAAATCACAAACTCAGGCCAGCAACGCGACTCACCGCAGGTGCTGCGCCATTGGACACCTATACTTTGTGGAAAAACCCCCAGCACGTGCACAGGCTACAGCAGAGCATGTTCAGATCATTGACGGTTCTAGGCACCAAGCTTCAGAACATGTTCCTCCTGTGCTGAGTACCAAGATGTTGCGTGCCTGGCTATGCAGTCTATCATTTCCCTGCCTATAGTCCCATGGATGGAGTTGCTTCCCCATACTGAGTTGGTCAGGTCTCTTCGGGAAGCTCTTCCAGCGAGAGATAACGATGGGGTGGGTGCAGCCCTGAACCAGCAACCTGGACTTGAATCACACTTGACACTGACATACACAAGTGCCGCAATCCCCGCAGGTTGGCAGCGGACATTGATTCCCTCACGGAGCCTTGGTACTGCGGCCATGTATCACGTGTTGCTGTCGGGAAAGGTAGCATAGACATTCCGCACGAGCAAGGAATTCCAGCGGGACCAGTTCAATCAGAAGGATTGCCGAGGGGAAGCACTGATGATTTCGCGCCTGCGGAAATATTCTTACCCAGACCTTCAGATGGAAGAGCTTGCTGTCTGGATCTACACGGAAGGCCCGGAAGCTGCGTGACAAGTCGAGTCTGAACAGGGAAACACGTCCTACTCCTGCTGTATGGTAAAAGCCCCCTAATGTACTTTCGGGGAGACTTGATATAATGTCCCGCGCTTCGCGTCGTCCGCCTCGGCCCGGCTGTACTTGAAGCAGGTGCATTGTTTCGAAAGGCAACGGGTAGGTCACGCAGATAAGTTCTTGGTTGAAAGAGCGCATGTGCTTCAGAATATGTTTCAATGTTTTTTTTTTGTTTTCATGCTGAGGCTCTGAGCAATAATCCCATGCGAAAGGTGGCACGTTCCCTGCATTATTATCCCATAGAGGTTACTATGATAGTTGTATCACACTTCTCTCACTGGGGCTCGTATACAACCTCCCATATGTTGGAAAGGGAACCAAGCTTTGCGACGAAGTACAAGACACAGCCCCAGAATTCCCAAGCTTTGGCATCAGCTTCGCGAATGATGTAAGCCAGCCCGTCTTGCGTCACCGCAAGGAAGAGACGAGGAAGGGGGTAAGGGCGGGAGGGACGGGGGGAGCAGACTCTCTGGACATAGGCTGCCAACCCGAAATCCAATTTGTAAGGTGGAGGGGGGGGTCCACGCTGCCGGCTGAGGAAGGACTGGCCAGTGGAATCCCTGTTGTGGGAACCTCTGACCGCTTCGGCCGGAAGTAAATGCAACCTTAGAGGCTGCGTGAAGTAGGCAGTGAGGTTTCTGTAAGAATCCCTCTGCACGAGTCCCCAGGAAGTTCGCCGCTCCTACCGGCCTTACATGCCATTCTTGGCCTGCGAAAGCTGGACGGCATTTCTGGGCCGTTGCAGGAGCACTGGCAAAGCCAGGGTCGGCTGTGTATGGCCGAATCTCATAGACAGCGCCTAGGCGTCACCCAGCAGAGCCCTCATGTTTTGAACATGTTTTTTCGTCACCTTCTTCCGACGAGAAATCTTGCGTCGGTTGCACTGGTTGCATCAGGTTTCTTGACTGCCTCGAAAGCGGCATGTCAGTGCGCGCCTACTGCCTTCAAGTCTGGAGATACCTGCCTGTGGAAGCAATCGCGGCGCTTGAAGATGCGCTTCTTGTCACAGCCTCCTATATTTCTGTTGCATCCATCGTGTACCATGTTCGTGAAAGTTGCGATGCTTGACTTGTGCAGGGCCTTTACGGTCATTGCATTTCGATTGGTGCCAGGGGGGAGTCCGGAAAAAGCACTGCGTCCGCCAAAACAGACACATTGTGCCCAAAAGTAGCCAGCACCATCTACACACACTCTGCCAGGCCACTATGCTCAACTGCAAAGAAGCTCTCAGGAAGCACAGCAATTGCCTAGTGATTTTGGCAGAGAGGCACAAGAGGCCTCAATACGCCTTGCTGAGTGCCCCAGCCATCGGAATACACGAGTTGGGAGCCCATTGTTAGGTGCCCAGCTGAAGCAGAAGCTTACACTGTGTGCGAAAGATGATTTCATCTCTGGCAGCTTGCAGACACCCATGCAATGGCAGCACAAGCTTATGCGGACTCAAAGACGTCGCGGTACAGTATTCACAGCCTCAAAACGGTACTGTTGCCGCTGTTTCAGTTCGGTGTTTTGCGAGCGGCTCGTGATTGACTCTGATGTTGCATGTCCGGCGCTCTGCAGCTTCATTCAGAACATGAGGAGTGTCGCGCTTTCATGTCCCAACTCAATTTGAACTCGCTTGACTTTCGACGGCAGTGCCTGCTGGTTGGAGCAGGGGAAGAGGTCGAAATCGCGTGCCTGCATGTATTATATGTCGTGTGTGTGTGTGTGTGTTTGTTTGCTTGCTTGCTTGGTTAGTTGGTTGCTAGTTTGCTTGTTTGTTAGTTAGTTTGTTTGTTTGTGTGCGCGCTGCATTGACAATGCAGTTGGCAGCCAAGGTTCAACAACTGTATTGAGGCGCTTCTGAGATACTGCTCTGTGCGGCAGAGGTTCGTCAGCCGAGTGTCGCCGGTCGTGGTTTCCAGCACCGGGAGTCTCGCTGTTCTCTTCCCGCCTTTCCCGTGTATGACAATTCCAGACAGCTCTACCATAAACCCCGGGCCCTGCAGAGTAGGATGCCATAAGCAAGCCCCACCCGTCCATATCCGTCCATGTTCTTCGCGGCTGCCTTGATACGATTGGCTGCTGAGGCTACCACGCGTTGGCCACATTCAGACACTGAGTGCCAAGCAAGAGAACGTCATTCGAGCAGGACAACTTGCACGGTCCAGATGAGAGGTTCTCTTGGAGACGTGGGATGAGGGAATTCCCGTACATCTAGCGTCGTGCTTTGTGCTTCGCATCCGCATCCCTGGGAAGGACGATTGGCTTTGCTGCAGATGCGGCGAGTTGCGGATGCACAGCGCATGCAGTACCCGGCCCGAAATTGTGAGATACTGTAGAATCGGTCTGCATTTCCGCTAACCTCCGTACCGGTAATAGAACATGCAGGTCAGAGGCAGATCCGTAGAAGAAAAGCCGGCCTGCCCGCAAGTTTCAAGATCTGGTGAGCAGAGCTGCGATTCCAGAGGGATCACAAAGCACAAGGACGTCCCACGGAAGACGGGACAGGGGCACGATGAGGTGGAACTGGGGAAGCCGACCCGAAGTCAAGCCCGAAGCACGGTAGGGTAACCGGGCCTTGGCGACCCATGCAAAGCTGCTGGATTGCACAGCGCGCAGGTACACGCCATTCGAATTGTGGCAAAGTAGACCCCAGAGAGCGACAGAGCACCGACCTAGCAGTCCAAAACTGCACGCCAGACAGAAGCGGGAGCACATCGGCCCACAGAACAAGCACTGCACCATGGCGGGAGCACAAGTTCCGCACTGCACTGTGGCAGGAGTGCGAGTCATCAGGTTGTACAGTACCCAAAGAGCGAGAGCCATGAGCCGGGCGTCCCGGAAGACACGGCATGACACGGCCGCAGCAGGATCGTGAAAAGAACGATTTGAGTTGAAAATGGTGACTGCGCATTGACTGCATTGCAGTGGAGCTGCGGGACCGCTGCTTCTGCCCGCCGTGCCGTGGGGTACTGCGATCTAAACCTTTTCAGCCTGACCACATTGTGTTCATTGTGTTCGATCCCGACACTTTGCATTCGCGAGGAGCTGATCTCAACCAGTCATGTGCAGTAGTCCCGACTTCAGGTTGGCCAACGAGGCGCTGGCCGGCCTTCTTCCCTCTTGAAGCCTCAAGAGGCACTTCAGGCGGTTCCCCTTGAGTGTGGACACAACATTCCACGGTGGCCTGGAACAGGTTCTGCTGTGCAATCTCGTGAATTTTGTGCTGGTAGGGCTGCAGTGATGCGGAGGTTATGCAGCGATGCAGCACGTATACTCATATTTCACTCTGCCTAGCAAGAATAACAGACAAAGACAGATCTAAGCTATTGAACTCCAAGCCTCACAGAAGGATGCCTTACAGCCGCTGCATCGTGCCAGTCCAGAAAACACTGCCTTGGCCCGACAGTGGCAGCAAAAGAGCCGCTGCCATCAGTCGTGTAGGTTTGCTTGCCCCTACAGCTTCGTCGAACTGACCTGGTGTGCATAGTCTATACATTCCGCAATCCAACGCCAAAACGTGCGAACACAGCTTGTCGATACAAGAGCATCTTCTTCGATCATGCCTGTGTTGAACTTTCAACTCGAGAAACAGTGTGTCTGAGTTCGAGTTGTTGAGCACGATTGAAGATAAACATCGCGCGGTCTGGAACAGCTTTGCGGCTTAGTCAGTTGCGCCAGACACGCAGAATAACAGCAGCTGCTTGGCCCGACACGAAGTTTTCTCAGCAGACAGCACTCAGAGCCTTCAGACATCTTTCAAGCCAAGTTCATAAGCTAGGCAGTGGTCATAGCTTTGTGCTTTGTCCATCAATCGCCAGCCGGCATTGCCGCCAATCCCCACATGCGCCTTGGCTGGAAAGCTTGTAAACGAACGATGTCGGTGGCTGTTGATCATCACAGGTTGCTTCAACTGAGAGCTCGGAAGCGTCTTTGACTCTTTGATCTTTTGCGCTGTACCCGTGCTGGTAAACCCAGGTCCTGGCTTCCGCCAGGCCTCAATCGGATGGTCTGAGTATCTGCCGGTGGAGACTTGTGCGGATGCAATGGTGATGCTTCAGGTTTGCAACGGTAGCAGCGACGTGCCAGAATCCCAGCCTTGGCAGGTTTTCTGCAGACCACGTCTGCGCCCAAGCTTCTTGATCGAGATGCTTGTCATCTGCACATGCTATGCACGAGCTCCACCCCCCACTTCGAGCTGATCCGCGACACCCTGCTGCTACAACCGTCAGCGCATCACATTGCGGTTGTAGCCGTTCGTCTTTGTCCTCGTGTCACGAGCCACTCCATCCCTTGGAGTCTTGGAGGTTGCATCTTAAAGTTTCTGTACCTGTAGTGATCTTGTCAATTAAGACCGGAGTTTCTGTCCATGGAGCACTGCTCTAGACATGCGCTGGCCAGGTTTACAAGCAGCGAAGTTGCTTTGCAGGACTTCCTCGGAACCGCCGGTGGCAACCTGGCCTCGTCGATTGCATCTGACCCCTGTTGCCAGGACGTGGTTCTGGTCTCTGCGGAACGATTACCAGAGGGCTCCGAAAGCTTCCCAGCAGCACCAGTTCATGTCTTCTGTGGGGCCATCAGTCGATGTAGAGACCTCGAAACACGAGAGCTCTTAGGCTGGCGCCCTCTCCCTTCCCCTCGTCCCTCGCTAGCCCTAGTCTTGATGGCAGATGATGCGTGTTTCCTGTGCTGTCTCCAAGACTCGAAACAACTTTAGCCTCAATCAGGATGGCCGCTGAAAGTCGTTGCAACATCCGACTATCCTGCTGACGGGCTGCCGAATGCACCACAGCTGCCGTGGTGAAGGGCTGGGTTCGACGTTCTACATCGAATGCTGCTCCGGGCGTTGAACTTCCCGTGAACATCAAGAAAATCGTGCCCATGCTGCGTAGATCTGCGTAGTTTCTGTGCCAGTGGTACATGGGGGCCCAACTGTGCTGGCTGGCAGTCGTGTGTCATGACCGGCACAAACCCGCCAGGTCTATCTTCACGGCCCAGAGGAGGAAGCACCGTCCTGAGTGCATGTCACGGGGATGGGTGCCGGGGAGCTGCATAGATGTTTCAGATGTGTGAAGTCTGTCTTTCGGACTTTGGCTGTTTTGTTGCGGGGCATGTCGATTCTGCAAAGAACTTACAGATACAGCGCCGAGCATGGATGATGCATTGGTTGGTGTTTGTTACTTCGAATGCAACCTTCGGAGAATCCTGAAAAAGCCTTATATACGATTTACTATTGATTGTTTTGTCTTATATGCTGCGTGTTGATGAAAAAAGACACACGAAAGGTCCAAGCGCTCGCGGCCCGTTCGCCAGTCCTCGGCTGCTTCTCCGAGGAGTGAAACAACACAGAAGCAGTGCCGGTCGTTTGTCAAGACTATTGACGATCCGTTCTGATTGCACACATCGCTTGCAAGAGTGACCCTTCGTTCAGAAGTGAGTTCTTCCTTTGGACGGCGTCTCTGGTTCTGACACACTGGGACTGTGCTTGCAGGACATTGCGTGGGAGGAGCTGATACGAGAAATTAGCTCCAGGTGCACCCTTTTCTCTTGGCAATCTTGGCTTTCCAGCTAAGGTTCTTTTTTGTTCCGGTACGACTTACCAATGTGCAGGTTTTGCTCTCGCAGTCAGTTACTGCCTAGCACTCTCATCCTACCTTGAGAGCTACTAGTAGTTGGTGCAGGCACGTGCTTACGATCCAGGAGATGATCCTGAGGCACGCCGAGAAGCTTGAAGCACCCGTGCCTGGACTTGACCCCACAGCCCGGAGCAGAAGCCGTGCAATGTACAGGCAGGCGAGAAGAACACCCAAACAGGTGGCTCTAATTTTCGAGGACAGTGCGACCCGTCATGCTGAGCTGATGGCGAGATGCACATTCAACTTAGGTGTCATTTGGGTGCACGAATCATGCACTGCCTGGTCGTGATGCTATTTGCCTGAAGGACAACGAGTGGACCTACGAGGAGTACTGCTCTGCAGCGTGCAGTTTGAGAGACGCTTGCAAGCTCTGACAGAGACGGATGAAGCAGGGTGTGTGCAGTGCATGGTGGAGTCCCCGAGCACTGCAGTATTTTTGTCCCAGAGATCAGGACATGATGCAATTGCATGTACATGGTCAGACAGTCGATATTGCTGAGCAGCTGAGGATTACTTACTCAGCGAGGGATTGGATCCCTCAGCAGGCGCACATTAAACCTTCGCTTCTTGCGCGAGTTTTGCCATCCTTGTTCTTGCTTGCGCAGACCGTAGAAAGCATCGAATCACATGTTCGAGTGCCGAAATCTCCCAATCAAGACCGCCTGCAATCCGATGAAGGCCCCGTGGGTGTGAGAATCGATGCGTCAGACCTGGGCAGCATAAGCCACCACGAGCCAATTTGATTTGGTAGCAGGGCCGCTAGAGCGTCTTAGTTTTGAGAGGTCAACGGTTCAAGATGTCCCGATGTTCACATGCCACTGGAGCTTGGTATTTTGATGACTCTGCTGTCGAAGCCCACAATAGGGAAGTTTTCATAATGGAGAAGCTGCAGAGCTGCCTGACCGGTCGATCTGGCCAGAAGCCTCGTCCAGCTCAGGCCACATGGCCTTGCTGTCGGGCCGCTTCGTAATCCATGTTCTAGCATCTTGGCTGCCAGCTGCGATGCATGTGCGCGGCTCCGGCTGGGGAATTTGAGCAAAGGACGCTGGTCATGCCAGCCAGAAGTTCCGCCTTGAAAATCTTCCCTCCCAGGCGCAGTCTTCAAGTTGCATCCAACCGGCCGTTAAAGGCGTTCTTATGCTTCAGATCGAGCATCGAGCATCAATGCTTGAGAAACGGTATTGTCAGCGGCGTGCAAGACTTGGATCACACCCGTCGAGTGAATGGGACAGCAAGCACCTTCATGCTGGGCATCGGAAGACTGTCGCCTGGCGGTAGACCGGAAACCCACAGACGCGCCAGGCGCTGCTGACGATTTCAGGCAGGTCGGGCCTGGGCAGGGCGGTGCACAGCTCAAAAACAGGCTACGACGAACGTCGCTCTCGCACAGGCAAACTTGGCAGAAGTTGCGAGACATGATGAGGGGTCAGGGGCCCACATGATACACGCACTTGTGCAGGAACGAAGACCAACGAGGCGGAGCCCAGTTTTGCCCGGGTCCTGGACTCAACTCATGACGGTAGCCATGCTCGACCAGTTGGTGTACAATGCCCAATAGTTGCTTCCGTCAGAAGCTAGCATTCCCTTGTGAAATCGCCTACGCAGCAGCTCTCGCCCGATTTGCTTCTGTCATTTCTGCAAAGATTTGGCCATCAGTCCGCACAGGCCGTGAGAACCTTCTACGTCGATCAGATCCTCGTTTTGGAGATCGGAGAAGAACCGAATCTGTCAGCGTTTTTCTTTCGGTTTTGCTCTGCCGGTGCTCAGGATTCCGCTCGACCGCAGCAGGTCTCCTTCTTCGCTCAGTGTGAAGGGACACTTTGCTGACTGAGAGTGTTGGGGATGGCGTTGGGTACATGCAGCAACTGCACTACACGCACCTTGCAAGATCTTCAGGAGATCTGAACGACGTCGCTTTTGTGGAGTACACTTCTGGCTCCACTGGAAATCCTAAAGGTGTTGCAACCGTACAATTCCGCACCTTGACTCTGTCTTTTTCCGGTAGACCTCAAAGACCGACCTCGGTCAGCATTCCAAGGGCCGATCCCCGTCGCAATTGCAGAGAGACCTGCAGGCATGGCGCACTGGACGGCTTGGCACGTCTACCATTTTCCTGCGCCCGGCAGCCGCCTGGCTTATGGTGTTGTCTGAAGCTTCTGGCGCAGAGCAGGGCACAAGAGGCAGAGCCCATATTACGGGGTCATGCAGCGTGCAACTTCTAATTACACCTTGGCACTGTCGCATGAAATTTCCGCCCCGAACGACAAGACCCCAGGCTTTGTGCCTAAGATCCTGCGAAGTGTGTTTTGTGTTGTCAGCTGAGGAGATGCCTACAATCTTTTCTGGAGCAGCCCTCAGCAAAGGTTTGTAAGATGCTGGACAGCTTCGAAATGTTGGCTACGACGGAGTGGGCATAAAACCTCACGCTGGGTCCCTTAAGGGCGCGATGCCCCGAAACAGTTGGTTCGAGATTCATCGCTGCTGCAAACATGGTTTTGTTTGTCAGGTGCGGCGTCCGGTGCAGTGAGCGTAGCTACAAGCACTGGTTGTTCACGCTCCGGCGACTACCGAGACACCATTCTTGCAGGGTGCACATATGACTAAGGATCTGGTATTGGCAACTTTCTTTGGCAACTGGTGGAACATGCGTGGTATGGCCATGTTGGCAGACTCCACGGCGAGCATTACGGATTGATGCCTTGTTTGGGCTTGCCGTTTCAAGATGTGTCTGAGCTCATGGCATCGCCGCCCCCAGACGACACCCGTGTGACCTTGAAAAGCAAAATTCCACCGGGGCTGAGATTTGTTTGTCCCCGTAGGTTTTTTTGGTGCTGTTGGACAGGCTTTTTCTCTTCTCGAGTATGCATGGACAGAGTCCGAAGCAAGCCCTCCGCCCTGTCCAGTCGCCGCGTATCCATGTCCAGCCTTCCCCTCAGCAGACAGGGCTTTCAGTGGCCTCTCTGCAGCCCGGATCATCGAGATACCTCTAGTTTCTTTCGAGCGTTTCGGTCCTTGTTCTCAGACGCTCTAGTCCCTTTCGAGCGGTTTGCTTCTTTGTCTCAATTTTTCTTGTCTCTTTCGAGCGGGTTGCTCCGCGTTCTCAAACGTTCTGGCCTGTTTCACGCGGTTTGCTCCGTGTTCTCATTCTTTAGTCTCTGTCCCTTAGTTCCCTTCGAGCGGTTTGCTCCTTGTTCCCAAATTCTCCAGTCTCTTTGAAGCCGTTCGTCCCTCTTTCTAAAGTTCCCTGGTCTCTTTCGAACGGCTTGTTTGTTCCTACTCTTCGAGCGGTTTGATCCTTCGTCAAAAAATGTCTCGTCTCTTTCGGGCGGTGTGTTCCTTGCTATTAAATTCTCTAAGTCTCTTGCTTCTTGTTCTGACATTTTCAAGTCCCTTTCGAGCGGTGTGCTCCTTGCTTTCAATCTCTATAGTTTCTATAGAAATTCTCTAGTCTCTTTCGAGCAGTTTGCCTGTAAATTCACGTGCAGATTGCTCTTCTCCGTTGTGTCATGTGTGTGTGCAGATGAGCCAGCGAACATCCGCTGGCATGCGGCCCAAATGCAGGGGCCCCTTGAGTTCACTTAGTTACGCAGATGATGACAGCGTGGAAAAGCGCAGTGCTGGGCAGCTTATAGGCGTTTGCTTAGCAGCTGAGAACCACCTGTAATCACAGGTGGTAGCGGAGCTGCCGGTTGAGTATGCCAGGCGGCGGAGAGATCCAGGGGAGCCAACCGCAGAGCTCTGCACCGAGTCACGGCACCAGCTGGAGAGACCGGGATCCACCCCCGGCGTTTGATGGGAGAAATCCCGATCGTGCTTATCCAAAGTGGAAGAAAGAGCTTGACCTTTGGAAGTTTGAGACCGAGGTCCCCAAGGAGAAGTGGGGAGTGAAAGTCTGGCGCCAACTGGAGGGCTCAGCGAGAGCCGTGGCGGACGGACTAACGTTTGAAGAGTTGGCTTGCGAGAAAGGACTCGAAAACTTGCTAAAGGTGCTCGAGGAGCACTACTCGCCCCATTTGGAGGTGTCGCTGCCGAAGGCCTTTGAGGACGCGATCTACGGCAACCTCCGATCCCACAAGGAATCTTTCAGTGACTACGTCATTCGAATGGAGCATGCAATGAAAGAGCTGGAACGCCAAGGTGTCAAGTTGCACGACATCGCTGTTGGCTACGTGATGTTCAGGCATGCGAATCTTTCGGATGTACAGGAGAGTCAACTGCTTACTTGGGGCGCTGGCAAGTATGATAGAAAAACAGTGGTGACCAATCTTCGACGACTAGATAAGGGTGCCTTTGATGTAAAGAGGAAGTCGGCTCACTACTTGACCGAGGGCGACGAAGAGACTGAGGACCCTCACGGCGAGATGGCCGAGATTTACCACCAGCAGGAGGACGTCGCGGACTCCGACCTCGATGAAGAGTACGTCTACATTGGTGAAGATGACTTGAAAGAGATATACGAGGAGGAGCATGTGATGGAAGCCTTGGCCACCTATCAAGACATCCGCAAGTCGATCAGGGATCAGCGAAACAGCCGAGGCTATTTCCCCACCGGGAAAGGTGGAAAGCGTGATCATGGAAAAGATCGTGGGAAAGGAGTTGGGAAGCAGAAGCCTGTGCTGGATATCAAGGGAGCTCCGAAGAATCCCATGAAGTTCAGTGGGAAGGGCACCAAGGTCCATGTCGACCTTTTGAAACTTCGTACGAAATGTGCCAGATGCGGAGTGGTGGGCCACTGGGCCCGTGAATGCCGAAACCCTCCAGATGAACGTGGCCGTCAGTCCACATACCGTTCGGCACCTTCGACTACTCAGTCGTCGGTTTCCTCACCCTCCGCTCGTTCGGGCTTTTATGTCGAGACTACTCCCGCTGACCGTATGGACTCGAGCAGCTTCTTTGGCGAAAACAGGTCCGACTGCTACATGTCCTACATTCCCACGTTTGGCCGCCTTATGTTCTCAGTGGTGGGAAAGAGTGCTAGAGCATTGCCCGACAAGCCCCCGGCAGAGAATCCTGAGTCCTTTGTTGGGGTAACCACCACCGCTGGCGAAGGCATCGTCGACACGGCGGCCCAGGACGGATTGGTCGGCAAGGCGGCGTTGCTACAGCTGACCGAGGCGTTGCGCAGCTTTGGGCTTCAGATAAGGTGGAACACTCAGAAGAAGGCTCAGGCAAGTGGTGTGGGAGGCAAGGCAAAGGTGATAGGCATCGCCGAAATTCCGATTGGCATCGCTGGAGTGAATGGTCTTCTAGAAGTGACAGTGGTGCAAGACAACGTGCCCTTGTTGCTCCCGATAAGACTACTTCGGCAACTCAGGGCGATCGTGGACTTGGATCGCGACGTGCTCCAGCTCAAGGCCTACCGGGTTGAAACACCGATGCACAGCTTGCCCTCAGGACACATGTCAATCTCTGTGACTTCTTATGCACCAGAGGGTTGGAGCCTGCCACATGCTGCTGCTTCGCAGAGTTTGAAGCATGATGAATACGTGCTCATGACCACTGGGTTTCTCAACCAGAGCATGTATCCTCTCGAGGGTAGCAGTGTGAAGACTCTCAAATTCGACATCGGTGACGACAATGGCGAATCTCCTCCTGCACCGAATGCTGGACCAGAGGACGAGGGACGAACCGATGCGTCCCGGAGGACCGCCAGCTGCTGTGCTACGCAGCAGAAGGGCAATCAAGAGGTGGAGGTGCCTAGGAGATCGGCTGTGCGACTTGATGCACCTGGTGAATCTCCGAACAAGGGTTTCCGAATGGCTGCCAGATGGGTCTTTGCGGCTCTTGGGGCTGGGAACCTCTCCAATGCCGGATACCAGGTCACCTACTACCCCTCCGACCACCTCTTCGGCCCCCAGCGAGAAGCATTTGGAGTATGCCCGGGTGATCAAGGTGGCACCGTATCTTGGTCAACGCAAAACCAAGGATGCCCCGACTACTTCGATGACGGAGTGCACACACCCGGCGCACGAGCTGAAAGGGGCTGGAAATCAGTACTCCAAGGAGATTTGGTGCGGCAGATGCAAGGCGAGATGGGAGTACCTCAACCCGGAGAAGCTGGCCCAGGCCGAGATGGAAAAGAATATGGCGGTGAGGAACCCTCCAATGGTGGATGGCGCGAGCTTGGCCCGAGGATCCGAGGAGCAGCTGGTGGTGTGCAACTGCAAGAACCCAGCGACGAAGTGGGAAGTGCGGAAAGCGGGACCAACCAAGGGCAGGCACTTCTACCGGTGCCGTCAACGCCTGTGCGACTTCTTCCTGTGGGACCCGATGGAACAGGAGAGAATCCGGAGCGCGGGGCAGATGCAGGAGCCACTTCAGATGGAGGTGGAGGCGAACCGCGAGAATGTCGAGCAGGTGAGGAACCAGATGGAGACCATGATGAATGCGCAGGCGGTGGCTCACCAACGGGAGCTGGAGGAGCTCCGAACGCAGCTCGCGTGGATGCAAGGGTTCGCTCAGCAGTGGCAGATGGCCCAGAATCCGGAGATGGGATCAATGGATGGCTTTCAGATGGTTCAGGATCCCCAATGACGAGGACCGGGTTGCCATCAGAAGTGGGTCCTGAGAACAGTTGCTTGGTTAGCACGGGACCGCAGCTACGCCAGGCAAGGCGGAAGCAAATGCAGGCATTTTGCTTGCGTGCCCCAGCACCGTGGATGATGACTTTGTCAAGAGATTACTACATTTGGGATGAGTCTAACTACAGTTGGGTGCATCAGTTTGGTTGGTTACCTCGTGAGTTACGTGATCGGAAGTTTTTGGCTGTGTTTGACGATTTGCAAAGTATGACGATGTGGAGTGATCAGTATGGCAAGCTCAAGGCCCTTACTGCTGGCGAAAAGAAGAAGTCAATGAAGGCTCTGGACAATGCGACCAAGGCCAGCAGCTCCACAGTCAAGTATGAAGTGCTGGAGGCAGTATCACCTGCAACAATTAGCTGTTTTGTTGAGTATGACAACGCGATGGCCAATTTGGATCCGTGTTGCTCAAATCAGTTTTGGACCGAGTTGAGAAACCGAAGCCCCAACCTGCTGATCTTGAGGCCCAATCGAGATGAAGGGTCACACGAGTTAGCAGTTGAAGCGGCAGAGTGGCAACATGCTCAAGGCAAAACCTTTGCAGTGATGTGCTCAGAGGTTTCTGAGAGGGTCGAAGATGACCTTTGGAACCTGGGAGAAAGCATGGTGCACCGTATGCTTCCTTCAGAAGAGCGTGTGTGGAGTAACGATTTTGAGTTTGCCAACAAGCTCTACCACGTCATGAGCGAGGACCGGGTGCTGAACCACGAGGACACCAACGATCTTCAACAGAATTCCAAGGCACACCAGTCTGTGGAGTGCGAAGCTCAGTCAGTCTATGAGGTGGATGTGGAGCAGATGTCAGAGGTTTTAGAGAACCAGTTTGTTTTCCACGAGGACACCGACGATCTTCAACAGAATTCCAAGGCACACCAGTCGCTTTTATTTGATGTGTGTCAGGAGCACGGGGGTCCTTTGTCAAACGATGTGTGTCAGGAGCACGGGGGTCACCAAAGCCATGTCTACGGGACTAGGGCTACTGCTATGTGGACTGAAGAGAGAGCACGACATCTACTACGACAGAAGGACTTTTCTATGACATCGTTGGAGTCAGTGCTAAACACACTTCCTTTACTACAACCAAGAGGTCGAAAGAGCTCAATGAGTGGAAGATACTTTTCTCTTGGCCTGTACGCGCATGGCAACCACTATGGCACTACGAAGCTTGTCAAGGATCTGCCCAACCTTACTTCCTACATCAACGAAGTCATGAAGTACCAATGCAAGTGCCAAGGCATGGAGCAGGCTACCTGGACCTCAATTGCTGTGGGACAGAATGCCGGGACAGCTTGGGCAAGCACAGAGGAGGAGGACTGTGGACGGAAGATAGTGGTGCCGAGTCAGAGGGCAAGTACAAGGCTGTCTGGAAGAAGCTAGACAACGGCGAATGGGTCCAAGGAAAAATCAACGACATCCACTACAAGGTGAACAAGTTTGACCCAAAAAAGTGGCATGGATCAGAAGAGTGGTCAGGACAGCGGTTTGTGGTGAGTGCGTTTACGTCACGAGCGCTGGACCAGGTGGACCCGCAAAAGTTGAACGAGCTGAAGAAGCTCGGGTTTCCATTGCCACGACGGAACTTCGTTTACATGTTCAATGGTTCCAAACAATGTGTGGACAACGTGAACTCTGAAGTTTATGTTGGGGAAGATGATGGAGAACCTGTGGGAGATGAAGTACCTGAGGGTGATCTAGATTTACCAGATCCAGACCCTCTTCCTCAGGATCCGAACTCCGAGCTCGAACCTTCACAGGAGGAGAAGAGGCTGTTGAAAAAGCTTCATGAAAATATGGGTCATCCTGCGCCACGAGAGCTTGCTAAGTCGCTGAGAATTGCCAGGGCAAAACCCCACTTGATAAGGTACATGGCGACGAAGTTTGCATGTGATGTGTGCAATGCAAAGCCCAGACCCAAGCCGAGTCGACCAGCAGTCCTGCCTAGGATGTACGAACCTGGAAGAGTGGTGGGTGTGGACGTGATCTTCCTTAGTGGCCTGGACCGCAGACAGAGCTTTCCTGCGTTGAACATTGTGGACTGGGGAACGGGCTACTCAATGGTGGAGCGGCTCAAAAACACCGAAGCTACCCACGCTTGGAGAACTTTCCAAAGAACCTGGGCAAGGACCTTCGGAATCCCAGAGGTCATAGTGGCGGATTTGGGAACCGAGTTCAGAGGTCAGTTTGCTGAGTTGGCCGGACAATCAGGGGCGCTGATTCGTCACACTGCGGCAAGATCACCATGGCAGGCTGGCAAAACCGAACGTGCAGGTGCTCACTACAAGCAGGTCTATGACAAGGCCCGGGAGTCCACCTTTGTCAGTTCGTGGGAAGAAATCAAAACCTTGATGTATGAGGTGGAGAGTGCACGCAACAGGTACGGGAATCGAAGTGGCTTTAGCCCTATGCAGCGGCAGATTGGACATAATCTACGACTTCCAGGCTCTCTTCTTTCAGACGACCACCTGGACCCGCAGCTAGTCATTGAGAGCTCGGGAGATGAGATGAGGAGAGTGCTTGAAATAAGGAAGGCCGCACAGGAAGCCTACATCAAGTCCCAGACCGAGACAGCGATCACCCGAGCCAAGAACGCCAGGACCCGCATCCCCATAGAGTTCCTGCCTGGTGAGACGGTGTATGTATACAGGCAGCCGAGAGAAAGGAAACGACGTCATGTGATGACCCCAGAAGCTCACGAAAGCAGGAAACCTTCTTGGGTTGGTCCTGGAGTGGTGTTGGCTGTTGAGCAACCAAGCTTGTGGGTTTCAATGAAGGGCGAGTTGTGGAAGGTCAGCCGAGAGCAGTGCAGACATGCTACCAGTGAAGAACAGGTGGCTAAGGAGATGCTGGCAGATGAAATGGAAGCCCTACGTGAAGAACTGGGAAGGACATCTATGAAGCGAACCTACCGCGACATGACGGAGGAGGGATTTCCCCCTAGTGAAGAGGATGAACAAGTTGGTGGTGGACTACCTCCTGGTGATCCTCCAGATGATGGAAGGCCTGCAAGGCGAGCTCGAGTACAGGATCCAGCTCAAGTTCCAGTACCAGAAGATGAGGAGCTGGACTACTCCCCGTCATTGAACGTGGAGGAAGATGCCCTACTACCTGATGTACTACAAGCGCCGCCCACTGAACCCTCGAGTGAGTTTCAAAGAGTGCGGACTGAATCGGAGCCCGAACCTCTTCCTACTCCACAGCGGGCTTTGACTCCTGAAACAGCAAGGTCAGTGCAACGCAATGAAGAGCTGGACGGGAACTTCAAAAGCCCCTCTTACAGAGCAGTGAGAGAGCTTGCAGATCGAAAGCCCGCCAGCAGCCCGTACTTTGTCGAGTCAAAGTCCGAGCAAGGACAAAGGGGATGGTTCTACTTCGAGGAGGGCAAGTGGAAGTTCGAGAAGGACGAGTGGGAGTTTGTGAATCCCAACGTGATCGTTCGTCGACATCACCTACCCAGAGATCGTTTGTGCAACCCTAACAAAATCAAGTGAACGCTTATGCCACGAAGACTGAAGCATCGACAGTCCTACATGGTCAAGGACGATGGCTCGGTGGAGAAGATGACGGATCTATGGTTCAAAGAGCGCAAGAAGAATGGGAAAACAAAGGGATCATGGGTTGGTTTTACGGTGTTCTCCAACAAGGAGGTGAACCTTGAAAACTATCTGGCGACAAAAGCACGTGGGCAGGGAGAAGTTTTCGAGCACGAGATTACTCCCGAGGAATGGCCGGCATGGCAGAAGACAGACCGCAGTGAATGGGACAAGGTTGTCGAGACTGGAGCCATCCGGGTGTTGGACCTTGAACGGTCTCTTGAGATTCGCAACGGCCCGGAGAAAGACAGGATTATCCCATCACGTATGGTGAGACGTTGGAAACCGGGAGAGCAACCAGGTGATCCGGAGACTATGAAGAGCAGGTGGTGCTTGCGGGGTGATCGGGATCCAGATTTGTTGGACCTAGATCGGCATGCGCCGACACTGAACACTACTTCTTTCGGAGTTTTGCTCCAGATCGCAGCGAGCATGCGATACAAAGCGACCATTGGAGATCTCAAAAATGCCTTTTGCCAGAGTTTGCCATTGGTTCGTAAGAACGGAGCGCTCTACGCCAGTTTGCCTCGAGGAGGAATCCAAGGACTTCATGAACTACAACTGGTGGAAATAGTGGCAGGAGTGTACGGCTTAGGCGACTCTCCCAAACACTGGAGACGCACACTGCGTGAGGCCATACTCGGATTAGGGTACAGGGAATCGGTCATGGACCCGACTGTGTACTTTCATCAATCACGAGGTGTCTTGAATGGGGCAATCGCAGTCGAGGTCGATGATTTGTTTACGTTTGGCAACAGCGTCCACAGTGAAAAGATGCAACAGCTTCAGCAGAAGTTCAAGTTTGGAAAATACGAAGACGTGATGTTGGCCAAGGATGGCGTGGGCTTTAACGGCCGAAGGATCCGCCAGAAAGAGAACTACGAGTTTGAAGTCGATATGCACAAATTCGTGTGCGAGAGGTTGAGCCCAGTGCAGCTGAGTAAAGGACGACGTTCAGAACCGAAGGCTCTGGCCAACGACAGCGAGATAAACCAGATGCGGGCGGTGATTGGCGCGCTGAACTGGCTTGCAAAAGAGGGACGACCGGATGCAGCGGCAGCAGCATCTCTCGGAGCGAGTACCTTTCCACGACCGGTGGTACAAGACATCCTGGACGTGAACGCCGCGGTCAAGCTGCTAAAGGAGAGGCCTGAGTTGACCATCCGCATTCGGAGCATCGACATGGAGCGGCTCTCATGGGGTGTGATATCCGACGCGAGTTTCGGGAACGCCCATGCAGGACACAGCCAAGGAGCCTATGCCGTCTTGGCCTTCGATGAGAAGCTCAAATGAGGGTTATCGGGTTCCGTGCTCAATGATTTCATGGAGAAGCGGAAGGATACAGAAGGTGGTGAACTCTACCTTGGCGGCGGAGACCCAAAGTCTGAGCAAAGGTCTTGGGGAGCTAAGCTGGATTGTGACGTTGTTCAACGAGCTTACCGATGTGAACTTCGAGCTGGTGGATTGGGAAGAGAGACTCAAGAAGAATCGCATGATCGCGATGGCACCAGACTGTTCAAGCGATGGACTAAAGTCGAGCCTATGCATCATTGACGCAAAGGCCCTGTTTGACCATCTGTCGAGAGAAACGACAGGTCCCTCCCAGGACAAGCGGACGGGATTGGAAATTCAAGTGGTCAGGCAACACATGAACGCCATTGCGGGTGAAGTTCGGTGGATCCCTCATCCACAGATGATTGTAGATGGCCTGACGAAGAAAGGTTCAAACATGAAAGCCCTGTATGAGCTCCTGGACAGCGGTGAGTTTCAGATCGTCGATATGGCGGAGGCTCTCGAAGAGAAACGTAAAGAACGTGAACAGCTCGGTTACAACAAGCGATGACACAACTTCGAACAGAGTTCGGGGAGCTGTAAATTCACGTGCAGATTGCTCTTCTCCGTTGTGTCATGTGTGTGTGCAGATGAGCCAGCGAACATCCGCTGGCATGCGGCCCAAATGCAGGGGCCCCTTGAGTTCACTTAGTTACGCAGATGATGACAGCGTGGAAAAGCGCAGTGCTGGGCAGCTTATAGGCGTTTGCTTAGCAGCTGAGAACCACCTGTAATCACATTGCCCCTTGTTTTCAATCTCAAAAGTTTCTCTTGAAATTCTCTAGTCCGTTTCGAGCGGCTTGCTGGTTGTTCTCAAATTCCCAACAGCAAAAACTGTTGGGTTTCAGTCTTAAAAAACAGGCCTGGATCAAACTGGCTCCGGACGGCCAAAACGGACGAGGACGGAATAATCCGGAAATTATGAAATATGACAGACACAAATTGTCGGAAATGACAGAACATAAAAGGCGGGAAAACGACGGAATAATCCGCAAATGATGAAATTATGAGGACAAACGACGGAGTAATCCGGAAATGATGAAACAAGGATGAAATATGAATGATGGAAGATTCTAAAAGACGGGAGAACACCGCTATATTCCGGAAATCATAAAAGAATGATGAGATATGAAAGACGGACATTTCCGGAAATGACGGAACAGCAAAGACGGCAAAGCAACGGAGTCATCCGGAAATGATGTAATAATTGCCAACAGGACATAGTGTTGGGTTTGCCTCTAAAGACAACAGGCCTGGATCAAACTCGTCCCGGCCGGCCAAAATGGGAGAAAGGCGGAAATATCCGGAAATGATGGAATGTGAATGACGGAAATTTCCGGACATGAGGGAACTTAGAAGACGGAAAAATCCGGACATGGATCCGGAAGTGATGGAATATCCAGACATGATGGAATTACGGGAATTTCCGGAAATGAGGTAACCTAAAAGATGGGAGAGCCGGACACGGTTCCGGAAGTAATGGAATATCCGGAAATCATGGATTGTGAATCGAAATGGAAGCAAGACGGAACTATTCGGAAATGCAGGAATATGAAGTGGCCGCATTCGCGCGGGGGGCCGGGGGTAGGGACATTCAGCCATACGAGCTGTCGCTGCAACATGCAAGTGTCTGCTTGAGTGAATGAAGACCATGTTTTGAGGCAGGCGATAACTCATTGAGCAGAGATTGTAGTTCCCAACTCTCTCTTTCTCTCTGTCACGTGCTCTTTTTTCAGTTACTTCTGTGTCTCTGTTTTTCTGTCACTCCGTCTCGTTGTCTCTTTGTCTCTCTGTTTCATGTCCGTTTATTCTCCTGTTCCTTCGGTTTGACCCCCCAAATCCAGGGCGCAAAAAAACACCTTGTACGGCCGAGAAGGTAGCTGTTTGCCCTCTTAAACATGTTTCTGTTCCTTCGGCCGTGAAACCCCAAACCCAGGGCGTGAAAAAAACTCTGTATGGCCGGTCAGGTTGTTTTGTTATCTTTTTGACAGTTCTTTTCTTCCTTTTGCCCTAGAACCCAAACCCTGAAGACCTAAACAGGGCGCGAAAAAAGCCAGCGAGAAAGTTAGCATGAGGAGCTTTTTCGGGGAGTGAAAACAAAAGCCCCGCCCATTCCACAGTATTTTGTTTACCCAGACCCTTGGAATTGGAACTACCCAAGACCTGTCACACAACAGCAGTAACGAGTTTTTGCAACTCGCGGTTCCTCAGGCTTGCCACAAGAGGACACAGAGACAGTGATTCAGAAGGAAAGGGTGAGTCCACCTCATTAACCAGGTTTTGCCAGTGCTTGGTAACTGTGACCATTGGCTGGTCCGAACGGTGGAAGGGTGTACAGTACAGTATACACTAGACATGTCGCTCAAGTTGGTAGCTTGTTGACAGCACTTCTCGTTGCCACTTATGAAGTCCGAATATGGTGTGCCCTGCATGCACAAGCGCCGAGTTGTCCGCGACGTTGGAGCATCGTGACGACTCGAAAGCCAGATGCAGAGCCCGCAGCCGGGTGGGGGACGCAGGGCATAGGTTACCGCGGATTGCAGGGCTGTTGTCGAAGCAAAATGCCCACCGGCTGGAAGCACATTCGCACGCGGAGCATTGCCTGTTTTGCCGGGAAACAGCGGAGAACACTGCGACTACCGAACATCAGCGCACTAAGTACTGTACATCTAAGTACACTACACAGGAGACCAGCGGCCTGAGTGCAACCGCAAGACATGTGCAGGCACGCTTGAGTATGCTGTGACCTGTACATTATGTCTATCTCTCCGAGGATTTGTGTTGGACTTATGTGGACAGAAACCAAGGAATGTCGACCTCGAGCCCATGATGAAATATTTCGAGAAACATAGGCAACCTCTTTTTTTTCTTTGGTTGAGCCTGACATGCAAAGATGTGCAGTCCGGGGCAATGCGCCTGACGCAAGGGTGGCGCGGTGCAACTGCCTGACACCGGGCCAGATTTCGACGCTGCCAGACTGCAGTCACCTTGTACGGCTCCGTTTTCCCCTAGGCCAGGGTGCCTTAGTGATTTTTAGTGGCTGGAAGGACACAGCAAAAGGATGCAAAAGGCAAAGTAGTGTTGCGCAGACACCCGAGGCTAATGGCACTTGGAGTTCAGCTGCCTAGCAGTCTCAAGGCCTGGCTCCTCCGCAGCTGTGGCATCGACGAAAAGCTGCCCCCTTTAAGACTCGCTCTTGCCTCTTTCTCTTTGCAGCTTTTCTTCACAGGTTATGATCTCCGCAGGCGAGGGCCTGCCGATGGCAACTGCTCGTCAGTGGTGCGAACGGTATCCGCACGTGCCTGGGATGATCGGAATTAGGAGACACATCGACACTGTCTGCAGCCTTTCATGCTCTGCGCTTGTGTAGGTTATTGGTGAGCACTGATGGTCACCTGTGAGGACTAGGGGGAGCTGCACGAGCTTTGGTGACCCGTAGCCTGAGCAAAGAAATGTGAGCGCAGAAGATTCGGGCAGCGGGAACTTTCTGTTCAACCATAACAGAAACACGGCGTCCAGTCACGAAAGCTACTCGTAGCTCTGTGGATATCGCTTGCAATGCACCCATAAGTAGTAGTGACCCAAGTGAAAAGCCCGCTAGGACGATGTCTGGTCCTTAAGTTAACAACAGTTGAAGAATTGGGTGGGGTGCGCCTGCCACCACTGGGAGACCCCTCCCCTCCCTTGAAGACCCGCCTCCCGCTCCCTTCAATTCATTTTTTTGCAACATGGCGATTGCAGGAGTTGCGGCATTGCGATTTTGTAGTTTGCCCATTGGTGTTTCCTGACTTCTGCGCATTATTTATGCAGATTTAGTGCGCCGACCTGGAAGAACTCGATCAACCATGGCAAGTGCATCTGTTGTCTTCGCATAGAGTGTCGACCTGGCCGATTCAAGCGCCACGGCATTCTTATCTGTTCTTTGCGCGGCCGAATGTGTCTACTTGGCAGGTTTCAAGCACCACGTTTTCAACAAGTTTTCTGCATCTTTTGCAAGTGAAATTCACAACAACTGTCAGCATGTGCCGGCAGAAATTGCCAGGGGAGCCAGTTTTTCTTGTGCATTGAAGTCCGTTTGTGTATATCATGATTATGCCAAGCCTCTGCCAAGCTAGAGTGAGTCGTGGTGCCGTGCGGCAATAGATTCGCTTGACTTTCCGGGCTACGCTTCCTTCCCCTAGCTTTCGTGGCCCTGTTATCAAGCAGCCGTAGCTCCATGCTGCCTCGTACCACGACGGTTCATTTGCCATTACTTCAGGTCGAGCTGCTGTCGAACTATGCTTGCACGGAAACAGTGCCTCGGAGTTTAAACTTGGTAATTAGGCTTTCCTTTGGAGACCTGCAGACTCTGGCCTTTCAGGCTTCGGACATCGCGATGCTGAAGATCACCGAACAGATTTTACGTGCCCTGGTGACCTTGTGCTGACCCTCTGCCTCTCCCTCTGTCAGAACGAAGCGCAAGGAATTGACATGCTCTACGCGCCGTTAACGGACGACCGCTTGTCGTGGAACAACAAGTTCCTCATCCAAGATGAGGATCATGCTCTGCCCCAACCTGCCTGTCTAGCATTTCCAGATGCCACACATTTCCACCGACATAGGCCCTTCCTTGACCAGGAGCTTATAATCCAAGGATGGAACATTGCCTCCGGATACCTGCCTCCGGCAAAGCTGCCTGCTCAGCGGTAGTACTGGCGCTAGCCGACATGGTATAACATGGTGATGTCTGAGAAGGAAGATCTTTGTGAAGCAGCTTGAGCCTTTGTGTTGTACACGGAGGTCTAATGCCTTCTCTTCGTCCTCGGATGGGATTTCCAACGTGTACCACACAGGACTTTGTTGACGGAGTTGTGACAGGTGTGTACCCCGATGTCGCATCCCACAAGCCCACCTGCTCGCGAGCTGAGCACAAGAAAATGCGCTGCATCCAGGAGACCGCGTGCAGATGAGAGACTCTGCTTCTGTTGCGAGTAGGTCCAAAGGCGTCTTTCCACCAGCACAGACAGACAGACAGACAGGAAGGCAGACAGGCAGACACGCACACAAACGCATGCAAGCACGCACATATAGAGACACACATACACACATACACACACACAGACGAATAGACACGCAGACACCGACACCAACAGCCACCAAGGCACAGCGGACAAGTACGAGTCAGGCTTTTCCACAGTTCATGTAAGCCCACCTGCCAATATTCCATGTGTCGCCACCTTGCAAATCCATCATGTCCCGAAAGCTGCTGAAAAGCCTCTTTCTTCAAGCCCCTGTAGCTTTCCAGTGATTCTGTTGCAGTTAACCAAGCCATCTAGGTACAGCTTTGTGAGTAATTATGGTTTGGCTCGGCGATTGTGGCAGAAGCAGGGAGCCAGACCAGCAATGACGAACATATCGCCCTCTTTAAGCTATGCTCCGGCGATTTCTGCAGCCCTGCTCATGCAGGCTCATTGGAATCACACGCATATTCGGCACAGTATTCCCTACTCACATATTCTCAAGCCGCAACCAGGCGTCGTGCAGAATAGTCTCGAAGCATTTGCAGTTTGATGGACATCCGAGGAGACGGATATCTCTTCATAATGGGACGTGTGGACAAGGCAGCAGAATTTTAGAAGCATCTCTTGAGAGCTGGCATGCATCACCAACCTAGAAAGATCGAAATAGTCGAGTCCTTCCTGACGACTTTTTGCAGGTTGTGAAGGTCCGCGGCTTCCGGGTAGATCTGGATGGGCTGGAAGCAATCCTGGCAAAATGTCCCTATGTCACTGCCCCTTCGTTGAACGAAGTTTCTCAGACACGGTCTTCGTCATTCCACTCTCAGGGCATGTTCTTTGGTGTTGTTTGGCAAAGGCTTGCATGTTTGCAGTTGCTGCTGGATGTTTTGCAGCCTTGCAAAAGCGTCGTCCAGGGATCAGGTTGATCTCAATCCGGCTCAAACCAGTCGGGTTTCTAGAGTCGCTTGTCCTGTAGATGAGTGCTACCTACAACATGCAACGACACACTAAGGGAGCTCTCCCTGCAACCGCATACAGCAATGAGAAGCAAGCAATCAGGAAAGGAATGCCATCAGCGCACCAACCTAGTTGAGATTGAGCACAGGAAGAGCAAGAGCGAGTACTCGGAGTTTTTTTTTCCGACGGGCAAGCTCGGACGCGGGCCCTCTTTACGGTGTTCTTTTTGTGATGTCACACTGAAACCCAAGGATTCAGCTGTTGCAAAGCACAACGACAACTTGTACTGCATCATTTTGACACCGGACTTGCCTGCGGTGCAGGCATTCGCCCAGGACGTGCCATGTAACACAAGTCATGTCTTGAGCTGTGTTGTCCTTCTGGAGCTTCGCAACGAGCATGGTGCAGAGTGGCAGTTATCTTTTGTTCTAAACAGGAAAACTACGCCCATGCGTCTCTCATTGCCTCTTTGCGGCAAGATGCTGACTAGTGTGCCAGCCAGTCCTCCAAAAATTGCAAGTCCCAATCTCGCAGCATATCGGCGTATCTGCCTTACCTCAGCCGTGTACGAAGCTTGCATATGCAGAATCCCTTTCGGCAAGCACTTGACCAGGTTTGGCTGCATGTCCCTTGGACTCAACTTCAGAGGACCTTATGACTTATGACCTTATGTCTTGTCTTATCTAGGTATGGTTGCAGCATCTGTCCAGAAATTGCACAGCAAGCAAGTCTTATCGTTGAATGCTGTGCAGTGACCAGGAAGCAGTCGGTTCGGTTTCGGTTTCATAGGGCACGGTTCGATTCATCGGTTCGGTTTCATTTGTGCGGTTCATCGGTTCGGTTCGCGGTTCGTTCGGTTCCCAAAATTTAGGATGATAATGGTTTACATGGTGTGCTGTTTCTTTTGGTCGGGGTATGTGTGTTTTGCTGCGTTTCGGCGGCCCGAGCGCGGGGGAGTCGCGTTTCTGGAGGTTTTAGGGCTGAAAGACGCAAAGAGCCCGAGCAGGGCTGAAAACCGCGAAAACGCGATTCCCCCACGTTTCGGCGGCCCGAGCGCAGGGAGTCGCTTTTTTGGAGTCTTCGGGCTGAAAGCCGCGAAAATTTGACTCCACCAGACCTGGTTTCCATGGATGTTTTTTGCCGGTTCGATCGATTCCGATTTGTTACCGAGTATTCAGCGATGGGGTATTGGTAGTATTGCTTGGTATCGGCGCGGTTCGGTGTCGATGTTGGGATTCGAGCCCAAGGCCCCAAGGCCTTGATATATTGACTGTAGCCTTTCCCCTTGCGCGTTTCTTGCGGCTCCGCTGAGGCCTGGAAGCTCGCTCAAACAGGTAACGCCACATGAAACGACCCGCGCGATGGCAGGGGTACTTTGTAAGGCAAAATGACAATTTGACCGAGGCAAAATGATGTTTTCTGGATTATTATTTCTTGTTTTGGAGACATCGTTGCGCAACCTGGAAAGTGTTCGGGACTTGCTTTCGTCATTGTTTCATCTTTGGAATTCGTGTTTTTGGTGTATATGCCTCGGCGAAAGCGCGGTTTTGCATTTCATGGCTTCAATGTCAATGGGAAGCAGCATGTCTTTACAGTTTTCCTGATGGAACGGCGTTTTTGGATTTCGGTCGTTGTTTGGGTTCGTGGGGCTTCGGTGTTGCCATGCCTTTGCCAGTCTTTGGGGGGCATTAGGGCAAACTGGTCGTTTTACCGAGGTAATCAATTAATCGGATGATTCCTGCTTTTTCAGTTCTATTGTTTTGAGAAAGAGCCTTGGGCAACCGCTACAGTTTTCGGGTTTTTCTTTCGTCACTGTTTCATCTTTGGAAGTTGTGTTATTCGTGGTTTTGCGGAAGCGAGAACAAGGTCGTGGGATGTTCTTTGAACTTGAAGGTTTTGGGGCTTGCACTGTTTCGCCAGAGCCTGGGATGCTGGTTTTAAGCTTCTAGCTCGAGGTTGTGTTGCTTGCACGCTTGGGATGTTTGTTTGGAGCTTGAGGGCTTGGGCTCAGACGCTTTGTAAAAGTATACTATTACTGGATGATCGTATACTATGGTGAGGGTTCAAGAGCCCCTGACCCCGTGCTTTCACCCTGGCTTACCTTGGGATGCGTGAAGCCTGGCCTACGACCTACATTGAGCAGAAACGACTGGCACCGCGCAGGTCTTGGTCTGCAATCGCAATCTATCTGGTGAGTATATTGTTGTAAAACATGCAGTACAGGTGCAACAGCGGAGGGAGCTGCAGCAGCAGCAGCAGCAGCATAGCAAGGGTGGTTGGTGCAGCAAAACTAAAAGTACGACTAGTAGCACTGCTACTCCTAGGACTGCTGGATAGAAACTAGCCCCCCCCTCCCTCACACACCCCAGAAGCAGACAGAAACAAGCAAAAACAAGGTGACGGCTCCTGAACGCGCCTATGCCATTTTACACATTTCAGAATGAGGAGTTCTACATGCATTCGTGCGAAACCACAGCGAGAGCGCAATTTCAGGAAAAATTGAAGTCCAGGCATGCGCGCGAAACACCAGAGGCTGAAGTAAACTCACGTCCTAACTGCGTTTTCGCCTGGGTTTTAAGCGTACTCCTCGAGAGGCTGCAGAGCAAAACTTGTGTGAGATAGAGTGTTCGAGTAGTCCTGAATTGCCAGACTTGCCTTGCTTAGGTAGGGTCAAGGATTGAAGCTTGAGGCAAGAGCTAAAGTGCCACAGATCTTGATTTTGCTCACGCTGCCGCCTCCGCTATAGGGTCCCAACCCGCACAAGAGTTTCGTGTGTTCTGTGGCTTTAACCGCGACAGCTCGGAAATGTGACCCAACGCACAAACACCAAGGATATGCCAGGGAAAATAAGGCACACAGGCCTTGTAGAAGGGTTGGATAATGCTGGGATTTTAAGTATTCTGACAGTGCGAAAGAAGGGGGCCCGGGGTCGAGGAGACAAACGGGGCACAAGGGAAAGACAAAGCCTTGGGAGGAACGTGGGAGAGGTGACGAGAGGTCAAGGTCAGCATGTGCCACTGTTGGAGTTAAAGATGCTGTTATTAGCCCCGTTCCCCCCCCCCCATCCCCGAAACACTGGAATGTGCAAAAACAGACAGGCGTGTACAGGCGCCGTCACCAAAAACAAGCATAACCCGCGGGTCAATTGGTAGTGCGTTAGCTTAAACAAGCCCGGCAAAAGGCCTGGGCGCTCGGAAAGTTCAAACGCATGCGTTTTGAGCTTTGCGCGGGTTGATGAAGACTTCAAAATGAGCTCGTTTGAGCTTTTAAAGCTGGTGATGGCAGTCGCCTGGAACATGCTGGAACCTCGGGGAGGCCTGGAAGGCTGTCTTTTTGGGAGGCCCTGGGCTTGAAACTGGAAGCAGCTTAAATCCTGAAGAGGGTCAGTGGGGTTGGAGGGTTGGATGAGCGATGCTGGCGTCTGCTAATGCTTTTCGGTGCGGTGCGATGTCGATACTTTGTTTTAGCGACATCTTGCGGTTCAACGTCGGTATAGTTTCGATATCGATCCTTGGTTTCGGCAGCCCGAGCGCGGGGGAGTGCCTTCTTTGGAGCTTTTCGGGCTGAAAGATGCGAAAAGGCGACTCCCCCGCGTTTCGGCGGCCCGAGCGCCCCAGCAGTGAATCTTCACAATGTAGAGTTTCCCGCTTAAGCATATTTCAGGGATTAGTGAGGTCTTTACTAAGATTGCGCGTGGGGGCTTAAGTTAAGATATAGATGTTACTAGGAGTTAGGTAAGTTAGAGGACAAGTTAGCATAAGTTAAAAAAGTTAGCATACGTTAGCAAAAGTTAACTCGTGGGTTAAAAGAAACGACGATGGTGTGGCGGGGTCGTGGGTGGTGGTAGCGGGGCGGAGGTGGGGTGGCGGGGTGGTGAGGCGGTGGCCATCGCCACCCACCACCCACCACGCACCACCCACACCACAGAATGCGGTTAACAAATCCATTCCTATAGAAAAGCTTTACGCGCAGCTGATTGGGGGATCATATGAAACTTTATGCACTGCGCACCCACCAGCCACCGCCCACCGCCACTGCAAACACTATCTTCACCGGATTAGCACTCTGACGACCTGCTTCTTGATGTTGTTAATGCTTATTTCAAACTCTGCTGATGTGAGCATGGAGACAAGGTGAAAATAGGTGCTCTCCTAGCCGCCAAGGGTGCACCGATTTCGGGGTTGCAATATGCCAAAACCTGAGTTTTCGCACATCGCAGCTTGGACAAAAAATGCAGGTTGCCTTGCGTATCGGAGTGTGTTCCTGGGCAAACCTAAAAGACCCGAGGATTTTGCACATTCGCATGCCTCTTTTATCGGTATTTGCAGTGATCCAAGCTTGCTCCGCTTCGGAGTTCATGTGTTTTGTTCTTTTTGCTTCGGTGCAGGGGTGAGATCAGACCTGACATTGAGATTACGGGATTGGGTACCCTCGTCTAACCTCATGACCTTGCGACCTCTCGGCCCTTCACCACCCGACCTCAGATGGGTCGCGGCCTCTGGACCTCGCGTCCGCGGCCTCACGACTTCGCGGCATCGCGGCCTCACGACCTGGCGGCCTCAATTACTGCTGTCCTTTTTTGGTCGGTTTGCTTCTCAAACGATGTTGTGTCTTTCGAGCGGTGCGCTCTCTGTGTCTCATATAGTCTCAGGACTTATATACTCAGGTCCTTTCCGAGCGGTTTGCTCCTTGTTTCTAAAATACTCTTGTTCCTATCCAGCGGTTTGCTCCATCTTTCTCACACTCTCCAGTCCCGTGTGAACAGGTTGCTCCCTGCGTCTCAATTACTGCAGTCCCTTTCGAGCGGTTTGCTCCCTGTGTATCAATGGCTGCATGTTTCTTTTGTCCCTTGCGAGCGCTTTGCTTCTGTGTCCCATGTTTCTCAAACACTTTTGTCGTTTCTCACCCCAGTCCTTTTCGAGCGGTTTGCTCCATGTTTCTCAGACACCCTTGTCGGTCTCGAGCGGTTTGCTCCCCCTGCGTCTTAAAAACTGCAGTCCTTTTCGGGCGGTTTGCTCCGCGTTCGTTTTCGGGCTGTCTGCTCTCTGTTTCTCAAACACTCTAGTCCCTTTCGAGCGGGTTGCTGCCTGTTTCTCAAAAACTCTCGTCTGTTTGGCACGGTTTGCCCCGTTTACCTTGATCCCTTTCTGGTAGATTTCTCACTATCCCTTTCGAGCGGTTTGCTCCTTTTCCTCAAATACTGTTTGCTCCTTGTTTGTCAGATACCCTAGTTCCTGTCGAGCGGTTTGCTCATTGCTTCTCAAGTACTACTCTGTCCCTTTCGAGCGGTTTCGGGCCCACAGTTGAAACTTAATCAAAAACATCAGGGGGGCTAGGATTGTATTGGTGTTAAAACGGCCAAGACGCATCCGAAAGGACCAAGGCTTTAGGGTTTAGGGCTTTGGGTTTAAGGTTCAGCGCTTTCGGGTTTTAGGGATTGGTTTAGGGCATAGGGTTTTGGACGACCTCAGCAAGGACAACCGCACTTGTGCTACAGGGCAAGCCAAGTACGAGACCTCCAGCTTCGACGAGGTTCAGCGGACGGCCACAACGGACATCATCTCGGGAGGTCCGTGTGGATCGAGGCTCAAACCGCACCTTGAGGCGATGCATCTGGGCTGCGGGCGTTTCAGCATCAAGACCGGGCTTGTTGGCATAGCGTAGGCAGTGTAGTCATCTGGTAATTCGGATTCGGGGCACAGGCTCGTTCTAAAATACAGTTGTCCATTGAGCTTGCTGGAGGGTTTCGTCTTCCCGATACCTGCTGTATCAAGAGGACACCGCTCTCATGGAATGGACGATCCCTGGCTTATCAGATGGCCACATGCTGAACGACACTCGACAGAGCGTTTGGCTGTAATTCTCAGGCTCCAATCGTGTTTGAACCAGATGGGTTTGAAAGCAGCAGACCTTTTAAGTCTCCGAGAGCCCGAATCGACAAGCAAGGCGATTTTGGATAATCAGCGGTCGTTCGCTGAAAACGAGGGCCTGGCGCCGTTCCATTCTCGGTGCAGGAATGGTCAAGCAACTTAGTTCCTTTCGAGCGGCTTTCTCGCTGTTGCCTAAACTTTTTTGTGTTTTACGAGCAGATTGCTTTTTGTTTTCAAGAACTCGTTTTCAAGAGCTCTATAGTCCTTGTTGGCTGTTTCTCAAATTCTTTAGTTTCTCTCACGCGGATTGCATGTTGTTCCTCAAATACCGCAGTCGCTTTCGAGCGGGTTGCTCTCTGTGTCTCACGTATTACAGCCCCTTGCGAGCAGCTTGCTCGAGTTTCTCAATGATTCTAGCCCCTTTCGAGCGATTGGCTCCCTGTGTCTCGAATACTCTGGTCCTTTCGAGCAGCTTGCACCCTGCACTGTTTCTCAACACCCACCACCCGCCACCCACCACCCCCACCACCACCCACCAGCCCCACCACCACCCCCGCCACCACCACCAGTATACCACCAGGGTGGTGGTGGTGGGGGTGGTGGTGGGGGTGGTGGTGGGGGTGGTGGAGTGAATCAAGGGGGGGTGCCGGCCAGCTTCAATTTCGAGGCCTGGAAATATGAACTTTTCCGAACTTTTCAGGCCTAGAAATATGAGCTTTTTCTGAATTTATCCGGCCTCGAAATATGAACTTTTTCCGGCCTGGAAATATGAACTTTGTCTGAACGTGTCCGGCCTGGTTTAATGAACTCGGGGGTGGTGCTGGCGCTGGTGGCGAGGGCGGTGGGGGTTGCTGATGGTGGCGTCGGTGGCGCTGCTGGTGCTGGTGCTGGTGCTGGTGCTGCTGGTGCTGCTGGTGCTGCTGGTGCTGGTGCCGGTGCCGGTGCCGGTCGCGCTCGCGCTGGCGCTGGCGCTGGCGCTGGTGCTGGCGCTGGCGCTGGTGCTGGTGCTGGCGGGAGTTTCCCAAGACTTCCACCCCAAACCCTAAGCCCCTATACCCCTGAACTTTAAACATGCGCTAGTGTTGACAAACAGCGAAAACCATTTAACACAAAACCGACATAAAGCAACATAATTTGGAGTAAGTTAACATAGGTTAACATAATTTAGAAAAAGTTAGCTAAGATGTTAACTTGAGGTTAGCAACTTCTATTTTTCCAACCAACCTTCTAATAACTTCCCCCAAGTTTGCAGGGACTTACTACATGGATAGCAAAAATGTAAGCTAGGGGGTTACAGGGGGGGGGTAATAAGAGGTTACTAACATCTATATCCTCACTTAGGCCACACGCACAATCTTAGTCGGTGGTCCTCAGCCCACAGGGTATGTGAACCGAAAACGGTTCGGTCTAGCCTTCGGTTCGGTTGTAACTTCGGTTCGCATGGTTCATTTGAGCTGGTTCGTCGGTTCGCGGCTCGGTTCGCTCCCGGCGGCGAATGATACGAGCAAGGCACATCATCATAGGTCGAAGACTGGTGCGCGTTCCCTGGGAACCCTTGGGAGCTTCTGGTGCCACAATCACTGGATTTGGATTTGCATTCTTCATGAATCAGTCCCCCAACCGAACAGACACGGCCTGAGCCTGCAAGTGTATGGGCGAGGCCATGGCTTAACGAGTCAAGGCATGGTCAGGGTCAGTGTGAGTGCCATACTGCCGAGGTAGATTCGATACCCCTGACAAAGTCTGGAAAGAAAGACCGCGCCGCCATCCGGAGACTCAGTTCAGATGTTAATCAAGACGGTTTCTTCAGCTAGGCCACTCCGTTGAGCTGCCACTCATGATGTATGTGCTTTCGCCCATATGTTGCTCATGAGAATCTGCGTGGCCGTGCGACGGCTGAGGAAGCGGCTCGAGCAGCAGACTCTGCGTGAGCAGAGCACCGAGCAGGCTGAGCAGGCGTGCGGGTAGCTCTTCAGCTTGTTGGTTTTCGGTCTTATAGCACTAGGTGCCCTTGTCGGTGCGGAAGGCCAGCGTGACGCCAGAGGAAGAACGTGTTGCCGAAGCCGTCAAAGAGGCGCATTTGCAGCCGCTCCGATGTTTTGTGCAGTTCTGTCTCGCAGGCCATGCAGTGGTATTACATGTTTCATGATTACCTGATGTTATCATTCTAGCATGTCACATGAGCAATGTCTGTGCAGTTCGCCAGAACGTCGTTCGACGTCGGTGCTGCAAATCATTTCAGTCATGGTCAGTCATTGTGTCAAAGATTTGCCAAGCCCCGTGATTCAAGCCCGTCCACATTCTGCATAGGGATAAGTGCAAGCAGCTTCTAGATGACATTTCATGGAGGTGCTGGGCCGCTCCATTGATCGGAACACGAGCTTTACGCAGGCTCCGCCCAGACCCCGGGTTGAGATCACTAGCTTGGAGACTGCGATATGAGCAGGCTGGGGGCCACTCCCTGGCTGCCATGAGGCCACCTTGTAATTGCATGTGGTACTCGTAGCGTTTGTGTTTGGCTTGAGCAGCGGATAAGACAGCACTGCTTCTTGGTACAAATGTGATGATTGACATCTAGCACCTGCACGGCACAAGCCGCCAGGATTGCAAAAATCCTCGAGTCCCTTGGCTGCAAGTTTCTGGCGTGTCCATCAAACGGGACACCCAATGAACCGAAGCGGCTACTCCCTCCTGATACAAAGTCTGATGCGGATATCGAATGATTGACTGTCATGCAGTGCAAGCAGTGTCAGACGAGGATTTCAGCTCAAATGCTTTTCGCCTTCCCAACGATTGCCTTGCTTGCCAAAGCGCTCGCGGAAAAGGCTGGGGCGACTTTCTCAATTTTCTTGGAGCCGGTTCTGTGCCTCGAGACAGGCTTAAGAGGGCCTCAACGAAAGAGGAAGGCACCAATTGATGTGTTCGCCAAGTGGTCATGTAACGAAAGTCTTCGAGGTGCAAAATCATCTTGAGTCACACCAGTATGAATCATGCTCGATAGGATTCGTCTTGATCACCTCGTACTGGGTACCACGGATTCGTGCGTGGTTCTTGCTGAGGATAAGTCAAACAGGTCAGGTGTCGGTCGAGAAATCAACGGCCTGACGTTGTCAATCACCGTTTTCAGCAGCTGCGCTACAATACTTGTAGTGCGCAGGTACATTTGACATGGGGCGTTGGCGCAATCTCGCTATCTTGAGTCGCATGAACAGCACGTCTCGACACGCCAAGCATGAAGCCACATATGCGGAACATCCACGAGTGCTCAAAGTCGCCATCGCAAGGCCGGGGACAGGCCGTCGCTCAGGCCACCGGCCGGTATGAAGGCTTCTTCGAGCAGTGACTTCGCATTGCAACTGGCATGGGCACAGAATTTCCTATGCTTTTGGTGATCATGCTGCGGTCAATGTGCTCAGCTGGGTGTCGCACGTCGTGATGTACTGCCGCCGTAGGCAAAGGCCCTCTGCCCAGGTGGCCCACTGGCTGTCACCAGCATGGCTTGTCGGGTACCTGGGGCCGAACATCCTGCAGAGTTTTGGGCGAAGCTCCAGGACCGGACCGGACTGGAGCGGCACTGCTTGGGGGCTTCTTGGTTTCAACGCAAAGGGGTGCTTCCAAGTCTCGACAACACCCAACAGTCGGGATCTGGAACAGCTAAGGATGGAGGAAGAATAGCAGAACAGCATGTCTGACATATTGCAAATGCAACCGAAAGCAAGAGCTGGTCGGAGGAGGGAGCGCTGATGACGACCAAGCTGCCTTGCAAGATTTGGCAGATACCACGAAAAGGCCGGCAGATGGGAGGTAGCCAGCTAGTGCAGCCAGTAACTGGGCCGTCACAAAGCCGGGTCCAACTCAGAATCCCGACGAGAGCAGCATTTGGCATAGCTGTGAGTTGCACAGCCATGGACATGCACATCTCTCTGCATCTCTTGTAGTCAGATGCGTAGCATCATTGACTTTTTGTGGTACAACTCAAGATCACTGACCAGGCTTGTATTGCCTTGTCCGTTGCAGGTGTCGTGCCAGATCATGGCTTCGACTGTCAGTTCTGGAACACCACGCCCGCTGCCGCAGATACCTGCTTGCACAAACACTATGGTTCTAGCAGTCGGGTAGCGTTTGTTATTCTTGCTATGGGTCGCAAGAGAAGCACCTCCATGCCAGATTGGCACCATTCAGTCGAGATAAGCATGTCCAGCTGTCAGCAAGCCCTCTAAAAGTTTCCTTGTTGGTGGCTTAGCGTAGCCAGAGGCACCGTTTCCGTAGCCACTCCCAAGGCTTTGCTGGACACATCGCAGCGGGCAATCCTTGAGGCGCAGGGCTCCTGCTATAGCGCCTCTGCCGACGTGATAACTATCTGTCACACCTCGTCAGGTGGCCTACGAAGCCCTACAAGCCCTGGGGACGCCTGTGATCTCTGGTGGTCGCTTACAAGGTCCTCTTGGTAGTCAGCCCGAGAGGAAGTTCTGGCGAAGCCAGCCATTGTTCTTCTGTGAATCATCGAATCATCAAGTTTTCCTTGAGGCTTGGAGCTGAGGAGCAAGGAGGTCGGCGTGGCCGTGTGCGGAGGCGGAGAACAGGGGTGTTGAGATTAAGAGGTATAGACGGTCAACGCAGTCTAACATGAAGTCAACACGTGACCGCAGCGATTCTCACGTCATTGGTTCGCGGTGGGATGTACCAGCTGCTCGCTGGCGTTGCAGCATTGCGGCGTGGCTAGTGGACCCCTAAGATGCTCCAACTCTGTCAAGACAGTCACGTGAGGAGTCCCTGCAGCATCGGAAGGACCGGCCACTAAGCCTGATGGTCTCTGCAGGTTCGCTGAACCACTGGACGGAACAGCTGGGAATCAACCTCGAGCACTGTCGGACACAGCGGCCCGACGAGTACTTCAACCTCGAGGCACGTGTCTTTCTGCTGAACTCACAAATCGTTTGATTTAAAATGCCTTCCAAGTGACAGACATCTGTGTTCAGAATCTGCATTAGGAAAAATGCTCATATAAATTCTCTCGTCGGTGATCCCTGCTCAGACAGACCGAAGGTGCGGCACATTCCTCTTGTCCATGTGACACTGCTATCCCACTGTAGTGTCCGGTGGTAAAGATCGCGCTGGAACGACCAGTCGGAAGCATCGCGATATCATGAGAACAAGCCCGAAACATGGACCGACAGCTCTGAGCCGTCATGTGATGAGCAGGTGGGCACAGACAAGGATTACCTTGCCACGAGCATCGCATACCGCTTCGACCTCGCCGGCCCTGCGGAGGTAGGAGCCGGTTGTGCAACGCTTCTGCTGCACCTTACAAAATCTCCTCTCGTATGCAGAGCCGCGTGCTCATTGCACAACAAGGTGGTTCAAACAGCTTGCAGCTCCGCTCTGGTTGCGATCCGAAGAGGGGCCCGGCACTAAGAGTGAGCAGTGTATAGCGGAGTGATGGGTGCCTTCGGCACACTGCGCAAGCCCACTGCTGAACATCACGTTTTGTGCCTTAGATCGAGGTGCAAATGGTCAGGGCTGGAGATTGCGACCCTTACCTGAAGTATTCACCTGCATCGGTCACCCGGTTCGTGAATCTGTAAATCTCAACACGCAGTCGCCGGTCAAGACACGTCTAAGGAGAGTGTGGTTTCCGGCGGAGCTTCCTTCTCTCCAGACGCCCCCATCAAGTACGTGGATGGCCTTATTTGGGCCCGGGACGGCGCAACTTGTCCTCCCGTTGGAAAGGATTGAAGTCTTGGTTGGATTGATGCAATGAAAGAATACTATTAGTACGACAGCGATGAACCTGTGCTGGAGATTCGCCGATGATGCCGATGGTAGTGATGGTGAAGAAGAAGTTGATGTTGTTGATGAGTTGATGATCATGATGATGGTGATGCTCCTGCTGCTGCTGATGATGATGCTGATGATGATGACGAACATCAGTCAGGACTGTGACGGTCATGGAGACGAGTGTTTTCTACGGATGTGTAGAGCAGTTGATAGTGGTAGTAGGAGTAGCAAGAGGGGTTCTAGTCGTCGTCGTTGTCGTCGTCGCAGTAGTAGTCGTAGTCGTAGAGTACGAGAAGTATTAGCCGTATAGCATTGGCAGTTTTGTAGTGCTAGTCGGAGTTACTCCAGGTAGGGGGGGGGGGGCTGTTACTTTCCTGGGCATTTGTGGTTTTGAAGGGATTTCAGGGCCTGTGGGGTGGGGCGGGGGAGTGATGTGCACTCTAACCGCCCCCAAACACTACTATTGGCAGTGTTTGTTGACACTTTATGCAACACGCTGCAAGAGGATGAAGTTCTGAAGAAGACACGCTGTCACAAGCGCTCATGCCTTGTGCTAGCGTGCCCACTGCACTCACTGGTATTTGCAAAGATTTTGTTTGATTGAACACCGAAACCAATGCACCAGGATACGGTGATAAGGGTTCTCATATTGGTACTGATCATGATGATGGCGATGCTGATGATGATGACTAGAAACATGATAATGGCACACATCTTGGACACATGCAGTATCATGCAGTAGTTTCGGTGATGCGCAACAACGCTTTAATGTGTTTCGAACTCGTGCTAAAAGCAAGCTTGACACGGCGCCCCATGCGCCCGCACCCTTGTAGCACTGGTAGTGCTACTAATTCTGCACTTGTAGTACCAGTACCAGTATATAGCCAGTATTACTAGAAGTACTAGCAAACTCGTACTTGTACTCATACTCGTCGCTGTTCCCGTACTTGTAGTACTAACATGGGTGGTCGTTGTCGTGGTGTACCGCGACAGCCCGCTATAGCTGCATATCTCATCCACTCAGCCCCGTCCGTGTTGCAAAGGTTTGCCGGCCGTATGCTGAGGCTGGAATCTCTCGGCTTTCCATTTCTTCAGTTTTCCGGTATCACGGCCAGTCATGGCCTTACAGCCGTAGGTTCCAGCTAAGTACTAGCTGTGCTCTGGTCTTAAGCCCGCTCATCACAAGGACCCAACAGAAACCTTGTACAGTTGTACCAGTGCGTAGAGCACCTCTTGCTGTGCTGGCCAGGGGGCTAATGGTACAACCAACGCAGACGGCGCAGGAGTCGTGACTCCGGGCTGGTTTTCGGCACTCCGGTTCAGATGCCCTGAAAGTGCTGTAGCTGCACAAGCAAGATGCTTGACATGTAGCCTGAACTTGGGCCAGGTCGTCCTCTCACTTTTGGACGCAGCGAAGGTGGCAGAACATCCGATACTCGCGAATGTTCTAGGACGGGATTGCAGGGGCGGGAGATTGTGCGAGTCGAACAATAAGAGCTTTTTGGCTCGTTCCAAACTCAATAGATGGGCGCTGTGGCACCTATAGTACCTAGAGCCTGATGTCACAATGCTCCTGCACCAGACGCAATCAGGACAAGGTCAATAGCTCCAGTATGTACAGTGCAGTGTATTGTATTCTTCCAGGAGCTGCGGTGAACAACGACGGCTCCCGCAAAGCCCACTTCTCTGCGTTGCGACCCAAGTCTATCGAGAAAGTGCATGCGCCATCATCGTTGCTTATAAGTGTGAGCCCGATACACAATGGGGAAATCCACATGAGGTACGTGCAGGTGCCAGCACACATCAGCATGCTGAGCAAACAACACAGCACAGCCGTTTTGGAAGGACAATGCATCGCGCGTTCGCACCATTTCCTGCAGTTTAATATATAGCAGCCAACTTCATCACTTTCAGAGTTTCGAGCATTCCGAGGCCCAGCTACCAGGGTCAGGTGGAGTGCGTCTCCCGGGCGCATGCTGATGCTGCCCTTCAAGAAGGCATCCTTGAGTATTGCTTTGTGGTTGAACTTTGAATGATCTTGAGAGGCTGGCAGCTGGATTACGTGGAAGGGCATGGCTGCTTGGCTCAAGCTAACAAAGTTCAAAAGTCTCGACCACTTTGTCAAGTTTCCAGTGCCGTTGTTCAACCTGTTCTGGCAAGTGGGTTTCGGAAACTGAGGAACCGGAACGAAGATCGGAGACCCGCTGGAAATTCATGCGCTGACGCAGGTGCTGGAGCAGGATCATGGGGTGGTTTCGGAGGCTACTCTTCAAGCACGGGGAGAGATGCAAAACAGAAGGGCCACCAGGCCGCAGCATTGTTTCCAGTCAAGGTCCCCATAGGCCCGAAGCGACACCAGTGATGCCGGCATGTGCCAGATATCCCGCCAAAGCAAGAACAGACCGCTGGGAGGAGCCCCGCGTATACCTGGGCTCCGTCAAGGGCAACGTGGGGCACCTGAACACCGCCGCAGGAGTCGATGGCCAGGATGCAGGGATTTTCAAGGGTGAACATGCACGTGGCCCAGCAAAACAGGCCGTGGCAGTCAACTTCGGCTTCACTTCCCATTTGAGTCTTGTAAGATAGGGCAGCTACGTTCCCAGCACTCAGCTTAAGAAGCGGGTGAACTCTGTCGAGGAGTCCCGGGCTTCATCAAGTCAGCGGCTTACGTGCCGGGTTGCTGCCGTGAGTAAAGAGAAGACGGAATGTAGTCCGGTGTTATATTGCGGCGCAGCTTTCGACGCAAGTGTCTCACCACACCCTCTCGTCAATCAAAGCCCAGTCTTCTGGCCGTGCGGCGCACGTTCGACAGCTATGATATCTGCTTGAGCACCCAAAGCACTTGCTCAGGGCTGTTATGATGCTGAACCGGCAGATGCTGGTTCCAAGCCTGTTCGCAGACACTCCGACGAAGGAGGTGGACTGGGGCAGGACTTCGTCATGCCCTAAGACCCTCAAAGCACGCAAAGTTCATAATAAATTCAGACCGAAGTTGTTGAGCTAGTGGCACAAGAACCCACTAGCGCTGCGCAGGACCCCTCTTTTGCTAGCATCCGAAGCCATGAAGTTCGATTGCCGCGAGCCTAGATGTGTCCGGGAGGACGTGCCATGTGAGCATGTGCTGAGATATGTAGCATAAGTTTACAAATCTCACCTCCTGCAGAGGACGTAGCCACAGTAGATGCCTTGGGAACGGTTCATTGACTGCGGCTTCAGGCCGACTGACGGGAGTGAGCTCTTTTGGCGTAGGCAGGGTCCGTGTCACATCGCCCTGTTTCCCCGTCTTTCGTCGCTTGGGATGCAGATGCTCAGCCATCGCAAGTGCACAGATGAACTCCATCTGTTCTGTCGTTCCTGTGCGCACCAGGCGGCACCAATGCACACGTGGTTCTGGGTCGCGGCGGCGAGCAGCGTGGATCAAAAGTACAACTGAGCCGGGCAAGGTGTCGAATGCCATGGCGTGTTCTGATCTGACCGTAGAGGCAGGCATAAATGAATTGTGCGACTGTTTGGGCAGCAGCTCTTGGCTGCACCCAGGACACAGCAGCTGCCACCAGCAATGGAATGGGTGCGGACTCCTGTCCGAGAGGTGCTGGCTCCGGGATGAAGTCAAGTGCTATGTTGTTACACATGGAGCTTTTCGTTCTAGCAAATTTGCTTCCAGAAGACTGAGAGTGGACACCCTGTGCTGTCCCAGCTCCTGGCGGCTGCGCCGGCCTCCGCACCGGCCGCACCGGTCACTGCCATGGGCACATCACGAGAGAGGACGCTGGAGGCCCAACGAGGGCCTCGCGAGGGCCTAACGAACAAGTCCCGAGCGGCAGCCGGCGCTTCCAATGCTTCGTTTATGCATGTTTATGTCTGTGACCACAATGTCCGCCAGGAGTGGTTCTACGAAGAGAGCTGCGCGGACTGTATCAGTTGAAGGGCGAGTGCGTTGTGTTCGCCGGCATGTCGTGCACAGGGCGCGAACAGGTCCCGGCAACAGTTCGTACCTTCCTTTGCAGCACGAGCATGCTTCATGCCTTACAGCAAAAGCCGAAGGGTGATGTTTATGAAAGACCTGACTGTCGCCGTCTCACATCCCCGGTGCCAGACAGCTTTCATCCGAGTTCTACGAGCTAAAGGGGCTGCATGCCTTGAGCCCGAGCTTCTGAGCAGTCCAGCATCGCAGTTTCAGGCCGGGAGCAGGTTCGGCTCAGCCCTGCTAGACTGAGACTTGGCTAAGCTTTGGGCCGGTTTTGTTTTTCGCTCAGTGAAGTTTATGTCAATTCGACTTCAATGTCTTGGTGGTATCGGATCTTGCTGCATGCAGCAGGATCAATGCTGGGTTATTTGCTGGGGGCTCTTCTTGCCAAAAATTGGGCCAACTTATGAGTTTCCTTGCGCAGATCCCGTCACGATTTTGCTGGCTGAAGTGCATGAGAAGCTGCACAGGACTTCGGCTGCGGTGCTTTTGGACGGACAAAGTATGCCTGAGGCATGTCGGAACCGATCGCACGACGGAGCAGGACTTGAGATCTTTTGAAACTTATGCATGTTGCAGGGCCTGCCTGGCTGCATAATCCCGACGACATGGAGCCGGGCGATGAAAGCAGCAGCGGCTGCAGGCTGGTCCTTTCTCAGGACCTGGTGAGGAGAAGACTGCAAAGAGGGACAGAGTCATACAGAGACAGGGCCACGCGAGAGCGCATACGGCCCAGGATCTCCACACTGGCCCAAACCGGTGCTGCTGGTGTTATGTGTCAGTCTCTCACGTTTTGGTGAGGCCGTGCCTTACCCCGGCAAGCCCCCGGAGCCGTGCGCAGACACATGGGTGGATGCGTTGCAAGTCTTTCCGCTCCGTAGGAGAATCTATGGCCTCTGCTGCTCGGGATTGACGTCTTCATGCGGCGGATAGCAGAGAGAGAGAGAGAGAGAGAGAGAGAGAGAGAGAGAGAGAGAGACGGAGACAGAGCCAAGAGAGCCGGGAGGGGGGGGTCTTCCTTGGCTCAGTGCCAGCAAGAGGCTGTCCGTTCTGTGGGCGTTGTGTGCATCCTCCTCTCCGATGCGTGGGGGATATACAACATAGCAAGCGCAACAGCTGCGAACGCTCTAGATGAGTGCCACAGGGGCCGGCCATGAGGCCAGAGTGTGGGGATGGCGTTTAGTGTTCAGGGGGGTTCGCAGCCAGAACTAACTCGGAGCCGACTTAGTTGTCGGTGCTGCACTGCGTGGGGACCCAATGCCGTCCACTCCATGGAGACAGAGAGAGCGAGCTAGACGACCACTGCGCCCGGCACAAGAAAAGGGCGGGACGGGGAGAGGCACAAGTTCGAGCATGTCTGTGAACGATTGAATTACTGAACTCCTTCTCCAAATTTTCGATCCATCATTTGCACATCCCCACAAAGCCCCTGAGGATACGGGGGGGGCCCTGGTGTGGGCAGAAGACCTAGCTCGTCCCCGCCCTGGAAAAGAAGAGGGAGAGCTGTGCGTGTATGCCAGCCTGGGTTTTGTGAGCACCCGGACTAATGCTTGAAAGCAATGGACACGGCTGCACTGAGCTGTCGAGTCCACTCTGTCCGAGAGATTGCCAACTTGTTTTGCAATACACTCGAATCGTCGACGGTCGAGTATCTCGCGCGTACAGTAGTTACTGGATGCATGCATCGAGTTCCAGCATTTGACGCTCTGCCTTTGCAAAGACCCGGTCAGGCAGAATATTTCGCTGAAGAGCTGTGAGAGCAGCAGAGGAAAATGCTTTTGGACTTACTCAATCAAAGCATGACCCACACGTGTAACTATATAATAAAGCGGAAGGCAAAACGAATTTCACGGGTTTCGATGGACTGGTGACGAAGGCAAACCCTACTCGGAGCAACCAGAAACGTAGCAGTAGCAGTAGTAGTAGCAGCAGCAGTAGTAGTAGCAGCAGCAGCAGGAGGAGGAGTAGTAGTAGTAGTAGCCGTAGCCGTAGCCGTAGCTGTAGCGGTAGCAGTAGGTTAGGAACAGCAGTAGTAGCAGCAGCAGCAGCAGCAGCAGCAGGAGTAGTAGTAGTAGTAGTAGTAGTAGTAGTAGTAGTAGTAGTAGTAGTAGTAGTAGTAGTAGTGGTAGTGGTAGTGGTGGTGGTAGTAGTAGTAGGAGTAGGAGTAGCAGCAGCAGCCGCAGCAGGAGTAGTAGTAGTAGTAGTAGTAGCAGTAGTAGTCGTCGTGGTGGTGGTGGTGCTGGTGGTGGTGGTGGTGGTAGTACTGGTAGTAGTACTAGTAGTAGTTTTAGTAGTAGTATTCGTAGTAGTAGTAGTAGTAGTAGTAGTAGTAGTAGTCGTAGTGGTAGTGGTAGTACTGCGCCGGGCCGATATTTCGACCCACTAGCCTCAACATGCTTTACAACACATGGGCCTCCACCCTCTTCCCCATAGACTCCTAACACAAGTGAGCCTTGGGGCCTCCGCCGGAACTAAAAGGTATTCTATTTTTAAAACGGCGTAGTAGTTACTCCGCTGGCCTGCGTAGGGTAAACGGCACTTTGAGCTACTCCGCTACTCCGCAAGAGCTTGTATGTAAGATGCTGCACAAGTGGGTCGAAACTTTCGGCCCGGCGATGTAGTCGTAGTGGTAGTGGTAGTGGTAGTGGTCGTGCTAGTAGTAGTAGTAGTAGTAGTAGTAGTAGTAGTAGTAGTAGTAGTAGTAGTAGTAGTAGTAGTAGTAGTAGTAGTGGTAGTGGTAGTGGTAGTGGTAGTGGTAGTGGTAGTGGTAGTGGTAGTAGTGGTAGTGGTAGTGGTAGTGGTGGTAGTAGTAGTAGTACCTACAACTAGATCTAGTAGTAGTACCTACTACTAGTACTAGTAGTAGACGTAGTTGTAGTTGCAGTTGCAGTTGTACTTGCAGTGGTGGTAGCAGTAGTAATTGAAGTAGTTGTAGTTGTTGTAGGTGTTGTTGTAGCAGTTGCAGTAGATGTAAACGTTGTTAATGTTGTGTTTGCTGTGTGGTTATTCTTTGTGCTTTTCTTGTTGTTATTCTTGTTATTGTTCTTGTTGCTGTTGTTGCTGCTGCTGCCGTTGCTGTTGCTGTTGCTGCAGCTGCGGCTTCTGTTGTTGTCGGTGTGGGTGCTGGTGCTGATGGCTATAGTGAAATCACCGGAAGAATGCCTTGACCGGCAGCGGCCGACATATCCGTACACCCGCATCTGAAGTCATTTGGGACCGGATGTTGCAATTCCTATGGGGTGTAAAGGTCTAAGCGCCTTATTACCTTTCAAAAAGCCTACTGAAACTACCATTGAAGCTTTGGGTTGAGGGTGCAACATCTTCTAGTATGCTTTAGCATATCTGGAAAACCTATCACTGCTATGAGGATAGAGTTGTGATTTCGCCACCCATCCAACTCCTGAGATGGACTCCAGAACATCACGCCCTGGTGGCGTGCACTTTCGTCAGAGCAAAGGGCACCCTGACCCCTGAACCGCAATCAGCCAGTTGGCGGAATTCGGACGCGTGCCTTTTCGGGGACAATACCATGTCCAAAGCCCCTGCATTCCTCCTGCTGTGGAACAGCCAACGCAAGCAGCGTCATCAACCCAGGCGGTTATTGTACAGTACAGGTGTCCGGGCTTGGGTCGTGGCGGAAGTGAAGCCGTAGATTGATGGAGAAGCAGAGGAAAGAGAGAAAACGAGAGAAGAAAGGGAAACTACGAGTACAGAGTGATTGAAGCACAGGATCAAGAGTTCTGCTCCAGCTAGCACCAATGCCGGGTCAATAAAGCCGCATAGCAGAATTCCGTACAGCTTCTTTTGGGTGCCGGGCTATGATGTGAGCGTGCAGACACGTGAAGGCAGGGCCTTCATCTTCGTCGGCTCCAGCACCGAAGAATCTCGGCTGCTTCAAGCAAACAGCTCTTCCGCTTCGGTAATGTTCAAAGATACGGCTTCTTTCTGCAATGGCAGCGCATCTTCCGAAGACTCTTGCCTCTCGAGGAACCTGGCGTGGAGGAGCGGGCAGACAAGGGGTCAGCAACGCGGTTGTGTCCATGACACATAGAACCGACCGAGGCCATCATGCATCCTGTGAAACCTGCTTTTGTGGTGCCTGAAGGATACCACCCAGGAGGACCTTCTGCTTCATTGCATGGCCTTCCTGAAACGGCCTCCAGCCTGCAGACTTTGTGCTTGAAACCTGTGATACCCCAAGGAAGAAGCTCGCCTGAAGGGCCCAAGCCAGATGCGAAGGCTCTAATTGAGCTGTGTTCAGGTTGGCTCGTGGCGCTCATGGGCTCCAGATCTTCTTCGTTCTGCAGGATTCAGTCAGGCCACCTGACCTGCTCTAAACCTGGACATGGCTTCCAGTCTGCGCGCTGCTTGAACAACAACTTCTTCCAACGTCAGTCTCGTTCTACCTTCCCGTGGTTTCGGGTCGAGATTGTTTTTTTCTGGCACTTCCTTCTGCGAGCCTGGCACCGGGTGGGATCAGCGCGGATGTCGGATGCCTGCTGATGCGATGAATTTCCGTCCCAGCCCCGCGGAGAATTGCGCGGCTTCACGCACCCAGCAACTTCAGCATGGCTTCTGGCAGGTATGCCGGGCTCCTCGGTTTGCTTCGCTCGGCCACTCTGCTGAGAAAGAGTGATCACTGCAACCCTCAGAGTAGAGCTTGATTGCTTTCCAGCATGCCGCTCCCAAGACAGACGAACCCAACCCGCAGGCAAGGAGCGCATGCTCTTTCGGACATGTTCTCCGCACTCGCTGAAACTCCGAGCGTTCCCACTGATAAGGCCACAGCACTTAGGAATCTCTCGCAACTGCAGTATAGCAGCGCTATAAAGCTACAAAACACCTGGGTCACTTTAAATACTCGACGCGCCATCGTAGCACGTGCTCTTTCGCGCTCTATATTCTGCTCACGCAGTGTTCCTCCGTTCCGAGCCCAAAGCAAGAATCAAGATCTCGGAAGCACTCTTCGGAAGCTGAAGTATGTTGGCAGAGCTTGAAAGACACCTCAAAAACCGTGACCCCAATCCCAAACCTCGAAGCTGACCAGGACAACTATATGCATAAACCAGACGCTGAGCCATCAAAACCCCCAAAGAAGTCCGACCCAACAACCACAACCCCATGTTTGGCACATGTAGCGTGGAGACGGAAAGACAACTTGAGGCGTCCAAGGAGCACCCGGAACTGAAGCTCCGCATCCTGCGCCGAGAGGGGGCAGCCAATGTCCTGTGCTGTGGCTTTCAATTGATCCATGTTCAGGTGTTGTCCGTGGCGAAGTCTTGCTACTTAAAGTGGCCAGGTGTCAGCTTTTGAGCTTAAGGGTTCAAGCCCCTTGAAGACCAAAGCAAAATTGTACCTCAATTGGGGTGGTCGTCCCCTATTGGATATTCCCTCAAATTTGAAGCGAAGGTTGCCAGCAGTTGCAGGCGAATTCCTCTGCACCGACACAGGTGCCGGACTCGATATAGACGTGTGTTCGGGTACAGCCTCTTTCGACCGAAAGCATCGCTCCGCATCACTCCGGAGGCACCTTCGCACCACGACTGCAGCGCTGTACGGCGCCATTGCCCTTAGACGATGCACCCAGGCATGCCAAAGCTGTGCAAGTGCAAGTCGAAATGGTTGGAAAGCCTAGCTTGCCCGACACCACCCAGCCATGCCGGGGATAGGTGCCCAGAGAAGGAAGGTCACGAATTGTCATTGCACCCACCAGTACCAGCCTTCGCTGCAGGGCCCGGTGCACTCTGGTCACTGGCGGTTTGAGGGGTCTCGGCCTGGCTGTGGCCCAGCGCCTGGCGGCCACGAAGAGGCCGAGGGGAAGAGGCTAACAGTCCAGCTTCGCCACGCGGTCACCAGCGTTGCAAACGAAGTTTCCGGGCTTCCATCAGGGCAGAAGGGGCTCGAAACGAAGTGCGTGCATCCAGGACCGAATCCTTGATTCTTATTGGGCGCCGTGCCCCTCAAGGCTTGGTGGCTGTCGTGTGTTTCCGTGCGCCAACCTGCTTATGATTCTGTAGTATAGATTGAAAACTTCAGGATTGCAACAGAAACCGTCACCATCAACTTGCTACACACTTATCTCCCTCGCTGTGCCGCTGAGAAACTCCGCTCGACTCTCACCCAACTAGGATTTTCCAGGTGCCGCAGCGGATCGAGTTCGAGAACTTTCAGGACTTCTGCCTGTGGAGGCGGGTGATGTTGACATGCACCTCAGAGAGCCCCGATTTCCTGACCAATACAGCCTCCATACCTCCTTCATGACCCCAGCAAGCACGCAATCCCGGTCCCGATAAGTGATTAGTTCATGCCGAGCCAGGTCATTTGCTGTGACGTGGCAAGCTGGCAAGAGGTGCATCAGAGCTGAAGCACGAAGGGTCTGTGCAGGTGTTCAGGTTGGTGGAGACAAGTCGAGTGACTCGCTCTTTGCTCGCGGGAGGTTTGTGCTAGCTTATTAGAAGTAACTTAGTAGCCGAAGGAGAGAAGCGAACCGTGCACACATAGCTATGAGATGCTATGGGTATGCAGTATGGGGCATGCAAGGCCTCGTGTGTCGACAGGTCTCCAAGCTGCCCGATCAGTGCGACTTGGTGATCCATTGTGCCGGCGCTGTCAAGGACTCACAACCGCTAAAATGACTGGGGCGTGTGCAGCTGCAAGCTAGAAGGGGTCACACCCCATAACGGCAGACACTCGCCTCCATCATCATGATTGTTGGAATGCGGGCAGGATGGTGTGATCATTAACTTGACGGATGCAGATGCCCTGAAGGCCTCCAGGAATCGGAGTCGAAGGCAGCCACGAGTAGCGAAAGCAACCCTTTGCTGCCAGGTCCTCCGCCCCAAGATCCGTGGGGCCATCCATTTGAGGACTGCATGCGCCCGCCGAGTGTTGGCACAGATGGGCCCTCTAAATGGCACTGGACACTGGACCGTTGGCCCTCAGTTCCATCCAAGAACCGCAGGCTTGGCTGTGCGTTCTTTGCGACACACAAGTTCCCTGCCGCGACGCAGGAGCAAGTATCCGCACGCAAAGAAGGCCAGAAGATGTGACAAGCAAGAACAAGCTTTCGGTTTCGGGGGCGAGTCGTGAATCCTTCACAGAATACTACAATCAGCAAGATGCGCTGTCAGAACAGTTTTGAAACATAAGTGAGGGAGGTGTGAGTGGTGCAATTGTCTTGCATCGGTGGTCTCAGCACCGACCAGATGGCATTCTCGTCTTCATCGGGGCTCTTTGGCGTTCCGGGCCAGTCCACCTATGCGGCAGGCCTGGCCCTCGGCCCTCTCAGAGCCACCAGGGCCCAGGGAGCGCAGCTGAGCGCAGCTGAGCGCAGCGGAGCGCAGCATGCGAGCATGGCTTTCCAGGCAACACCTTTGTCGATGCGGTCATGCCATCCATTCAGTGGGGAGGCCAGCCATGTCTTGAGGCAACCGAAGGCTCGAGGCAAGATGGAGAGTGGTGAAGCCAAGCGTTCGCTGTGAATCGGTTCGATGGACGTGTGACACGATCCGCAGAGAGCGTGGCAGGTTGGGGCGAGACCGGCATGGTGGAAGACCACGGAATCAAGCCGCGGCCTTGCACGGAAGACAGCCGGCCTCGGATGTCTTAAGAACTCGTCATGGAGCAGAAGCGGAACAGGGATGGATATTACATGATATTACCGTAGATTGCCATGATACAAGTAGTGGCAGTATGTGGATAAGAAGCCAAGCAAGCAAGATCGAGGCCTCTTCCTGGCGAGCGCTTCTTCACCGTTGAGCGCGGTCTCGACTGTTTATTCCGAGCGCCTCGCAATTTGCTTTGTGGCCAGGGTTAGTGGACGGCGTGCCCGGTGTTGTAGGGTTTCATGTTGGATCGGGCATTCTGCCCGGTAATTATATGCATATATTATGCATATATATATATATATAGAGAGAGAGAGAGAGAGAGAGAGAGAGAGAGAGAGAGAGAGAGAGAGAGAGAGAGAGAGAGAGAGAAAGAGAGAGAGAGAGAGAGAGCTCAAGGCCGTGAGTGGTTCAAGGCCATCAAGGCCCGAGCCCCAGATCAGAAAGCAGAGAGGGCCTTCAAACCCGACAGTGAGGGGAGGGAGCGTGCTCTCGCCCTGCCATTCGAGCACAAGGGCAAGGTCGCAGCCCTACGCGCCTCCACCAACCCCGTTCTGCCGGGCGACATCGGGGGGAACGGAGCCCAACGGTGTCTGTGCGCCGCACCTTCTGCCGAAGCTCAGCCCTCGGCGTCTACGCAATCGGCGAGCCTACAGGCGTTTTACCTTGCCAAGTCGATCAGCCGCAAGACCGCCTTGGGAGATGCAGTACTCGGAATACTTGTCCGTGATACTACTTGCAGGGGGGCGACCTAGTGAAGCACGCCGGGGAGAACAACATGGCGACCGGAGCAGGGCTCGAGATGCAAGTCGACCATCAGGGGAATTCCCCTACGAAGAGACGAGCACCGGACAAGCAAGAGGACATGGCACTCAACATCGACATCATTCGAGAAGCTATCCGGGGGGAACTCAAGGACGCCCTCTCTGATGTCAAACAAGACTTGCGCACCTTTGCCACGCGGGTAGACAACGTTGAAAGCCAGGTGACTAGGAAGATGCAGCAAACTATCAACCTGCTGGACGACATGACCGCCAAGTACGCAGCCCACGGGGACATGTTGCAACAGCTCCAAGAGGCCAACAGGGAAGTGAACCTCCGACTCGAACGTCTCGAAAAAGGCGGGGGAGCTTCCTCCGTGGCCGGGAGCACAACAGCTTCCGACAACTCCCGACGCCCCGCGCTGATCATCGGGGGATGGGACCCAGACCAGGACGCTGCAACCACAAAAGAAGCAGCGGGGGACGTCTTGAAGACAGTGGGCGCGCCCATCGACCTGGGCCCTCTCTTCGTCCCTGGCGTCCGTCGAGGATACGCGATCCTGCCCATCGACGAACCAATGGGGGAGACCTTTGAGCAGCGCAAACAACGCATTCAGGAGGTCATCGCAAAAGTCAGGGATGCAAACGTCCAACTTGGACGTCGACCGGACGGGGGGACAAGGCGAGTTTGGATTGCTATGTCGCAACCTCCCGACCGACGCCGCCGAGCACGCCTCGCAGCCAAGGTGAAGCGCTTGTACCTTACCTTGGGAGGGGATAAGAATGCCCTTCAAATGGAGTTCAGCACGGGTACCGCCTGGATCAACGGCGTGAAGGTCAGCTCAGCAACCGCCCCCAAACCCGGGGGAACAGAGGACGCTGGCCCGGGGTGGATCAACCTGTCCGAGATCGCCAAGGCAACAAGGACCGCTCCGGATGCAGCCTCCACGGCCTGGTCTCCGCTCAAGGCGGAGATCAACTGAACCGAGGGGGACCCACAGACGTTTCACCCCCAGGCCGAGGGGGAACACAAACCCGGCCAGCATTGGGCCATGACCTGGAACGTCGGGGGACTTCGGCAGACAACTTGCTGAAGCTCCTCGACACTTTCAGTGGCAGCCCGAACCTGCACTGTGTCACCATCGTCTTGCTGCAGGAAATCATCTGCGAGCCAGGCCTTTTTCATGCAGAGTCAGACACGTGGCGAGTTGTTTGCGGCAAGAGCGAGGGAGAATTCCGAGGCGAAGGGGTGGCACACACCTCCCAACACCATACGCACCACCACAGCTGTGTCTCCACCGGGGGGGTGACCACAACACTCAAAGCAACCGCAGACAAAACGACAGTCAGAGCACTGCCGACCTACCTCCCGCACCACGCCACCATCCCACAAGCAGAGGCCATTTTCTCTGACTGGGAAGCTAGCCTGGGTGAGCACCGACGCTGCTTGCTGGGGCTTCACGCAAACGAGACCCTCCTCCCCCCCCCTTACCAACGTCCCAGGATGCTACGCTACCGCGGGGAGGGGGGAGGCACTGCTTGAGTGGGCCAGCATGCACAGCATTACCCTGCCACCGCAACAGCTCCACCTTCCCAGTTACCACCCTTACAACCAAACCATGCACTCCCGACGACTGGACTACATCCTGGTCAAAGGGATCACAGCAGGGGCGGGAAGCGTGATTCCTTGCCGCGACAGAGCCTCCTCCGACCATGACGGTGTTGCCGCGCCCATTGGCACACACAAAGGGGGAGGCCCGACCGCACCACCTGGGGCCCTCGCCGCCTCCGCCCACCCCACCAAGTTGACCAGCTCCTGACCGTTCCGCCTCCAAGGGGAGAAGACCCACACAAAGTCCTCGCCACGCTGGCCAAAGCGATCACAGTCCCCGGCAGCGGTCATAACAAATTTCAGGAAAGTGCCGAGCTGAGGGGGATGCGTAGGGACGCCCAGCACCGCCCACCCGGGCCCGCAGCCAGAACAGCGTGGAAGGCCATTGCGAAGCGACACAAACAAGAGCACAGAGCCTGGAGCACCAAGCAGGCCGAACAGGCCGCACGATTGGATTGGAGATCACTACGCACCCTCCAAAAAGCAAGAACACACCGCGGCTGGCAACTCCAGCTACAAGACAACCGCGACTGGCAGACACAACTCCACAGCCACATGCGCTCCATCTTTGCCAAGCCCATCCCACCCGGGGGAAGCGCACGGATCACAACACTGCGTGATCAACTGCGCCGCAAGTGCAAGCACACGCCATGGCAGCCTTTCCACATCACAGAACTTCAGCTAGCATCCAAGCGCTGGGGGAGCTACAAAAGCACCGGGCCCGACGGCATTTCCCACGAAGCAGCCAAGGCCCTGCTGGCTCACGACGGCTGGGGGGGAACTATCACATATGTCATGAATGACATGCTGTACACAGCCAATGTCCCCGAGACCATCGACCGGGGGATAACGGTGCTCTTGCCCAAAGTTCCCACACCACTTGAGTGGACCGATACGCGACCCATCACACTGAGCAGCACACTACTCAAACTAGCAGCACAACTCCTCCTTGCACGGGGGGGAGCCAACATCCGGGGGGAGGCCACCTTACAGTGGGCCAGACACGGCAGGCAAGGGGTGGAACTTGTGGCGACGATTCGGCGTGTCGTACAAATGGCGAAAGACTGGGGCGTGCCGACCTGGTTGGTAAAACTGGACATACGTAAAGCATTCGATAGTGTTTGGCAACATAGCATGAGTGAGCTTGTTGCGGCACGAGTCGGGGGGGTGCCTTCAGCCCGCTGCCCAGTCCCAGCCGAGGGGGGACAAACCATGGGAGGCCCTCATGTGGCATCCTCGAGACCCGCACCCTCAACGTAGCGGTGGGAGATACCATCACACCTGTGCCCCAAACGAATGGCATCCGCCAAGGCCTGACCTTTTCGGAGCCGTGGTTGCCAGAGACCTCCAGTCCGCCATCCAGACAGCCCCCGCACAAGGCCCAGACGCGCAGGGGGGGCCACAGCCTTGAGGCAGAACTCTCAGAGGACGGCCTCCACATACACCCCACCAAAACCGCCATTTTATTCAGCCAGCCTGAAGGGGGAGGCACCTTTCAGATCGGCGGCACTACAGTGCCATGCGCCCCCTACAAGACAGTGATCGCCACCCTTGGGTCGCCCTTTACCTTTGGGGAACAGATAGCAGCAATCATTGCGGAGATGAGCCGGAGGGGGAGGCAGGCCTTTGCAAAACACAAAAACATACTCCTAGCACGCACCAGCATCAAGACCCGAGTGGCAGCGTACACCACCCTGGTGCGCTCAGCTGCACTCTACGCAGCCGAGACATGGCCAGTCAACCAGCGCCTACTCAAAGCAGCCAACTCTTTGCAAGCCCAGCACCTCAGACGCATGCTCCACATCGAGAGAAGGCCCACCGAGCAATGGGCCGACTGGCACGTCCGGTCTCTCAGGCTAGCACGCCTTCAGACGCAAAGGGGGAACCGTTGGTCCACTTACATCCTGCAGCAAATCTGGTCGCTGTGGGGGCACATGGCCAGAGGGGGGGAAGAGGTTAATGCCATGATACAGTGGAAAAACCTCGACTTCTGGCGCAGAGAGCAACGCAAGCCACGCAGCAACCGAGTCAACCACGCTGCCCGGTTCAACCCAGAAGCAGACGTTGAGAGAGCCCTGGAAAGTGTGGGGGGTACGCGCTGGGGGGAGGCAGCCCAGGATCGAACGCACTGGCACCAGCTCTCGCAAACTTTCGTTGACCGCTTCGACGTCCCGTGGGCAACCGGGAAACAAACCAGCATACAAGACAACCTCACACCTAACAGCCGCAGAGAGAGAGCAACAAACAGGCCAGCCATTGCATGAGAGAGCCCTCCCTTCCCAACCAAACCAGACCGTGGAGGGGATGACGTATGAAGGTACAGCCTGAAAGCCACCTCAGCCACAGCAAACACCAGAGGGGAGAGAACAGTTACATGTACTTGTGCTTGTATGCCTGCTTTCTTGTCAGTACATGTCACCAGCAGCGAAGTAGGCAGTGAAGGCCTGCCATCAGCACGGAACTCAGAAGCAACCGCAGCAGAGAAAGCTCAGAACTCCGCAAGCCTTCCCGCTCCCAGTGACAACATGGTCTCCAAGGGGACTGCGTTACTTTGCCTGGCAGCGGGGGGCCTCTTGCTCCAGTACTTGCCGACGGGGTCGGCAACCTACCATGGCCCAGACGAGTCGACCGGGGGGAATACTCCCAGAGGCACCCGAATGGGGCGCCCACGAGGCGTGCGAGAAACGAGTGGAGCAGGACCACTCCCTCCACGTGGCTGGGAACAGACAGCCACGGCAGGAGGAGCACTACCAACGACTCCCACTACGTACGAACACAGAACCGGCGGAGCCGCAGGACACCTCCCGGCAGCACACACACACACACACCGCCGCACTACCAAGCCACGGCAGGGCAGATGGCCCCACAAGCCACCGCCACACAAGCCGGAGGAAGCAGCCAAGCAGCAACCGCAGCGATCTACCACGCGCCAGCCACAGCATCCGGGGGGACTTTCCACGCAGCAGCCGGGAGCCAGGCCCAGCAATACGCAACCACAAGCTACGCACCACACCAGACACTACCACTGGCAACAACCACAACAACCGCCACCGTACAATCCTAACACGGATCCATGGCCACAGCCGTACATGGATGCACAGACCGGGGGAACACTCCCGCACCAGACACTACACTCGCAACCACCGGCCAACACAGGACCGACCGCGCCACAATCACAGCCGCCTACCATGGGGGGGAGCCTCCCCACAACAACAACCACCAGCGACGGGAGGAGCCTCTCCCCAACAACCACCACCAGAAGCACAGCCGGCTCAGCGGACAGGCGTCCTCTTTCTTACCAGCCAACCACCGGACAACCCAGCACGACGAGTAGCCCGAGGGCTCGCGGACATGTACCAAGAGCAGCGGCGACAACAACAACAACAACAACAGCAGCAAGCAGCGCAGCAGCCATACACGGCAGCACAGCTAGCAGCAGACCACGGCTTCGCGTCCTATGACGCCCAAGGGAACCTACGAGACCCATCCGGGGAGATCATCGAGCCCCCCAGCCAGGCCGACGACCAACCACAAGCACCACCACATGCAACCGGAGCCCCCATCCGGTCTTTTGGGCCCCATGGGGTGGCATACGCCAGCACCTACAACCCTGACACGGATCCATGGGCAGCCTACCAGCCCACTACACCCACGATGCCACACCCTACCGGCGGAGACCACAACCACAACCAAGCACCTCAAGCACCACAAGCAACCACACCGCCGGAGCAGCAACCAGCCGACGCCACATCTTCACAACACGACACTCCACCACAACCGCCCCCGCAGCCCGCAGCTGACCCAGATGGGCAACACACCACTCCAGGAGGATCGGAGCAACCACCCACGACCCCACCAGCAGCCACAGCAGAAGCAGCAACCACCCAGCAGGACGCACAACCTCGGCTCAACATCAAGTCCCCCTTCGCAGAGGTCGCGGGCTCACGCCTACCACCAGGCGGTACACGAGCCATCCCAGGGATGACCATGCGCGAACACTACACTTGGATAACGACGGGGGAGATACCGGCAAGCTACATCGAGCGAGAACTGCTGCCACACTTCACCGACGATGGCGGCAACACCAACGACCAAAGCAACACACCCGGGGGGGACCAACATGAGACCCGCTCGCCACGCCGACGCAGCTCCAGAACCACCGCAGCAGCCGGAGCCCAACGTAGGGCCCAGCATCGGTACCATGAAGGGGGAGGCCCAGACCGCACTAGAAACAAAGCAGAGAAATACCGCATCAAGCGCTGGCTGAAAGCCAACAACCTCCACCACACACGGTGGGGACAACACCTACTGGGCCAAGGCCCCTCGCCACCACCATCGCGCCACAACAACAGCAAGCCCACGCCGTCGGCCCAAGACGACACTGACCCACCAGCACACACCGACTGGCAACCACCCCAACTCAGCCTACAGGAGAGGATTGACTACTTTCGCATGCTCAATCCTGGCCAACCACTGCCACCGCACCTTCAGCCACACCAAGCACCCGCAGCAGAAGAGGAGGACGACCAACCGGCAGACGACTCCACAAGCCAGCCGGGCCCAACCAAAGCAGACACCTACACGCCCTACTGGCACCCCGATGCAGAAGAAGACGGCGCCACACCAGCCACTGCCACCAGCTACTACCCAGCGAGACGACAACCACCACAACCGGAGGGGGATGCGACACAGCAGCCCCGCCCTCCTTCAATAGGGGGAGCACTCGGCACCACCTCCACTACCCCATTCAGCCATCACCACCACCACCCATACGGTCCTCAGAGCCGGCAAGTGGCTCAGCCGGATCGAGTACCAAGCAGACGTCCTAGCTAGCAGCGGGGAGACAACACCACTCCCGACGACAAGCATGCCCGTCAACGTTTACCCGCCCATCAGCGGCGAAACATGGCTGCTACTGGAGCCGATTTCACAACGCCGCTGGCTCACTACAATCACACAAGTGCCAACACCCAACCACCAAGAGCACCGAAGCCTCGCACTGCAAGTGGGGGACCAGTTCCTTCTCCTATCCACCAGCACACACTGGAGCATCCAGTTTACCGCCACCACCCCGGACCAATTCTTCAGGGCAGAAACCACAGAGCAACCTGCCCACGATACCGACCACCAGCCTCCACACCACGACTACCACCACACAGAGCAGACGGGGGACCAAGCACCACAGCCAAAGCAGCCGGCGGGGGAAGAGCAGCCAAACCCGACCGGAGCCAGAGCCAGAACAACCACAGACGCAACCACAGCCGCAACCACAGGCGCAACCACAACAGCCAACCAGGCCACACAACCCCCTCAGCGATGGCAGGACGCTGCGACAATCGCAGCAAAACAGAGCGCAACCACAACAACAACCACCACAACAACCGACACCGACACCATGGTTTCACCAGATACGTGACGGCAGGCAGATCGGCCCAAAACCAAGCCCAGCACCGGGCACAGGGGGGGAACATGACCGCACGGAGCTCATGCAAGAGTTCAGACCCACTACAACGACCTCGACCACCACCACGCCGAGCTCACCGATGGCATGTTCCAGTGGAACCGAGGGGGAGCTCAACGGCACGACCACCGACGAGGAGAACGTCGGCCTCGTCCGTTGACGACGACGCACACCCCTAGTGAACCAACTCAGAGAGGGGCGACACAGGACGAGCCGGGGGGACGGAGCAGTGGCACCAACCAGCCACGCGGACCCGCCACGAGACCGGGGGGCCGGAAGCTCCACGGACCCTCCTGACGCAGAAGCCCGACTGGCAGCTCAAAGAGGAGTGATCCAGGCGGCGGGGGCGCAGATACAGATGATCCACGAAATCGCCGACGGACTTGCGAACCGCGACGGGGAGATCATCTCGAACATCTGCGCCATCGCCCTCCGCATGCTCAGCCACGCTGAGAACTACCCGCACACAAACCCGCGGGGGATGGGAGCGGCATTTGCAGGCCCCTCTGGCGTCAGCGAAGCATACAGTTTTGTGGCCTCTATGCGAGTCCGTCGGGGGGAAAATTTCACTCCAGAGGAATATGCCACAGACCTCAGCCAACTTCGAGCCATGATTGAAGCTGGTCTGGGGGAACTACGCGAACCGATGCCAGGGGACGTGCCTCAGCTCTCCCTCCGCAAGGCGGACAACCAACTGCAGGAAGCATACCGGCGAGTAGACCAGGTCATCCTACCTACCATGGGGGGGACCGCACCTGGAACACCTTGGAATGGTGGAACACGCTGCATGACATGTTGGCCCCTGCTGCTCTACTTGCTACGAGAAGGGGGGAAGCCATGACTATGGAGCCGGACACTACACAAGCTCACCCGGCCGACGTCCTCAACCTTGCAGGGGAAGCCCAGGCCGAGTGGGGAGCAAGGACCAGCCAAACCGGTTCAGCAACGACAAGGATACTCAAGGCAGCCACACGTCTGCGGAATGTGGTCCCGTTCGTGGGGGACCACGTACTGCTGCCAATCGTTGAAATGCTGCAAGCACTAGAGCGCCAATCGCTGTTCGGAGGGGCGCATGCAGTTCATGAGAGTACACAGACCGGAGAGCCGCCCGTGGTCGCCAACGGGGAAACCGCATGCCACAACGGGGAGAATGAGAACGACCTCGACAACCCGGAGCAGCTTCGCGACGACTCCCACGGGGGGACGATCCTGACCGAGTCCACCGAGCAGCCAGCAGCACTCAACGCTGCGGCGATGGCAGCCCTTATGACACCAAGCTTACAGGCAGCAGTGAACGAAGCGGGGGAACTGCCGACCCTGCCCACACAGGCTGAGAGTGAAGCAGAGACAGTCCTGTGGCAAGCTCCGACTGCCGGGGGGAACGACTGGCGCGCTGAGACTGAGCGAGGGCGCTCCCGAAGTCCCCGTCAAGACGACGATGACGGAGGGAGCCATAGGCGCCGCAGACTGCAAGCGGCACACTACGGCCGACACGGACCCTACTGAGAACTGGGGGGGATATACTTTACACCCACCTCTTACCACTTATCTGCCTCGACCAACCTCTCCTGCAACCCAAGTTCTCAGTGGGGGAAATGTCCAGCAGTAACATAGTACAGCCAGCTAGTGCTCGAAGGGGAACATACTACATGAACTTGTGATGTGTCTTGCTTTGTTGCCACTTGTTCTTGTGCAGCCGAGCCCCGTGGTCGAAACTTCCACGGGGGATGATGCAAACCCCGCGAACTGCGGGTGTGCGGACTCGCACGAGGGTTAGGGCCTGGACGCGCTCTGCCCTCAAGCCCGGTAGAGAGAGAGAGAGAAAGGGAAACCTCTACACCATAACCCTGGCGAAAGAGAGAGAGAGAGAGAGAGAGAGAGAGAGAGAAAGAGAGAGAGAGAGAGAGAGAGAGAAAGAGAGAGAGAGAGAGAGAGAGAGAGCGAGAGTTTCCCACCACTCACTTCCTGAACACCAGGAGCACCAAGTTTTCTGTAAAGTTCGAGCCCATCCATTCCAAATGATGGATGGGGCAGCGCGCCCGCGCGGGGCGGGAGGACTGCTCCCGCCTCAAGCCCGTAGCAAAGCAAAGAGAGAGAGAGAGAGGCAGGTAGGGCTCAGAAGACTCCATAGCGGAAATAGCTGATTGCCCCAGCGCCACAGTGCGCTTCTGACGTCTTGCAAGAGCAAGATTCGGGATTGAAGCCATTGGCAAGTACCCCGCAAGCTCATTTTGGCACCGACACCGACGGCTTCAACGAAGCCGCGCTTGTAATATGGTCAGAAAGGCCTCCTTGATTGGCCTAAACCCTCCTCGGAGGGATTTGCTCCTTTTGTCGATTCATCACGGCCACATGGGCAGAGGCCGACAGGAGCAGTCGTAAGACTACTGGCAGCCTTCCTCCAATCCGTGGCATGTGTGGCATGGTGCTTGGAAGCAAGCCAAAAGGAAGGGCAAGGACAAAAGTACCTATGTTAGACGGTTCCTGGCGTACGACAAGGACCGCAAAGGGAATGGTCGTGGTGGATGGCATCGAGAGAAAGACTATGCTGACCCCTTTTCGGAACCCGCTGGGCTGACGCAGGTTCTACAGGCGTCCCTGAATGGGACACGCCAAGCAGAGCAACGTGTTCACTCGTTGACCGAAACTATCCCGGCCAGAGAGAAACTCTGGATTCCCTGAAGGCTTCGTACCAGACAGAGTACATTAGGTACATGAAGGATGTGGAGAAGTTCAAAGACGACCTTCAGAAAGCCTCCGCGGCCCAAGCAGGAGCCAGGGCGGATTAGCGGCAGGAGCGGATGCGCATGCCCTCTTGAGCAGAGCCCTGGGTGCCCTAGCCCGATCCCGCCTGTCCTGCACCGACCCAGCCCCCAGTGGTTCCTGGACACTTCAGTGCTGGCGGAACGGATCATGTGTTTGGGCCCTCACTCACCAAAGGTGGGCCCTGTACAAACACAGAGAGCCACAAAGACCACTTTTCCGCCGCGCTTCGGGGACCCCTACATGATGAGCCCTGGACAGTCCCTGCCGGCTGGGGTTGCGCCTTCTCCCAGCCAGCACAAGCGCCGGATGGATCAAGGCTTTCGGTGAAGACGCAGGCGCCACTGCAGATTGGCAGCCGTTCGACTCACCTCTGCCCTTTGTCATGTCGGGCGCCCGCTCCGACTTTTTCATTGGGAGCCCTCCTTGCCCAGCATTTTGCTACCCTTACATCGGGGGCGCTCCCTTGGCTGCTGCGAAAAAGCTGACGGCCTCAGCTTGTGAAGTCATAGGAGCTGCGATTCCGCAGACTGTTATCTCCCGAATCAGGATTGTCGCGGCCAGGAAAACTCTGGCCGCTCTTGAGCCAATTCCTGCTTGGGTGCTTTCCGTAGGATTTGGACTCGGAGATGACGGTCTTTACAGTCCTGTCGACTAGTTTCACTGTTAACTAATTCGTTTTGTGCATTATGCGCGACCTGCGGTCTCTAATGCCTGCGGAATGAAATTATACATATATATATATATATATATATATCTCTCGCTTTCTGGGCAATGAGTTCGGGTCGAACGCAGCCGTTGGGATGCACCTAATTACATTCAAAAGCCTGGCGCAGAAATCTGGCTGAGGCATGTAAACCGTGCCAGTATGCACTCAAGCATGTCAGAGCGGGTAGAGTGAGATGTAGCCGACCAGCCCTTTGGACCGAAAAGTCGTCTCACCTATGACCCGCCAAACCCGAACAAAACGAGAAAATTAAACTCCCAAAAGTCAAAACCCTAACAAGCAAACCAGCAGCTGTACAAAAACTCTGAGTTGTTCCTCCTGGGGCCAGGGAGGCAATCATCAGAGCAACACTACCCCTTACAAAGTGCAGGATCGGCCTCAAGGAAACAGTCCCTGCACGAATCTACCGGTAACTCAAACAAAGCTCTGCGCCTATTCCTCCGGGGGCGGGGGGAGGCAAACAGCAAAGCTACACCCCACACAATTATCAAATGAACCGTGCCCGCTCAAGACATACATGCATGCACAGTGACAGCGTATATACAAGCACGCATGCCGAGCACATATAACGCATCAAGCAAGTAAGATCTTAGCAAAAGCTGCTAGGTTGCAGGCATCCACCGGATCATCGAGCTACAGCTGCTGCAAGAGCAAGGACCCTTCCTGGTACACGAAGGCACCGATGGAGCCGATGGCTACGACACTGCCGCACTCTTCGTCTAACCTTGCCGAACGTGCCACTGGCCTCAACGTCCAAGGTGATCGTCTTACCCGTTAAAGTTTTGACAAGGATCTGCATGCCGCCTCGCAAACGCGGCGCCAAGTGAAGGGTCGATTCATTCTGGATGTAGTAACCCGGGAGAGTACGGCCATCCTCTAACTCCGACTGCTTGCCAGCGAGGATATCCTGGAACGTAGCCTTGACAGTGTCGAGCGTGCCACTGGCCTCAACGTCCAAAGTGACCGTCGTACCCGTCAAGGTCTCGACAAAAATCTGCATGCCGTCTCGCAAACGCGGCGCCAAGTGAAGGGTCGATTCATTCTGGATGTAGTAACCCGGGAGAGTACGGCCATCCTCTAACTCCGACTGCTTGCCAGCAAGGATATCCTGGAACGTAGCCTTGACAGTGTCGAACGTGCCACTGGCCTCAACGTCCAAAGTGACCGTCGTACCCGTCAAGGTCTCGACAAAAATCTGCATGTCGCCTCGTAGACGTAGCGTTAAGCGGAGGGTCGATTCATTCCGGATGTTGTAACCCGGGAGAGTACGGCCATCCTCTAACTCCGAATGCTTGCCAGCAAGGATCAGGCACTGCTGGTCGGGCGGGACACCTTCCTTCTCCTGGAACGTAGCCTTGACGTTGTCGAACGTGCTACTGGCCTCAACGTCCAACGTATTCGTCTTGCCTGTCAGGGTCTTGACAAAGAACTGCATGCCGCCTCACAAGCGCGGCACCAAGGCGTGCCCTCCATGGGCACTGGGGCTAACGATATTCCGCGCTGTTGCGGCCATTCGAGCCCTATATATATATATATATGTATATATATATATATATACATATATATATATATACATATGTATGTGGTTATAAGTTGTGAGTGCCAGGTGAGAGCTAGGGCTTTAACGCTAAGATTGAGTTTGCTTCGGCTTGGACCGGTTGCAGGCACGGTTTGGGGTGTGGAGCAGCTTGTGTTGCCTCGTTCTCCAGATTGAAACTTTCAGGTTCAGAACTGATGACCGCTGTTGAAAGCCACAAGCGTGAGGCCGAACAAAGGATGTCCGCGCGACATCCATGTGTCTTTGTATGTAGCCCCCAAGCAGTGAAGAAAACCCAAGCATTTCCCAAGGAGCACTCTTGAGAGTTTCAGGCACGAGGCCCATCCAAACATGTGGCCAGCATTCTGGTGAAAGCACGATCAGGGGCACAAACATGCGCTGTTCCGGGGGGCACGATTTCAGTAGCCGGGCACAGACCACGATTTCCACCCGACGATTCAAACGATCGCACAACGCAAGCACGACCTAGACCTAGCCTTAGCACACTGTTCGGGTAATTGGGGGTCTGGGACTTCTGAGGTGCTGGACTCGCCTGCTCCTCGTCCCGGCAAGGTTTGATGTGGTTTGGACTTTCCAAGACGCCCCCCCAGTGCTGTCAAGCCGCAAGCCACAGCCACGTTTTCGCAACACGGGCGATCCGTCATTCAAGCTCGTCGGTCGACAGGATGATCGGGAAATGGCTCTGGTGCGCAAAGGGTGGGGAAGGGGGTTGGTTTGACATCTCAAATCAGCATCGAACATCTCAGGGTGTAGAAGATCGGAGAGTGCCCTACGCGGTGATGGACGTGCAACTTGGATATTGGGAGTGAGCAAAGCGAGTCTGCAAGCTGAGTATTCAACTGCTGCGCACCTTTGCCGCCGTGGCCGCATTGTGTTTCCAAGGGATTGGCCCCTCTACCGCCAGCAGAACCTCTTTTCCGCAGAGGATCCTATGCTGGCCACCATCGAGGAGACACTGCTTTCCGAGCACATATGTTGGGTGCATGATTTGGGAGGGTAGCAAGCAATGGGGCCGGAACTGGAAGACTTTTGGACCATGCCACACACCGCATGGTTTCTAGAGGGCAGCATCCTTGACTGAATGACAGAGGATGACGAGGCGAGCCCATCCAATTCCGAGGCCGTCAGAAACGAGCGATGTGTGCAGACCCCTACCTGGCCGCATAAGTAAGCCTTTAAGTAATGCATCCATAAGTTGGGGAAGGCGAGCTGTCCTCGCCAGCCGTGGCACAACAGTAGCCCATGCCCAGCACTGCCAACGTTATTCAGTTTCGAGTTGTCGAGGGGCTCGAAGCGAAGCGTTGAATGTTTGAAGGGGGCTGGAGAGAGCCCGCTTCTGCAGCACGAGCATGATACAGAGTGAATGCAAGTACAAGTGTATCATCTATATATATATATATACATACAGACATACATGCATACACTCATATGTAGACGCAAGACTATACGCAAAGCAAATATGGACATAAATATATAGGTTTACTTTCCTTGTATGGTAACCCCCAGGACCAACTTGGGCCAGGCAATTGCTCCTGTGTGTCCCAGTGCTGTTGCGGATGAAAGTCGAAAACCTTGTAAACATTGCCAAAAGTGGTGCCACTTCTCGTTGTCTACAGCACGCCATGCTACAACATATAAAGAAGCAGGTTCCAGGTTTGTAACTGTGTAATGGAGTAAATCATGTCCTGCAGTTTTCTGTGAATGAAGACCTGTCAGGTACTTATGCAATATTTACCAGTATCTTTTATTCGCGTAGTAGTTGCGGTGCATGTGTTATTGGCTCTGCTAGAGATAATGTGCTGCTAATTTTGGACTGGTATTCGTTGATTATTTCACAGTGTGGGCCTCGTGTTGAAACATTGCTCATCGAGTACTCAAGTGATGCATGCATGCGTGATTTAACATTAATCTAATTTCCAAACGATAATTACGATGCATGTGTTGTTGCTTCCACTAGAGTTAATTGCAGTGAGTATTGGATCAGCATTTTTTTGGATATGTTGTCGCATCCCGCCTCATGTTCAAGTCTTCCCAAATGTTAAACGAGAACAGATTAACAAACATCTGACACTCAGTCGGAAAAGGTAGTCGTTGCAGCAATACAAACGACCCTTAAAACCATGCAGAATCAACTACCGCTGATATCGTTCACGAAGAGACAAAAGCAATACGAACCTGCTAGCCGAGGGTAGTAGCTATAATCATAAAATGCTACATCAATACCTTGCTTCAGTACTAATGTGTGTCCGAATATTGTTTCCATACTAGCCAAGCATTCACATCCGTTTAAAAGCCACCACCATGACGTACACTAGATAGTGTTGAACAGACCAACGTTTTCTGACCAAGCCCATGAAGCTCACAGCAGCTTTATGAGCAGTGCAGGTAATACTCTTGGGTCCTCCGGGTGCACGCCATCTTGGTTGCATGCCGGAGTGGGAGTGCCTTGTCTCGCTCGTGTGGCCATTTGATCTATGCAATGGCTAGGTTGTTCGGCGGTTCGATTCAATGTCATAGACGTCGACCGGTGTTTCCTTTCGAGCAAGCTTCTTACAGCTTTCTCGTCCTGGGGGGGGCAATCTCAGTTCCGGTGTGCCGGCTGCGTCTGTCTTTTCGTCTGGTTGAAGGTTGGGAGTGTTGACTGCTGTGGTTCAAGCCTTGCTCGATCTACAATGCCGACACTGCAGGAGGCATGTTAGACACAGCCATGTGGTCAGCAGCCTCAACCTGACAGAATCGACAGCATGCTTCTCCCCGTCAGCTGCAACCTTCTGGGTGAAGGCTTTGCCAGCAGCACGTGGTGAGTGGTGCAGGAGCCCTTGGCTCAGTTCATGAGACGCTCTTGCTTGGATTCGCACATCATCGAACGGAAAGGTTCTGCCCGGCTCGGCTTTCGTCGCACTGGCGCTCCTCCACGCGTCCAAGATCCTCAAGCGACAGACGGTGCAGCTACAGGCTGCATTTAGGGGCAGGCAGTGTCGACGCATGGGCCTGGATTCCTGCGCTTTGTGTGGGTGTCAAAAGCATCAGTCATGCGAAGCGCATGTTTGCGCGCATCCACACCCGCCCGCGTATTTGCCCCCGACTCGTCCATGAATGCCGGTCATGCCTGTGGTGGGTTGGAAGAAACATCACGGGCGTATGGATCACAGCGCTGCAGTTGTCAGGATGTGGAGTTCGTCCGGCCATTGGAGCTAGCATCACCACGAGAGTTGTCTGTTGTGGCAACGGAAGGCTGGGCTGAGCAGGGTGTTCCTGGGTCTTTGGTGTGAATTTCCTGGGTGATGTTAGATGTCGTAGAGGATCGAATCTTCCGCTTGACTCCGGCAGCGAGCAGTCTTCCCAACGCCATCCACCTTGCCAACACCCTTGTGTCAAAGGCCTAGTCAGGAATACCCGAAGCAATCCATGACGCAGGGCAGCTTCGTTTTATCAGCCGCGCCCTGGGCGGAGAGGATCAGCCGGAATCTCTGCCTGCCGTTGGGAAGGTTGAAGAGGTGGCAGTCTGAAGCAATTTGAAACGTGCTGGGCGGTTTTGGTCCAGAGCAGTTGAAGGATGAGCCCGTTCGACGGGTAGTAAAGCCGCAAGCGGTTTGGAGTTGCAGAGCGCAAGTTCTCCTTGGTTCGCTCATCCGGTTAGTCCACATCCAAGGAGACGTTGCACTGCCAGTGCCGCTTTCTTTCTGCGGCCCTGGAGGCTTTCCAGGATCGCCTGCCAGAGGCCGCGATTCCATCGATGGCTGCTGAGATGGCTTATCAGAAATAGCCTACTGTACCGTAATAGTGAAGAAATCAGGCACCGGCAGCACTGTCGTACAATTGCTGCTCCCTCGCTTCATGTTCCTTCCAAGAGGCGAGCAAGACCGAGCCTGTTGATGACATCTATGCCCCTCGGCTGGCTGGGTGGCATTTACAAGGGAGCCGTCATGCATAGGCTCCATCAAGTTGTGTGATGGTTTATGGAACTCCCACTCAAGCTATGCACTGCATCTATTGGAATTGGAGGCGGCATGACCAAGACTCTCCCCACAAACTGTTCAAGCACGCCTGGAGGGCAAATTTGCTGCCGCCGGCTTCTTCTACGGGCCGGATTTTCAAGGCTCATGTGTCAGGGATCGGTGTTTGAGGAGATCGTAGTCTCAGATCAGAACTTGAGCCCTGCCATCTTCAAGCCCACGAAAACAGGGACAGAGCCGACGGGAGCGAGAGCGTCCCAGCAGAACTTAGAGAGTGCCAGGCAGTGCTTAGTCGTAAGAGTCGATGCTTCTAAAGCTGCAGCCTGGATAGTATGCTTGATGCAGGCAGCTGCTTCACGGTCTCGGGCAAGGATGCATTCAACAAGCTCAATGGGGCTTCCCGCGGCTACTTAGCGGCCACCCTCTGCTTAAGCCTGTCCTCTCTGGCCTCCCCAGTTGCTGAGGCTTTGCACTGGACCCGGGTGATCTGGACGTGGCTCTGCAGCTCGCTTCGCTGCTGCATCCATTGGGCTTTCGAGGCTCGCATTTCAACTTTCGAAAGTTTGTGCCTGACGAAGTCGTAAGCCGCAATCCAGGACTCTTTTGGTTTTAGACGCTGCAGCATTTGTTCATCATTACAACTGAGGCCAGCCCATCATGAGGAGTTAGGAAAGCCGGCTTTGACTTCACTGTTTAGGCCAAGCACAGCCATGTCTCGAGCAACTCTCATCTGACGCCAGGCCCAGAGGTGTTTTGAGCTCAAAGCACTCCCACAACTCCCAAACTGGTGGAAAGCCATTCCTGGGCTGACAGTGCGTTGCTTGATTTGGGTCGAGCAGCGACCACTCGCATCCTGTTCCCCGTTCCCCAAACATTGATTTTCTCATGCATTCATGCCCTCTCGGGCCTACAGCTGGACGAATCTTTGGCATCTGTTCACAGTTGTCACTGACCGACCATGCCAGCATCTACTAGCAGTCTGCAGGTGCACCGCAGGCCATCGACCGTGTCGTGGCCAAGGCGGCGAAGAATCAGGGACCCAAAAAGGCACATAAGTATGTGTAAGCATTTTATAGGGTTCTCCCTGCCTTATTGGGCTTCATTATAAAGGGCTCTATATGGGATATCCCTATCCTAACTGTTGCCTTTTTGGGCCCTAAAGAAAGCTTCCTGCCCTCGCTACGCGCTGTTACGTCTTCGAGCATGTCCAGACGAGATGGGAAGACAGCACCGAAGCCGCCGAAGCCTAAGTTGCAAGCCTTTGCCCTCGGCGCTCGTCTTTGCACGAGGTGGGCTCCAAACTGACATCCTCCAGGGCTCACTTGGGAGGCCGGGCTCTGTGATGCAGCCTTGTGCTATGAACCCAGCTCGCACGGTCTCCGCTCAGCTCAGGATCCTCCGACATTGATGCCAGGAGCTCGGACAACTTCCGAAATCAGCTTTCTTCAATGCTACTGGAGCAGAAATTCCAGTTTTCAGTTGCCTGCAGAGCTTATCGTCGCCACATTCTTGGATAGATGCATCCTCCTCACCACCGGTTGGGAAGGTTTGCACGTAAAGTTTCGAAACTGGTGGGCGTTCTGCGGCTCCAACACTGCAATGTCAAAGTCAGGCTGGTCATAGTCATCCGGTGCCTCCTCGTGCTTCACCCTTCATTGATCAGTCACTCGTGGCGAGCTATGGGCCGTGGGTGAAGCAGCGGGCGATATGAGTGCACTGAGAGGTCTGTGCGGTGCGTGTGTTTGTTCCCAGACCGACCTACCTGACCCTGCTCGCACTCCGAGTCGCTTGAGACGCTGGCTCCAAATTTCGACGGTTAGCCAATGATGCCAAGGTGCAGCTCTTTGACGGCTCAGACCTCGCCTGTGATATTGCAGGGCTGAAGCTCTCGTGACTTGGACTGAACAGCTTTTCTTGGACTTCGACACTATGTAGTGCGACTTGCACGCACGGGGGATCGAGTCATTTGCTGAAAGCGCTCAATGCGACTATATACAGTCGCTACTGTCAGTGCATGAGAGACGTTTGAGTGCTGCACTTGCGCTGTTTGGTTTGTTGTGTCCAGGTCCATGCATGCCGGCGCTCACCTCACCAGCAGCCGACCCAAATGGAAGGTTCATAGTCATGGGGTCATTAGGGCAGAGACTGGTGGTCTTTGCACTTTAGTGTTGCAAACCTGCACGACCACGGAGTTTGCAGGACCTCGCCCGCGTACCTCGCGGTCGCTGGCTCCTGGCCACTTTGGCTGCAGTCAGCCCGGTGAAAATTACTCGGCTGCTCTCTGACATTGCAGGTTGGTGAAGAAGCCAAGCAGCTGAAGCTGCCGAACTGCACCGTGACTCGGGCTGACTGCGAATTCGGCCGCGTCGTTTCGCTCCTAACAGTTCTGAGATTCTTGAAGGGTGGGAGCTTGGTGCAGCACTTGGCTGTCGAGAAGCCAGGACAAGCTGGAGGACCCTTACGATGCTGTGGCTGTCGCAGTCAAAGCCAAGACGCTCGAAGATGTGCACCTTTGCTGCACTTCCCAAGACATGCGCATCTCACCTGCCTGGTCGCTCCCCATATGCTTCAGGCGAGAGTGCCGCAGCTTCGTTCAACGCATCGCAGCCAAAGAGCGGTGCTGGCTGCTATCGATCAGGGAGGAAGGCATCCAAGCTGCCTCTGATAGTTGCCTGCTGCTGTAGCGCTCCGAAGCAAGATGGACCCCATCTGTGACGAGACCAAAGCAGATAGGTAGGCCTGGCCTCAGAGCTCCAAAGCTGCTTTTTGAATCAGGCACCAGCTTTGCAGAAGCGGCAGCAGAGGCGGCCGTCGAGGTGTTTTGACGGCACAGGAAACCGGCTCACTGCAGAGTCTTATTCGGAACCTGCCACGTGCACCATGTCGACCTCGGGTCAGCAAACCGGGAGTTGCATGAATTTGATCTCTGTGAATCGAACACATCGGCCCGAATTCCGGATGGGGTTCGTGCTTCAGCTGTCTCGCATGTCTAAGTCTTAACAGTATGAGGGTCATGAGGATTTGCCACAAAAGCCATCAAAAACCGTTCACTTCCAGCGAGAAAAAGCATGCAATTGTGTAAGTCGAAAGAGCATCAAGACCCTGTAGATTTACAGAGTTTGCAACTGCACTTCTGAGCAGAGATGAACCTTGTCCTGCTGAAGCACAGGTTGGCGCCAGTGCAGTGGTCGGCTCGGTTGAGGACATCCGTGATGCCTCGACGGGGCTTGGCATGGACTCAGAGGCCGGGAGCCATAAAGGCTCTTAAGGCTCTTCCGTCCGTGTCTTCTCAGAGAGTAAAGGCCGTTGATCGCATGAGTGACCTCGGCACAGGTTGTCCTTCGAGCCGAGGACGAGGACGGTCAGCGGCCAAGTCTGGGATCCTGGGTTTCGGAAGAGGAGCATAAATGAAGCCCTGCGATCCGATCCGCGACAGGTGGAGGCGCTCAGCTTTCCATGCGCAGTAGCAGGGCAGCCTCTGTGCCCCCAGCGATCGTGGCTTCAAGGCCAAGGGCGGCACAGCATGCCCCTGCTAAAAAGGAGTGAGGAGTGTGTGCCTTGAAGGCAAGAGCCTTATGCCGTGGAGACTGATCCCAGCAAGGGTGGCAAGGGGGCTCAGTGCGTGTCTCAGAGAGTTGCAGATCGGAGTTTGTTTGTCCCATCCACGGCCTCCGATGGCAAGGTGCCGCCTCAGCAGTCACACGGCACCTGGGCCGGGGCAAGTCGAAATTCATGCAGACCTTTGGGCCTTGAATTTCCGCCACTCGGTTGCCGCGAGGTTGTGTTAGTACTGTAGGGCGAGTGTGGGTTTAGCAGGACAAGTTTTCCGCAAGTTGTGGAGTATGGTGACCCTTGAGGACTGGGAAGTACAGTCATCATTTCTCTCACGTGCATCAGCCGAGGGGATGTTTTGGTCGCCAAAGGCGCCATCTCTGCGGTTGTGGCAGGCAAACTCCGAAACGTTTGCTGAAATTGACCTCTCTTCAAGTCCGAACAGCTGGGTTTCCTGCTTGGCCGACCGCCTGCATAGCACCGTGTGAACTCGGAGTGCGATCCAGCCAGCTAATACTACAGTTATAGGCAGCCTTCGGCGGATTCACCTAGCTCGATGTCCGTTGCTCTGGGATCAAAGCACAGAGAGGATAATTTTCTGGTAGATCCAAAGACTGGATCCCAACAAGCAGGCCAATCTCTGGGCATCGGCGGCGAGTGTTACGGCAAGGTTGCAGCGGTCGGTGCCTGGGCCTAGACCAAACATAGTGATTCCAGAGGCAGAGCCATCTTTGTGTTCCTTGCTCGCTGCATCCAGCAAGCCAGGGTGTAAAGGTGAGTCACTGCTCTGTCAAGATTCTTGTTCACAGCAGGGACGTTGGAGTGATGACAATTAAGTAGACACGATATCCAGTATTCCCAAAATGATAGTGACCGCTGGTGCGCAGCAAAGAATCCAGCTGCCTAGACTTGGAAGTTGGCCAAACCCTGAGAGCATGCGCGACTAGTGACTATCCTCAGGCGAAGGCGTCAAAAACGTTGCTGTTGGAGATACCGTGATTGCCGTGCCGCCCGACGGAATGGGCCACTCGACCTACCCTGGCTTAGGTGCTACCACACCCGCAGCATGTGTGCATTGTGTGGCAGACTTCGAAAGGCTCTTTCTGCACGACTGATGCTCGCTGGGTTTCCACTGCACCGGCGGGCATGAGCCCCGAAGAGGCTGTTGCAGGCGGGCCATGCCACTCAAAACTCAATGGCGTGCAGTGCTTGACCAAAGATCGAGGACCTCGCTTGATCTTGGAAAATCCAAGCATAGACAATGGGCAGCCGCGGAACATGATTTGCATGTGAGCTGGTGCGTTAGTGATGTATCCCTTCCAGGTACCTGCGTATATGCGACAGCATGGTATGCCCTGCACTGGTTGGCCCGCATTCGAAAGGGAAAGCGTGTCGGGGGCTGAGGTGAGTGTAGAATCTCCAATTAAGAGCGATGTACAATCAAATCTCGTGGAGCCTTTGATTCCTGGCATGTACTGTGAAACTGTCGTATAACTCAGCTCCCATCTTAGGACTGCTTGAGCGCTTCCTAGGTGCTGATCCACAGTGCCGCAGGAGGTGTTGGGCTGTCTGCCCTCCACTTGTGCAAAAGAGCCGTCGGGCTGCAAGGACTTGCGAGTCAAGATCGTCAGGTAGGTCGCTTCACTTGCATGTGCACAACGAGACCCCTTTGCGTGTGCGAGCGTGAGCATTGCCGCATAGCTTATAACCTTTTGTTGCTTTGCATCTCTCAGGCTGGATGCGAGGTTTATTGCACTGCTTCCACTCCCGAGAAGCGCAGCTGGGATGCATGATTGAAGTGACCTTGCCAGAACGGACTTGATAGATCATGTTCAGGAGTGTAAGAGCAGCGTGCAGGCTTGAGCGATGATGCTGTCCGGTATAATATTGTTATTTTTTCAGTAGCTATGTGCCCTATCGGGGCACGATCACGAACCTTTGCAGCTCCATTGATCTTCATCGTGTGATGCTACAAGCGCAGTGGTATTGTGATTATCGGCCAAAAATCTGTGAGTATACCGTGCGCATGCTGTACAGCCTCGTTGGATCTAACCCCTGGTCTTCACCATGAAGCCGTCTGGCCGGAGGTGATACTACGATCAGACAATCACTCCACCAGCCTAGTCTTCACGAGATGCTATGCTGCTACACTGTTACACCCGCGCGCGGCACGGCAAGGCAAGGTGCTCTTGGAGCTGGGCGCTGTAGCGGTCTTCAACTCCAGGGATCCGATCGACTTCGAGCAGGGCATCCGCAAGGACCGGAAAGCCTTAATGCTGTGCCGCTGAGCCGCTTTGCATCTCATGCAAGGCTTGCAACCACTTTAAAGCTGCAAAGCACTGCTGCAGGCCACGGCCGGCCAAGGTGTCGACGTTGTCCTGAACTCGCTAAGCGGCGAGGCCAGCGCGCATCACGTGGACTCAATTTGGGTTCAGCCGTTCGGCCAGCGACTACTGAGACGTTGGGGTTCAACTGATTTTCGAGTTCACGAGGTGGAAAAGCATTGAGACCTACCCCAAATCCTGCCAGATGATGCCAGATGTTCAGCCTGCAAGTGGGTCCAACCCGATTATTGTAAGCTGGGTACATCCCCCCTCAGTTCGCGTAAGCGGAACGAACTTCGAAGATAATCGGCGATTACTTCCACCATCAAGCAGAGAGCACAGCAACGAAGAACTCAGCTGCATTCAGAAGAAGGACACGAAGAGCAGAATGGATGTAGAATGCATCAAGCTAGGAGCTGAAAAGATGTAGAGAGGGATCCCAGCATATCCTAGCCACAGAGTACCATGCGTATCCGGAGGCCATCCCAGCATCACTGAGACTGTGCCTTGGCTGGAGCTGGTGCTTGTGTCCAGCCGAGCAAGCGACTGTAGTGAAGTTCAAAGTCAAGAAGCACCGTCTGCGGTGTTGTTTCATGTGGTCTGGGTGAGATCGCAACCTGTGGGAAGCTCCTTGTGAGTGCCGAGCCGAGCAGTCTGCAGCTACTTGTAGCTTTTCCGGCTTTCGCCTCGCGGAAAAGACGATGAAAGCTCCCCATCAATCGGAGTCTGGAGGCTGCGAGCATGCGGCCACTTCCTAGAGATCGGCAAGCGTGACCAGTACGAGAACACTCCGATGCTGTTGCATCCCTTCCTGAAAGGACCGCGAACGGCGAACGCTTCGTGCTTTGCTGTTTTAGAGAATTGAAGTTTTCAGACTGCCCTTCTCCGTCTCCTGCAGATTTCTCAGCTGACGTGTCTGATTCAGCCTGGCTGTTTCGTTCATGCGATTTGGGGTGAGGGGTCGGCAAGGACTTCACTACCATGCTGCTCACCTGGATGTGCTGATGCTGGAGTGGCCGGATACAGCCAGGGAGCTCTTGGAGGAGGTGAGCTTTGCGCCAGCTTCTGAGCAAGCAGGGGTGTCATATACTTGCTCAAGCCGCCGCATGCCAGACGCCCCGATGCGCATAGGGCTCCGAGCGGCTGCTTCGTTCGGGTGTCAGGTTACTAGCAGATCTCTGAACAGTCTGGAAGGTGTGGGCAGCCATGCCGCAGCTGCCGACGCTTCCAACGAAGACCTTTGGAATGTCAGACTTGTCAGGCAACTCTTTGGACTGTGCAGCTTCATACCTTATAGTTCCTGTTTAACAGCTGAGTGGGACTAGAGCTTAAAGTTACAGCACCAGCATGTGGCCTGAGCCCAACATCCCCTGGTGTTCGAGACTGTTGACCAATCAATTCCCGTAGGTCTAGTTTCAGATTCAATACTTTGGAGGGTTCTGGGCTTAAGACCACTGTTGGCACGCCCAGATTGCAGCACATCCCAGACATCCCACCTACATCCCCGAAACTCAAATGCGACTGCAACCCTGAAGCCCTCGGCTTACGGTCTTAAATGCTTTCGGGCAAGCTTTCCATGTGGGGAATTGAAGGTTTGTGGAGGCCCGAAAGCCCACAGGTGCCCTGGAATACTTCTCCAAGGGCGTCCACATCGGCAAGGCTTCTTGGGATAAAAGCATACGGAATGAGCGATGATCGCAGTACGAGCAAAGAAGCATCCCCGCTCCTCTGGTGTTGCAGATGGAATCCCTGCGCACAGTAGTTCCTCTGAAACAAGCTGGCAAAAGTCGCCCAGATTCAGAGCGATTCAGATTTCAGATTTCTCAGCCTGGTTGACACGGTGAGACATAGCAAGAGGCTCACACATTGACATACTTGCAGGTCTGGCTTTGCCTTTATCCCCTCTTATCACTGGAATCCGAGTCTATAGGAGATGCTAATTGAGCACAAGAGCACATGAGGCCATGCATGTCCGAGTGCTGTCGAGGTTCTGGTGGAGGTGCAAAATTGTGAAGTTCTACCAGCGCGCCCACAGAAAGTGGCAGGGCCCAAGGACGCTGCTCGGACTGAGCCCTGAGCTCCAAGACTTCATGCAGCCACGGAAGCCGAGAGCTGTGCCTGCAGAACCGCGGCAATAGATACCCTTGCCGGAGCGCCCGAGGATCTGGTGTCCGGATATCTGCAAGCAGTGCTATCAGCCTCTGAAGGCCGTTTGCGAGCACAACTCCAGGGTTTCCACTGAGCTTCTCGGCCAGGCACCGGTGGTGTGCTATGTGCCCCGACGCTTGCCGACCTTGCAGAAGCGTCCTTGCGCTCGGCGCAGTTGGACTCCTGTCAGCATTGACACGTCGTTCAGACAGGATCAGGAACAAGTCCTAAGCGGCACATTGACATCGATACCTCCTAAACACCGCTTTTCTGCTGCAGCTGGATAGAAACGACTGTTTTGTTTTCACGAGTCAGTCCTCGGCCGCTTGGCCCTGGTGCAGTCAGCACATGTGCGGAGGCGCGCACAACGCAAAGACAGATTGTTGGCTGGAAGGCTGGTGGAATCAGCAGAATCATCCCAAGCCGACGAAAGTCGGAAATCTTGCGTGCGTCAGTTATGAAGAGTCAAGAGCAGCTCCAAATGCCCGCATATGCCCGCGAAGTCCGGAGCAGCGCTGCGGCGCCCCCAATTATCTCCAACGTCGAGCCATGTCATGTTGTTCTAGACCAGCCGCACAAAGTGCAGTTGTGCACGCCATCGCACGATCTGTTGCGAGCATGACGAGTGTGAGGTTCTTACAGCATCGCCGGCTGTGGCAGCGGCTGTGCAAGTACTCAACTCGCAGGCGTGGTTTGAGTTCTTGACCACTCACATGATTCATGTTGGTGATTATCAAGGCAGAGTTTAAAATCCACATTGACATGTCAGACTCACCGGAGGTCCTATCAATGATCCGAGCTGCATTTGTTCGCATTCCCACAATCTGCCTAAACATCGAAGTGCTCCGATCGCGTGCTTCGGAGGCTACCTGCGTAACTTTGCCCGCCTGGGAACCCGTCATGGACCTTGACGAGTGGCTCAGCCTCGGAGGTCCGAGATTTGGAGAGGGCTCTCTTTCCTTTGAGGCTATCTTGCCTGTTGCATGTGAGGCCAGATCTTCGCCTCAGAAGAAGAGGTGGAAGGCGATCTGCGTCCGGCGCCTGGGGTGGCGGTCTTTGTCACTCCTGGACAGTTGTCACGTCAGTGCCTTCACGGCTGAGAGTGAGTTGATTAGTAACTTCGAAAGGGCATGGCTTCAAGCTGGGCACACTCGATGACTCCGCAACAGAATCAAAAAACGCGAGAGCTGCCAAGGTCAGTGGCTTTTCCAAACTGTAGAGGAGATGTCCGGACCCATTCAGTTGGACATGAACTTCGATGATGCAGGCAAGTGTGGATGCAGCCTGAACAAAGGTGACGGGAAGAGCTTGTGCTGTTATTGCTGTTGCATGTGGCTGATAGTTACAATTTCAGCCTTCGATGAAGGCATGCATGCATGGCGGTTCCGGATTCTGGATTTTCAGTAACGCGTGGCCTCCCTCCGCAGGGCGATCCACCTTTGCAAGCAGCAGGATTTGTGTATATGGTTGTTCCATCATTCTCCATCCTGGCTTGTTGGGCCTGAGTGGGGTTTCATCAATCGTTGAATCGGTGAATAGACCCTCTCAAACGATTTTAGCCTGCTGCTCACCAGGCCTGGATTCGTTGAGCCTTATCTCCCTCGCGCGACGGCTGACCTCCAAGGTTAACAAGGCGCGACGAAAGCTGGTCCGATTTCAATCTAAGCTCTCAGGTTGGTGCGCAAGTCGTGACCCGTGAAGCATCCGGGAGAGGTCTGTGCATTTCGATGCTAAACCGACGCTTGTGACTAGTCTCGCATGCTCGCTTGGCATGCGGTGCTTGAACTGCCGTGGATGAAAGCTTGCAGCACGAGTCCCCGCACAGGCTTTCGGATAAGTTTCAAGAGTAGCCGCATCGCGCTCGGATCTCATGTGGTAGAACGGGTCGGCAAGGAGTCACTGTCCTTGGGATTCTTGTGCGTGTAGCCGAGTAGTTGGTGCATTTATCAAGATCGGGAGTTGTGTCGGCCCTCGCTGTGGCCTTTGCGCTGCTCCCCGCCTCGAGCATACCTACCAGGACTTTTGTCCGTGGTCATCTTCGTTCGTGACCTTGTCAGGCAGAGCCAAAATAGATAGAGCCAGGCCAAGCCAAGCCAATCGTTTAGAATCAATGTAGAACGTCGTAAATCATTCGGCTTGTGCTGGCCTGCACCCCTTGACTGCTGCTTCTCTGGCAAACTTAAACATCGGACTGCTGCTATCCCACCGGTAATCCTCCATTGAATTTACCAGCCCGGCGGTCAAAGCGCTGCAGAAGAGGGCTCCGATCCCAAGCCTGGAGAGTGCAATGAGAGGCCGTCTCCGTGGCCAACATATCCGATCACCCAACGCCACGAAACTTGGATTTGAGCTGAGACTGAGGCTTGAGTGGCACAACTGCCGAAAGGCATCTGCAGAGGAAGCGCTTTTGTGCAGACGCACTCGTTCAAGACCCTGATGACGAAGTCTCTCAGCGTCTCAGCCTTTTCAAGCTGCCTAAGTCTTCGTTTGACATCTAAGGCCGTTTGCTGGAGTTCCTCACCGGGCACCCCCAGCAACGGACTTGCACTTTCGTTGGATGACGTTCTGAACATGAACTGGACTCACCTCAGACCATCCGCACCTTCTCCTGCCCGCCGAAGGCCAGAACTTGCACGGCCAAAGGTGCTGTGTTTGCGGCTTGGATAGCCAAAGGAGACTTTAGTAACCGCGTCTGATTCAATGCTTGGGTATCGGCATGATGACTAAAGTTGCAGTCTGCAGCATGCGAGAATAAATTTAGTGCGGGGATGTGCGGGGGGCACTTGGTCCTGCGGGGATCAAAACCGCAGCGCTTGCTCTTTGCATTTCTTACACTGCTCATCTCAGGTTCGAGGCTCTGCTGACTCTACAGCCCCCAAGGCCCCAAGGTGTTTCCCGGTCGCGCCATGTTGCGCCGAGGCATGGCTTCAGATCCAACGGCGATGCAATGGCGGCATCGATGGGTTCGCTGACGAGTGCCTCGGGAAATGGATAAAGATGTGTGTCTTCGACTTTTCTGCTAGGCGCCGCAAGCCTAAGGCCGTGTTGGCTTCGTGGAGTGGCTCTTCATTAGCTCTCCGCGGGTGGCGTCAGGGCCTTCGGCGCCGGATATCCCACAGGCCGTTTCGACTCTGGCGGGGCTGCTCTGTCACCTTGCAAGTTCTCACGGGTCCGAAGCAAAGCCGCTGTGCAGCGCCCAGCAACTGTCGTTCGCGTTCCGTAGTTCAACTCGCCAGGACGAGGCACGAGAGCGCCCAGTCAGCATTTGCAAGCAAGAGCGGCCTTGGCAAACGTACAGGGTTGGAAGGACTTGTTTCTAATAATCAGTTCGTACCTGTTCGCACTACTGAAGCCTCGAGTCGCTTGAAGTAGTTTGGGTTTCCCGTGGCAGCTGTTGCATGTGTCAAACTGGCGAATGGTCCCTGTATTCCAAGGTGGTGGGGGCAGCCAGGAGGTTCCTTCGAGACAGGCCGGAAGCAGAAGTCAAAAGTCTTGAAGGTTCAGCTTTGTAGGTTCTTTCAAAGACATGCGACCAGGTTGGATCATCAGACGTGGTACTCTTGTTTCAGTTGGTTGAGATAAAGGTATCAGTTGTTCCTGGCTTGTCATTCCTCAACTGCAGCATCCTTGCGTTTAATGCTTGACAAGTTCCAGCCTGCCCAGTGACACCAGCAACGTCAGGTTGGATGGCTCCCCACTTTAACGGTTTCGAAGCATGCTTCGCTGCGCCTTGGCGGGAACAGGAGCCCAGATTGAGTTTCGGGTTGGTTCACGGTTTGACGTGACCACAGTGACCACTGAACAAGGTGCTTAGAAATGCGATCAATTGCGCTGGGCTTCGGAGTTCTTGCATTTGGATGCATCTCTTCGGGGCATTCTAGGCATTGTTCTTCACCGGGCGTTTGTGTTGTTCGATATGTGCACCGGTCATTCTTGATGTGCTTGCTTCCGGCAAGTCTCCAACTCATAGAGAACTGCGAGCAGGTTCTGAAACTCTTGCGAGCGAATGAGGACTCCAAAGTGAGCAATCTTCTGCAGCCGAGTCGTGATCCAGCAGCAGATCGGCCCAACAGCTGGTTTGTACAGCGCGCCACTCAGGTTCTGCAAGGCATCAAGCTTGCGGGGGCCGTTGGCTTTAGCCAGGGCGGCGGCGTCGCAGCACTGCTGGACCAAGTGAACATGCAAGCTGCGTGCGCTTAGACGGGGTTGAGCTCTGCAGAAATGTCGAGTCCGTTGGCCTGCGCATTGACTGTATTCTATTACATTGGACGAAATCTCGGTTCGGGTTTTGTCAAGGCCGAAGCCTGTCTCCACGATCAGGGAAGACCCAACAACCAACATGTCCCAAAAGCTTGAGACAGAGACGGCTGTGACGGAGGACTGCCCCTGGCTGATCCTGTGCTCACCCGTCATCAGCCCGGGTTTGCGAACGAGCAATGCCAAATGTCTGCTGACGTACGACCCTACAGAGGAGACTCCTGGAAGCAATCAGCACTGGGTGGGGAGTACCCTGAAAACCGAAGACGGCGTCGGCTGCGACATGAACCGTCTTGCACTGGTACAGTAGCCCGACAGCCTGCCAATCTCAACAAGACTTAAACATACTTAACCAAAATCCTGGTAGGCTGCTGGTACACGTGGGTAGTACAGGGTAGTACCACTGGGAAGTGAACAGCAAAGGGTGCCGTACTCTGGAGCCTTGTGGCAAGCCAATCGGGCCTTTGCAAAGGTTAGCTTCCTGTGTTTTCGAGCTGTCCCTGTGAATTGATCGTTTTTGCCGAGCTGCTGGTTCGCTACCAACGATGCAGAGATAGCTCTCCACAACACTGCCTCGCCTGGGAGAGGGTTACCACTACCCCGCCTCCCACAAAGGGGAGGGGAGACATAATTACCACCACCCCCCCACTGCAGGGGGGGCAGGGACATACCACCTCTCCCTCAGAGAGGATAACACTGCACTATGATTATTTATTGCTATTATTGTTGTTATTAAAATTGTTATGTTCATGCCTTTCTGTATTGCTCATATTCGTCCCATAGTCCCATGGTATGAGTATAAGTACAGTAAGTAAGTAAGTAAGTAAGTAAGTAAGTAAGTAAGTAACACAAACAGATGTTCATTGTCATTATCGTGCGGGGGGGTGGTGGAGGTGGGGCACTTTACGGGAAGAGGGGGGGAAGGGGTGGGTGGTGGTCACAGCCCCATGCTTCAAGCTACCGCTCCCACAAAATTGGGAACTCGAGGCAGTGGCCTCCCCCTTTAGGTTGAAGTTGCAACTAAGGTATGTGGAACAGTGTGCCTCGGCCAGCATGTGCAGTTCGACAGATGCTACAACCGATGGCCATTGAAAACCTGTGTGGAGTCCGTGTGCTCAGGTTTGGAGGTCGGTGAGAAGTTTTCGAACAAGCAGGTGCACACACACTGCCAAGGCCAGACTGGATGTATTGTGCATTGTTGCACCATGTTCTCACTGCACATCGACGCTAAGCCGCTAGCTGTGTCACAACAAAGTTTGGCTGCACAGTGAGAGATTGCTCAACACGGCAGAGCTTTCAGCTGCAGCCCTGGAAAGGCCACGTCATTCCCAGTGATCCAGGCTTTGTAAATCTCTTCGTTGAGCTTTCATCATCTGCGCGATGAGTCGGCTAGCGGACAAGCTTTTAATATTTATTTTTGCAGATTTGCGCGAAGACTCGCAGCGACCATACCATGCAGCTGTGAGGGAAGCAGGTGTTTCGGAGTTGGAGGGAATCGGCCTCGCGCTGAAGCAGCGATTGACTTCTGCATCCAGTATCGAACGGAATGGCACTTCGTTGTCCTACACTGACATCACCAAGTTGTACAGCCTCTGAAGCAGCGTGATCGTCTATACACGCAGGTTTCATGACCGGGGAAGTCAGGGGGTGGATTCCTGACAACTTGTGATGTCCTTTAGCCAGGATGGTTGCCGATGCAAGCCTTCAGAGGCTAATTGCGGAAGGCTTGCAGGTTAACGAAAAGGAGGCCCCAGACGACTGTCTGACTTGTGGATGGTAGGAGACGTGGTCCAAAGTCGAAAGAGGTACTGGTAGGCGGAAGTAGAGTCAAGAACATCCAAGAGCGAAGCCCTCTCCTTGTCCAAAATCCGCTGTTTCACAACGAGTCGAGTCTAGCAGAACCAATACACGGAGTGTTGAACTCCAGATCCATCCAGCTTGGGAAGCCAGCTGGAGACGAAGGGTCGACCAGTGACTGAACTGAGAGCCCCTCTTTGCATGTACGGCTGCAGGTCGCAGGCTGTAGGCCCCGATGACTCCTGGGCAAGCTGATCAGGCGTTCTTAGTCTTCTGCCCCAAGTAGCGAGTACGCAAATCAAAGCACTACTCCAACTAAGCCGTATGCCTCTCGGAGACTTTACAGCCCCAAGCAAAACAATGATCCGAATGACACGTCACATCCGGCAAGCGAAGCAATGAAAAGTGCCGCGTCCTGAGACTTCCAGCCGATGGGAGCTGCCGAGGCTGAGGCATTTATGTCCTTGTAAGACCGAAACCCGCAGTGATATGCAGTGCATGCAGTGCTAAGCTGTGTCAGAAGCTGGGCGAGGGAGCAGTCCTTGGCTCAATGAGCTTTTCTCGGCTCCTTCCGTTCCCGCCGAGGGCTTTCCATTTTAAACCGTAATGCAGCAATTGTGGTGGCCGTTGTGCCTCTTTTTGGCAATTATCCAAACCGGCAGCAGCGCTAAGACCTCCTCTTGGCGCAAGGCGCCGCCGGCCGATGCAGCGTCCTTGCTGCGACAGAATAGTACGCAGCGTCTATTCACGATCAGGCATCACCAGACCTGCGTGGGCACGTCCTACACCCAGGGCCCGGAAGCCAACTGCCACGGCTGGAGTGGCTTGACAGAGGAAGAGTGCGAAATGAAGTGTGCTCAGAACGAGCAGGCGCCGAACTGTCCTCAGGAGTCCTGCCACGCTGCGGTCTTCACCCCTGTTAACGGCGGGTGCAATTTGTACAAAACATGCGCGCAGGTGGAGCCTTCCATCGGCTCAGTCACACTGGTCGACCAGGAGATGCTACGAGAAGAGCAGGAGATGGAAGAGCAGATGGCAGCGGAGCACGAGGAGCCCGGCAGGTTGCATGAAGTCATGACAGCCATGCCGATCGTTTTACTCAACTTGACGAACTTCTCCGGCATCTTGCACAATGTAGACGTGCCGAGCAGGGATATCTCTTACAGAGCCGGAAACATCACCGCTGATTTGGAGATGTTGTATGACAAGGTGCAGGGCTTTCTCCTCGCATTGCACGAGCATATGAACCGGGAAGATGCAGCGAAGTACTGCCCCTTCGAGACCGAGCGCGTGATTCCAGCATGCATTGTCATCGCGACTTGCCTTATTCAAAAGGTTGTGCCCACCGAAATCTCGATGGACGCCTTTGCGTCCCTCATGGAGCAGGTGCGGCGCTTCGAGGATATCACATGGCCTCTGCTCAAGACAGCCTTGATTGGCGAGCACGAGCCGGATGTGCAGACGGATTCGTATGTGCCCGAAGCATACAAGTGTGATGGTGTTCAAGAAGCGGATCCGCACTCGCTTGTCAGTCCAGCCTTTGTACAGATCGAGGCGAAGGCGGCAGAGGGCTCAGAGCATTCAGAGACCCTGGCGATGTCATCGGCCATGCGACACGCCTCTGCGCACACACACCGCATTCTGGATGCGCATCTTATGAATTCCTCCATGCAGACGACAGCCATGCAGTTGGAGAAGCTGTGGCATCCGATCTGCAAGAAGCTTCCTTGTGATCCGACCAACATGTACGACGTCTTCCTTGCGTGGCACAAGCAGAGCATGGCCCTGTGCCAGACATCCGCCGTCGGCCATCTTCGCCTGGAGATTCATCAGCGCGTTAGGCTAGACATGCGACTGCAGCGCTTTGTTTCTGAGCACTACTTCGAACATGTCTCCTTCTTCAACGAAAAAGGGGTGCTGCACAGCTCGCGGGAGGCTGTGGTGAACTATGGCAAGAGAGGACGCGAGGCTGTCATTGGCCTGGTGATCCCCTACATGCAGAAGCTTGCAGACACCGATGGGGAGAGAGCTGTGCGTTTGGTGGATCACGTAGAGCTCATCAAGTTTGCGCGGGACATGGAGAAGCAGAAGGAGGGAAAGCTGCAGATCAGGCGTGCGTCGCAGCATGCAATCGGGCAGAGCGGGGACGCCGAGGACTTTGAGGAAGATGTGGACGAAGAAGTGAAGGATGAAGATGAAGAAGAGGTGAAGGGGCGCCCTGGTCCTCCCACAGAGGACGTGTCCCTTCTGTCGGAGAGCGTGAACCTCACCGATGGCTTTGCCACTTCCCACTGGTGCACGAGGAACACGATTGTGTTCTGGAACCACAAGCACCAGCACTACTTTCGTATGTCCAACTGGCGAATCGAGCGGGGACACAAGGGATGGCAAAACAGCATCCCCTACGGCTGGACATGGGAGCGCTTCACCTGCGTTGATCTCGGGGGTGGTAACTTCGCGTTTCACAACACCTTCCACAACCGCTTCATGCGCATGAACGGGGATGGCTGGATGGATAGAAGCGACCCTTGCGACAAGAACAAGTTGCCTGACCACTGGGGTTGGGAGCGGTTCAAAATGAAGGACATGGGCAACGGACATTGGGCCTTGTTCAGCACGGCGCACAACAAGTTTGTGAAGATGGACAAGGGAGACGGTCTCGTTGCCAGCAGCTGGAGGCAAGGTGCCTGGGACATTCCAGCCAGTTGGAATTACGAGAAGTTCCATATTCAGAAGGCGTCCAGAGAGATTGCTTCACCGAAGGCCTTCTGGTTTGTGGACAGAACGGTGGCCATATGGAATCACAAGCACCAGCGCTACGTTCGACTGAGGAAAGGCAAGGTCGAGAAGGGTGGCGAAGGTTGGAGAGATCCATTTCCGAACTGGGGCTACGAGCGCTTCACGCCACCTGACAACTGAGAAGGTTCTGTTGGCGGTCTGTTGGTTTGTGTTTTGTTCTTGCGCATGCGCATGTGCTTGTTGAAGGGAAGCGGTAACATGTGTCGTCTATGGTATAGAGTCAGAGCCCAGGCCAGTGATGGCCGGCCATGGAGAAGTGGCCTTTTACAACGCCGAGAACCGCCGCTTCATCCGCATGAACAGCGACGGCTATTTGGACGACAGTGGCTGGGGCTGATTGGAAGTAGCGTTACCTTTCTACGTTCTGTGTTCCATCCGCCCTGTACTGTATCATCCCATGCTTCTCCAGTGAAAGCCTTCGCATCAACTTTAGGTGACAAGATGGACCAGTGGCAACTGCACGACGGGATGACCTGGGAGCGGTTCAAGGTCGTGGATATGGGCGAGGGCCACATTGCCTTGTACAGCTCGGCTCACAAGAAGTTCTGGAAGATGAATGGCTGGGAGGATAACCTTGTGACCGGCCCTGAAATGGACTATTGGAAAGTGGACACGAATTGGGGCAACGAAAAATTCTTCCTTGTGGAAGTGGGCGAGAAGAAGAACTGCAACTTTTGGTGCAGGCTCCGGCGTGGCATCGAGAAGGTAGTGAAAGCCGTTGCAGACTTTGTGGTAAAGCTCCTCTCATGCTTCGGACAGTGGGTGTTCACGGAATCCGTTGGCTACAGCAGATCCATCAGCACGCATGCTGCCGTGAACTTTGGCGTGTCCGCTGGCGTCTCCACCCCCAGCATCAAGTCGATAATCCAGCAAGCGACGTCTCCGGGCACGTCAGTTTCCTTGTGGGCATCTTTGGGAGCAGGAGCAACGGCCGAGTGGCTTTGGTCAGGTCTCGGCGTGGCCCTCTACATGAGCTGCGGCGGAGCGATGGACGACAGCTCAGGGGGGTGCTACTTCGGTGTCTCGGTCGGAGCCATCTTCTCGGCTTGGGCAAAGGCCTGGGGCGAGCCCAGGTGCCCATTCGGGCCAACGCTCTTCGGTGCCTTCCAGTGTTCGAGATCAGTCGGCGGCACCTTCCTCCTCATCTGCTGCAGCTACAGCATCTTGACTGGTGAGAACAGCTGCCGCTGAGGAAGCCTGAGATCCAGACTGCCACGGCGGCTCCTTGCGAACATGCGCAGGGCATAGTGCCTCGCATCTCGACATTGCTTGTCGCCAGAAAGGGACATGCTTGCCGCTTGTGCAGCTGAGCAGAGTCCCGTTCTTCGGGGGGCAGCTCAGGCCTGGGTTTCCGGGTATCGGTGGTGGCGGTGGTGGTGTGAACTGGCAGGCATCCAGCGCACTCTGCTGATATCCGGCCATGAGCGCTGCCGTCCGGTCACCCGGCTTGATACTTGCCGAAGTCAAAACACGCACCACTCTCAATCTACTTCTTTCTCAGGAATCCGGAGCCAGCTGCCGCTGCCGCTGAGCAGTTGGCCGATGTGCAGCTCAAGTGAAAACGACGGCGGGTGGTTGAGATCTTTGTATGATTACCGAATTGCTTGACATCCTGCTAGAACCATGTGAGACGCGTTGACATTGTCTTCGAGTCTTTCACTGCAAGTAGATAGATAAGCTTGAGTGCTACAACGACGAACGATATCTGCTGGCTTCAGCTGGGTTCGACAGCCCTCCCCTCGTTGCATTCCAACGTCCGAAAGCTTGACTGAAAGCACACAGTTGGGGTTCGATCGGCCACCAGACCCAAAGACAGTGCGGCACAGCATCGAATTCACGGGGCGACGTTCCGTGGACTACACAAGGGCGGTGGGGCCGGCTGGGAGGACCGAGACTTCTTGCACTGACGCGTCCAGCTCTCATGCAAATTCACAGGCATAAGTGCGACGGATTGCATCAGCACCGGGTCAGCGCCTGCTGTTTTCGGATTTCGAGGCGATTGGAACTCTAATCTTTTCTGCCGGAAGCTATGTCGGCTCGTTCGAGCATCCGTCGAAAAAGGCGGCTTGTAATCTAAATCATGCGGCGGGAGTTCTCCACCGCCTGAGTTTGTCTCAACCAATGAAGCTATGTATTCTGGAGCTGCTCAGCCTCAGCTTGTCGCTTATCTGCATCTATCTCGTTTTGATTATTGAGTAGGACTCTCGCAGTGACGACGGACCAGACTTAGCCATGCCAGTCCAGAGCTTCAGAGGGCAAGTGTTTCTTTCTGCCCTGGCTTTCAGAGTTGCAGCTCTCTTGCTGCATCAGCAGAGAGCCCAAGAAAGCTTGAGCATGAACCCACCTGGACGCACTGCGAAACATGCATTGACCATCACAACTGTTGGAGATGGCGCCAGCAGGAATTGACAAGGATATTCATATCCCTTCTTAGCAAAGCCCTTTACTCTTTTCAGCTTCATCCTGCTGAAGCGGCCAAGGTTCCTTTCAAAGCGTGCTGTGGCTGCCAAGGTGGTTCGCCCAGACCCTACAGTGCCCTACAGTACAGAGCTCGAAGCTGCTCGCCCAAAACCTAGGCCCAGGTGCAAGCAAGCCTTGGACTAGGCACCCCCCTCCCCCACAGATTCTGAACCTTGAGAATCGGAGCCACTGTTCGGCTCGCTGCCTTGCGATTTGGAGGTGCATGCAAGCCCTCCCGGCGACGTCAACACTTCAAGCTCGAACATCAACAACCCCAGACGGCTCTTTGCGACGGTGTCAGCACCTCTACTCAAAGCCGGCAGTCTGGAGGTGTTCACAGCTCGAAGTATACCTAACATGCAACCTCTTGATTCTGGACTCTACTCTAACAGTGACTGCTTGGAAATCAAAGTCATTCCTTTAAACCAGTATCTCGACGATTGTCCATGGCGAAGCCAAGGACGCTGCCTGTATAGGCAGGCCCTTCACGGAATATCCGGACAAGGGCTGCAATGGATGGAAAGATGTCACGCAGGCGGAGTGTCAGCAGCAACTTGGCTCTTCGTCATCTTCCTCTGATGGCCTGCAGACGGTCAGCTTACTGTATGTGCGGGTTGTTTCTGGTCTGCAGGTTGTGTGTGCGTCCAGGAAGTGCGCTGACCATTCCGCCCCAGACACATGCGTCCCGGAGCACTGCCACGCTGCGGCATCCCGGCTGATCACCCCAAAGCCTTTAAAGACGACGAGCCGCAATCATGGTGCACGTGCGTACGTGCACATGTCGTCTCCCAGCGCCACCTTCGAGGCTGCAGCGATGAGTTTTTGCGCTTTTTCCTGAGGTCTACTACCCTGCAAGCGGCCTCTGCCATCTCTACGAGGCCGTTGAGTGCGTGGACCTGATCCACACGCAGGCTGCCGGGCACCCACGTCGCCTCTCAATGTAGTCTCAATGTCCAATTACAACAATCGCATTACAAGCCACTTAGCATCTAGAGCCGGGTTGCGCTGAACTTCCTTCCTCCCTTCAGGGTGGGATCACCATGCTGGACGAGTCCGAGAGCCTTGGCTTGCATCGCGCCTTACGCCAGCGACATGGGATTCCGCTCGTTCCGTTTCCTAAGGATCCAGAAGTATCGGAAGGACGAAGAGGAGGAGTCCGCAGTTGAAGAGGCCGGGCCAGAAACGTGAGAGCCATGAAGGTAAAGACTGCCCAGGCCAGAGCCAATTCTTCGCATTCGTTCAGAGAGCTCAGCTTGCCTTCTTCCTCTCTCCTGGCCGTCAAGTTCAGATTCAGCAGTTGACCGACAAGAGGGTGGAGGTAATCGAGAAGTCAGAACAAAAAATGTTCACCACTGCTCACCCTCAAGGACGGCAAAGAGGTGTTTGCAAAAGGATGCGTTTCTCAATCCAGTCTTGCAGGCGGAAGATGCAGCAGAGCGAGCCCATCCCAACCCGTGGAAGGAGATGGGCACTGCACTGCCTGCCGTGCCTGCATCTGAAATCTGTGTACAGTACATGTGGTTGCGAGTCGAATCAGAGTTGAGTCGCACCAGGGTTGGAAGTTTTTGGGTTTTTTGGCAAGCCCCAAGCTCCGTCGCATCTTGAGGTTCTTGTGAACCTCTCGAACTACTCGGGTCTTGTCAGTGACAAGAACCGGCTGGCGAACGTCAGTCACGAGTTCGGTGAGGCCAGTGGGGTATAATCGCTGGTGGTCTGTTTAATGGAGGGTGTCCGTGCTTGCGTTTTCTGGCCTTAAGAATCGTAACATTAATCTCGAGACCTATTCGGTCCTTCGAACTTTGAAGCCCAGATCGGCACTTTACTTTCGTTCCGACGCTTCGGGACGGTTCCGGACGGTTTGGGAGTGTTTCTGAGGGTTCTAACAGTTCCTGAGACCTGCCTGATGGTTCCAGAGCCCCTGTTGGCGCTCACACACAAACAACCTGCCGGGCATTTCAAGGTACACCTGGAGTCTGTGAGCAAGATCCGGAACAAACTCCTGGACATTCCATCAAAATCCGTCCTTCCTTCAGCTTCCAAAAGCCTATTATACAGAAGCTTGTGCGGCCCGACACTTCAGCATCGAAGCTGTCACTAAGCATTGGTGCAATCGAAACTTGGCCGATCCCCCAGCTGTTGCGGCTTGACCCGAAAAAGTCACACGCGAGCCTGGCATCGCCATATGGTGAGCCGAAATCCTTCCTGTCATGAGGTCCTTGGCCGCGGACGCCCCCCTTTGAAGCCAATGAGCCCACAAGCCATGCCGACCGATGCCCTTCCCTGCGCACATTGAAAAAAACGCTATTGGGAGGCCCTGACCCAGCTCGAAACGTTCGTCAATCCCAAACTTCGTCCGGAGTAGGAGTCGCATGCTTTCAAGCTCAAGTTTGAGAATTGCTTCGCCGCAGATCGACTCAGATCTGGAGATGTTGTATGACAAGGTGACGCTTGGAAGCAGCAGAGTGCAACAATGCTGTTTCAGCATCTTCCGACATCAGTGCTCTGTCAGCCTCCCCCCCCCCCCCTCCCCGGCCTTCAACCAGCGCCCACCGCCTCATGTCAGCGCCCTGAGGAAGGGGTTCTACTCGGTGCTGCACGAGCGGATGAACGCCTCGGACGGCTTGGAGTTTTGCCCCTTCCGGTCGGAGAGCTTTTTTTGCATCTGAGCCCTAACATCCAACATCCCATTCCATACCGGCCCATATAGAGCCTAGCCTGGATCAAGGCCCCAGTAGCAGCACTTCTCCAAGCCGAGGCGCTCGATCAAACGGTGCGTCTCCATCGCGATGTGCCTTCTGCAGTCTGCCGTTGGTACAGAAGCTCACACGTTACCTCAGATTCAGAGATATGCAGGGTAGAGTTGTCTGGATCCCCAGACTAAGAAGCTTTTCCGTGTGCTCGGGTCTGTACACGAACCGGGCCGGACCTTGTCCGAGCCATGGAATCGCCGAGGACATCCCCATGACAGCATTTACAGCCTTGATGGAGCAAGTTACCCGCTTCGACGACATCACTTGGCCGCAGCTCATGGCTCACTTGGGCCGAGAAGACCCGACTCACAACAAGGCACGGGCAATCACGGGCACGTAACCGACGTGCCCAGGGGCAACGTGCCAGGTCGGTGAGGCCGACATGCCGCCAGAGTACCAGTGCGATGATGTGGCAGCTTGGCTGCTCTTTCGCTGAGCCTGCAGCATGTCGTTTTGTCAGATCTGTTAGCGAGCTTGAAACCAGCGAAGGAGGCAGTGAATCCGGCAGCAAGCGTTCGGAAGGCGTCAATGCTGCAGATGGAGTCACACCATGCACAAGGGTCTTCGACCGAAACGATCTTGGCGATGTCTGCTGCTTTTCGGCAAGCTGCAGCTGACACACATCGGATCCTGGATGCTCATGGAGCAAATACCTCCATGGAGCTCACGGCACATTACCTGCAACGCACCTGGCACCCGGTGTGCCAAAAGTTGGGCTGCGATGCATCGAACATGCACGACGTGTTTGTGGCATCGCACAAGCAGACCATGGCGCTCTTCCAGACAAACGCGGTGGCACACGTGCGACATGAGATCCGGCAGCGTGTCAAGATGGATCTGCGAGTGCAGCGCTTCATTGCCGAGCATGGGCATCGAGGCGCCGCGAGGGCTGAGTTGAAATGCTTCCGGCAGGATGGGGAACTTGTGGCATCACTGCTTCGCGACTTCGCCAGGCGAGCTCTCCTTCTACCGACCGGCGCTCACGTCCTCGGAGGCTGCCGCGCGCGTCTACGGAGAGAAGGGCCGAGACGGTGTGCTCGGTGTGACTCGGTTCCGAAGGGTTTCGAGGCCGAGGGTCTTTGTGAGGAGTGCACTCGGTGTCGTTCGGGGTGTGAAACCCGTGGGAAGCGCTTCGCAAACAAAGGTGGTTCTGCCGACAGTGAAAGGCCTTGCCATACATGACGAGAGCCGAGTCTTACGGCTTTTCGACATGGCGGCTCTCAGCATTATAGTGTGGTGGTGTTCTTTACACGGGCTGTGTACTTTGCTTGGGTTCGGCTGAACGCTGCTTCCTGCATGCCCGCCAAATCTACACGCAGGCACTGTGCAGGACATCTCATCTGATCATTTGACAGACGGCCTTTCAGGTAGAGTTCGAGAAGTTCCGTCGGCAGCTGGAGCTTGAGGAGGTTCCAAAGATTTCCAAAGTGTCAGTAGTTCGTCCACGCATGTGGGAGAGGCGATAGGATCCGATGCCAGAGATGAAACATCTCTTGATACAACACGGTGGAAAGCTGGTGAGACCTTGAGGATGCGGAGCAGCAGGAGGAAGAGGAGGACCTTCACAGTGAAAGCGTGGACAGTGTGGCGGCGGCTCTTGGCTCGTTGGAAGACGACGAAGAGGCCCGCAGCCGCGAACTTCCGCGCGATTCTCCGCTAGTAACCGCTAGTATTGACTGCAGCATGCCAAGAAGGTCTCAGCGAATCCCACGCCCCCCGTCCCCATTCCTTGATTCGCCATCTCCCAGGAGCAAGAGCACCACGAAGAGCATGAGGACGGCGCGGACAGCGAGGAAGAGGCGGGTCTGAAGCCGCCAATGCCGAAGCGTGCGCTCCTTTTCAACTGATGCCCAAGCCAGGAGCGCGAACTCCATGAAGATGAAGATGATGAAGATGAAGAGCCCGCGGCTTCCGAAGAGGACGAGGAAGAGCCAGGCCCATGGCCTACCAAGCAGTATGTAGCTCGGTTTCTTCCGCAACTGGCTTGAGCAATAAACCTTACAACGGGGAGGCATCATTCCGTGCAAGCTCAGCAGCTCTCAAAGTCTGGTGCCTTTTCCGGAAGGTGAGAAGATGCTTGCCACGCAGCACACCAAGGCGCACCGGGGCTTTTCCCCGAGTGTTGTGAACTGAGCAGCCCCGACAATAGAGGACGTCAGACCTTCGGAGATGGCACTAGTGGAGACCTCCGGCGAGCTTGAGCTTGCAGAGGCGGAACCGTGCCATCCAAATTGAATCAAATTGCCGTGAGATTCCTTCATTTGGGTTCTTTCTGTTCTTGGCCGGTGCTGTCTTGCAGTCAGCCAGGATGAAGAGGTCCAGAAGAGCGGCAGACGCAGAAGGCGGCGGCGACGACGGCGAAGACGCAGACGCAGACGCAGACGCCGCAGAAGGCGAATCTAACGTGCACATGCGAGTTCGAGTTGATCAGGAAATTTCTGTCGTGCTTTGCTTCGCGGCTGCTTCGCCTTCTTTTGCCGGATGTAAGTTGGTCCGTCCGCCAGTTCGCCTGCCTATTTGTACACGTTGTCATGGTCTGGAGTATATAGGCATTAACAGTAGTGCATCCTGGGACACGTCGGCACTTGGAAGGGTGTTGAATGGGCTCGTTATTTTCGGGTTTTTGCCGTAACCGCCTACAGCACCGCCCTAAGCCCGCCATCCTCGGCTCCGGCGCTGGTTCCGGAGATTTGCCTTGAGCAACATAATCAAGAAACGTCCACACATGACAATTGCGAGCTCCAGCAAGTACCCGCAGGCGTTGGCTCCGACGACGCAGACGTCGCTGGTTGAGAAAGATCTTCAAAGCAGTGGCTCGCATCCAGTGATTTCTGCAACGGTTCAGAACCTTACGAACATCTTGCTGGGATGCCATGACTCATGAAATATTGCTGTCCTTCAACAAGGTGGTGCAGGCCATCGTCAAATGGGCCAAGAAGTTCTTTGAGTGCTTCGGCCAGTACTCCAAGTGGGATGCAGTGGCTTGGATGCAAAGGCCGCGGCACTATCCACCTGCTCAGCCCCAAGAAGGTCTGGCAAAGTTCGGGGCAACTTTGATTTGGGGGTTTCGAATTCAAGGACAGGGTACCATTGCTGGTTGAGAGGCTGGTGGCCAATCCTTTCAGGTGATGTTGATGCCTTTTTTTGAAAGCAGAATCTAATCCTACATGAGCCGAGACATCATCGATGTGTAATCACGAACCATGACTTGCAGGCCGTTAAGATCTTGAAAAATATTAGCAGACTGCTTCTGCCGTGGGAGGCGAATAGCGGTCGGGGATCGTGGGGGATGCACCTCTCCAATCGCAGATAGAAACGAAACGGCTCGCTTCACCAAAAGCCCGTTAAACCGAGATCGAATGCCTTAGCTGAGGTTGGATACACCAAGTCCTTCGGAGGCAACTTTGGACTCAGCTTCGGCTTTTCCGGTGGACATAGCGGCAGCATCCAGGCCCGCTTTGGCTTCCACGGCTTGAACTTGGAGTTGCGGGTTCGAGATTCTGCCAGAACGAGAGTAACATGTGTGGATGCTGGATTGTGAAAAGTCTCGGTCTCTGACACTTCGTACATCTTCGTACGAGTTGGCCCTAGAGCATCATGCATGTTTGACTCTTGGCAGTTGCAACAGCTTTAAGCTCCGACACTCGCAGAGCACACTCCGCTAGCATGCAGGAGCTCGTCAAAGGAAACGCAATCACCAGCGGCTGGGTCAGCACCTCCGCCGCTACAGTTGACGGGGTAAGTGAAGGTATTCGTCTAAACACCGAAATGTTGCATTGAGTCTAGGCCCCCAAACTTTCGCAGGAGCTTCGAGCTTTGCAAGTTCCTGCAGCAAACACAACAAGTTGAAACATGGATTCCAAGGTTGGGCGGTTAAGGCCATCCGATTTTGCCGACTCGCCAAGAGGTTGCTGCCTGCAGCAGGGTCTGTGATGCGGCAGTCACCGGGTGTCCAACACCTCGGAGTGGGTTCAAGACCTCCGGTCAAACTACAAGTTTGAAGCCGCAATTTCAATAGCTGCACGAGAGGCTGGAGGTTTGAGTCTGGGAAATGTCCGAGCAAGTGCCGCGCCGCTGAACGATGGCCCTGGTTGAGATTATCAGGATTGTGGTTGAAGCTCTGTCGGCGCATATGCCGCAAAACCATGTGTGGAACATCTTTGGGACTTTGGGACAAGTACGACTCGAAGCAAGACGACTGCAGATCAGAACAGCTTGCCCGTGCCTCTCTTCAACACCGCCACTGCATTGGAGAAGGGTAATGGTACTGGTTCGATTCAACCTGCCACTGTGAACTTCCTTTGTCGCGGGCTGCCATAAAGACCAACATGCTGGAAATGCTCACAACTCCCGAGGAGTCCCAGTCCGGTGTTGGTTTCCTGGAGTGTTGTGAAAGTCGGAAATGCGCCCAAACCCAAACTGGCAAAGCTTGTAGGAATCTTCCAAAACACACGAAACCTGTTCAGTGTCTCAGCCATGGAGACCGTGCATGAGTCAGGAGGTGCAGAGCCCGAGTCTTCGAGTCGAGTTTTGATTTCCTAACAACGAAGCTTGAGAAGCCTCTGCAGTCTCTCGCTTCAGCCTCCTGCTCTTCTCAGGCAGAGTGATTCTGGGCTGATTCTCAGGGCTCTACAAATATGGGTCTTTGAGCTCGGATTCGACATCCGTTTCGTGTAGCCTTTTTTTGGATAGAAAAAGTTAGGAGGAACCATTCGGGACCCGTTTAATGTGCGCCTCTGGGTGACGACCTGTTTCGACACCCAGAGGCGCACAAAAAACGGGTCCCGAATTGCTCCTCCTGACTCGACTGTGCTCGGAGCCGATGCACTGTGAACCGCCCATAACTCCCCAGCTAGTCACCTGAAGCTGTGTCATGTTTGTAGACACCGCTGCTACTGGACAACAGTTCTGCAAAAGCCTTCGAATTGCGTGAAGATTCATGACCATGCCTGACGCCCGTCAGGTATAAGCATGGGCTTGAGCGCCGGCACAGCAGGTGATCTAGACCGCACTCACAAATTGCAGAAGTTTTGAGCAGACATGACTCGGACAGCGACATTTCAGAGAGTGTTCTTTGATGGCGGGTGCAGATTCGAGCTTTGACGTGAGATCAGGAGCATCCTGCATCCTCTTGTTCAGTGGCACACATTCTTCCGCATTCGCACAGCTGCGGAGGTGAGTGGTGGTGGGCCGGCGTTGGCCTGAGCGGCTCCGATTCTCGGCCGGATCCGAGTATCGAATCCCAGTGACTTGTGCCCACGGCTTTCCTCCCTTCGGCTAAGTGATCATGTGATCATGACCATTATGGAACTAGGGAAGGGGTTTCAACATCTGCGGCAGACGTCACGGTTTAAGTTCAAGCACTTGCACGGCGACTATTGAAACCGATCGCAGTGTTAAATTGGACTTATGCCACGTCATGTCTTACTGTAGCCTATTTAAACCTGTGTCTGCAGGGTTGGTTTGCGAGCCAAAAGTTTCTTCCCTAATCGCAACATGTGGCAGCCAGAAGCTGTCGCCGATCACAGGTGAGCTGCAGCACCGGCGGATCGTGCTCACTCGGCATCTCAGTCGGGGCCATCGGCTGTGGCTGGTGGGACGTTGGGATCAATCCTGCGTCGGGGGCTTGGCTCTCCATCTCAACTGCATTCCGAAACAAAGAGCGAAGCAGATCTGTCGCTTGTCAGCCGTCGCGCGTTCATATACTCTCTCTTTCGAGTGAACGTGGCAGCTAAGGTGTCCCTTCGATCTCAGCTGGTTGGGTGTGAAGTGCCAAGGGTCGAAGGGTGGCACCTTCCTGGTCACATGCTGCGGCGTAGATCCTCTGCTGCCTTTGCAGTCGTTTGGGAGTACTGGACACTCCACAGACCAGGCCGTTGAACATTCGCTGTCGTTCGGTGTAACCAGCTCAGGATTTGGTTACCGGGAAGCACAACTGCCGCTGAGGGCACCGACCGAAGCCATTTGGTCGTGACCTGTAGATGAAGGTTTGGGCCCGGTCCCAGACGCAGATCGCAACGTCCTGAGTGTTTCTTGTACTTGCACAGGGCAGAAGTCTTGCGATAGCCTGAGCGAACTCTGACAGAATGCAGGCGAAATGGCAGCCATCTGCGATTGTCAGTCAGTTTTGGTTCGTGACTTCAGGGAGAACCGGGTGCCACGAAACATGCAACATCCTGCTGCAGATGCTCTGGCGGAAGGTTGAGAAGTTATAAACGTGAAGAAACGCATTAGAACTCTTTCATGCTTCGTAAATGGGCGTAAAGAGGTGCGGCATATGACGTGCAGCAGATCACTTTCGGTAGATTCGACAGCATGCAGATCACCATAGCTTGAGTCTGGGTTTTGCTACCACCCATGAGCCTAAAATCTGTATACGTGCTCCTCGTCATTGCTGTTTGGTTGGGGAGCTGGAGCTGGCTTGGGCGCAGAGACAGGCCGCAGCTGGCCCAAGCCCGGGTCCCGGCGTCTCGAGCATGCCTTGTGGTGCCAGCGCGGTTGGTGGAAAAAGCTTACGGAGAGCTCTCAGATGCTGGTTGCATTCCGAGGCCTGGTCGGAACACCTGCTTCCTCAGAATAAAGGAGTGTTATTCAGCTGCTGTTAGTGACCTGGAGGCGATGGCACCCA